ATATGAAGATAAATTCATAGTAGATTGTCCATGGTTAGAATTAATTAATGGTAGAGAAGTAGGTAAACCTGGACAATATTTAAAATAAGAAGTGTTGGCATTAAAAGAAAAATTGTAAGAATTAGATATTGATGTAAATAATTATCATATGTCTGATTTGGATAATGAAGAAGGGATAGTTACTGAGGAAAGATTAAAAGCAATTCTTAGAGTATAGGGATTTTAGGATGATGAGGATGATAATGAGAATGTGAGTAAAATAAATGAAGAAGATTAGAAAGATGAAAATATTATGGCTGAAAACGAATTTTTTAAATTTGTTACAGAATAGAATGAATAGATGGATAATATTAGAGCTTAATATTTGAGAAAGTTATTGAAAACTTAATAATCTGAATGTTCTACTGAAAGACTAAATCAAGAGGAATAATCACTTTAAGATTCTTAAATTAAATAATAAATTGTTTAAGATTTAAATGAGTAAGTAATTGTTGGTATAAATCAGAATAATAAAGATTCAAATTTAAAATAGAAATTATTAATTAGATCATTACCTAAACCATAAAAGAAATAATCAATTCTTTCAGAAATAAGTTAATTAAAATAAAATATGAAATCAAAAGAATTTTATCAATCTTTAGGATTTACTTAACCACAAAATAGAAATCGAGGATCTTAATAGAGAATGAATCTTTCTTCTGAAAATTTTAATAAATCATCAGAAATAAGAAGCAGTTCTAGTCGTCCTTAAATGACTAATTCATAATTGAAGTTACCTAAAATTTGATTTAAATACTATACAGTTATTAATAAAAATAAAAAAAATAAAAATGGAATTTGAAAGTCGGTAATTCATTTCTTAGAGTGAATTCAATCGTAGTGAAAAGTTGACATTAACAACAATACAATAATATGTTTCCATTATTGTATTATTGTTGGCATTAGGAGATGCTGTAATGTTGTTTGTAATCAATGGATTTGTTTTAAATTACATTACTTTAAGCTATGCTATCATAAATGTGCTGATAGTTTTGATTTGCATCGGGACTCTAGTTTGGAATAACTAGTAATAGAACTATCTTAAGTCAACAGAAGACGAATGGGGAGAATTGACAGATAACTTTAACGGGAGGTAATACAATTAATTATGAAGATTGTTATTCTTTTTGACTATCCTTATGGCAATAGCAGAGTTCGTTTTTTTCATCTTGATAATCTTGTCTAGTGATTATGTTTAAGGTTTATATTAATCAGAAAAGATTGGAAACGATTATCAGAAATTTGATAAAGTGGTATCTGTTATGAAACCAATTATATTGATTTTTTCAATATTAATTGTAGTTGGATTAACATACACCATACATAACTTTTATCAAATGACAATATCATCAATAACAAGTAGATTCAATATATACCTCCTTTGTATAGCTGTATCCTTAACTTGTTGGGGATCTGTATACTTATTGAAAGGAATGGGTATCTATTCTATCAGTGCTATTTTGAACTTAATAATATTGGGATTAATTGTCTTAGCTATTATTTCAAACACTTGGAAAATCAAAGGTTTACTTATGATATTGGCAGCTCTTCAAATTCTTATAATTCCAGTACTTTTAGGATTTTAAGCTCAATACATAAGAGACTATTAAGAATAATAAGATAGTAACATTGCAAATTGTTAATAATAAATGAATAATTTATCAGAATCTTATTTATCTTAACATTCTTGTGCCTCAAAATATATTAAAGATATTTAAACTTAAAATTGTCCTAATGGAGAAAAAGAATGCTCTATATATTCTACAACATGTGATAGAGATGCCTAAGTATAGAGATGGGAAGTAGAAACAACAGATCCTGCAGATCATCCATTAGGATGTTTAAATCTAAATTGTTGTAAAACAGTTAGTAATATTTACACAAAAGATTTATTAATTTTAATTATGCTATCTTTGGCAACTCCATTATTTTTATTTGCTTTAATTTTATTTGAATTTCATCTTTCAAAAAGAACAAGATCAGATAAAACATTAGGTAGAAATATAGAAACATTATTCTTATTATTATTTATTGGTACAATAGTTTTTGGAGTTCTTTTGTTAATAAATAATTATACACCAATTCCATTAAAAAAAGAAATTAATTTTGATCAACCTGCAAAAGCTGTGAAAGCTAAAGAATTTACAAAGATTTAAACAAAGATGTGTCAATCAATAACTTAATTAGTAGGTAATAGAATTGAATTGAGTAGTGAATGTAAATCAACAACTAATTGTCCTTTGAATAAGGTAGAAACAGGCAAAAAAGAGACAAGTATAATTTAAATATAATTATTTAGATATCTTATTTGGATTGTGGGTTAAAGGAGTTTAATAATTTAAGAGAAAGGAAGCAACTACATATTAGACATTGGCTGCTGCTAAATTCTTATGGCCTAATTATGATGGTAATGAATTAGATTTCTTTGCTATAATTGGCAAGCTTGAATATGTCTAATAATATTTGGATGATGTTTAAATTTGTTATTAAGTTGGTTCCAAAGATCTTACCATTAATTTATATCAAAATGTTGTTGATATTCCTATTGAAGAAAAGAACAGCAAGGTTTATCATTATTCAATGTTTTCTCATTTTGCTGATACTGCTACAACTAAACCAGTAGTTACAACTGCAACTACAACTAAACCAACAGATACTACTACAACTAAACCAACAGATACAACTACAACAAAACCAGCTGATACTACTACAACTAAACCAACTGATACAACCAAAAAAACAGAAGATAATCCTAAACCAGCAGAACCTAGTAAGGGAAGCCCTGCTGCTTCAGATAAAGGTGGTAGTGATTAAAAATCATAGGCTTAATCCTCTTAACCTAAATGTGATATTCCTAATTGTTAAGAATGCAAAGATTAACAGTGTATCACTTGTAAAACAGGTTTTGATAAAGATGATGAAAGAGGTTGTAGATTTACTGGAAAATTAGGAGTTAATGAGTCTATATAAGTTTAATTATTTAAAGAAATGAAATCAAAAGTAAGTGGATTTGTTGTAGGTGAAATAAAAAAAGAAGAAGACAAATTATTTACTCAATATCCATTATAAGAGGCTAAGATTTGTTGGAGTTAAGAGGGATTGGAAAAACCAATTTGTGATGTAGCAACTCCAAAGGGAGAATATAAATTATAGATATCAACATTTGATGTAGCTGATTATAGTACTCAACTCTTTTAACCAACAACTGGATTAATAACTGTTGCTGCCATCGGTTATGATGATTATGTTTAATCATAAGTAGTTTAATTCTAAGAAGAAATTAATTTTGGAACTATATTATTAAGATCTAATGTGACAATACCTAAAGTTTAAGCAACAACACCACCACCAAAATCTTCTTAACATTAAGCTGTCACAGCCACTACTTCTGCTAAACCATCAACAACTACTGAACCAACCAAACCTACTACAACTACCACTACCACTACAACTAGTACTCCAACTAGTACCCCAACTAGTACCCCAACATCCAAAGAACCTGCAAAAGAGTAACCCAAAGAACCTGCAAAAGAATAACCTAAAGAACCAGCAAAAGAATAACCTAAAGAACCTGTCAAAGAATAACCTAAAGAACCTGCAAAAAATGAAGGTGGATGTAAAAGTGGGGAATATTTGGATGCTAGAAAAAAATGTTAACCAACTGGATGCACTAATGTTCCATTTTGTAAATTCTGTGATAAAAATAATAAATGTATTAGTTGTTAAGCAGAATATCAGTTATAAGCTGATAAATCTTGTTTACCAGAAAATGGATGTTCTAAACCATATTCTCAAAATCAATGTTTGAAATGCTCAAAAGAAAAGGAGAAATGTGATTAAGATTTTTGTGATGCTTTCTCAACTTTTGATAATGGTTAATGTAAATAAGCATATAAATTATGCACTAATAAAATTTCAAATTGTGCTATTTGTACAAAAGAAAATAAATGTGCTGTATGTGAATAAGGTTATAAAGTTTTAAATGGAGAATGTAAATTAGGAGATTTCTCTCAGATTTTCTAGATCAATTATTATTAAACTGAGGTTTATGTTGTTGATGTTATGGATTGGAATCATTTAGAATCAGTTAAAATTGATTTAAGAGTAGGTAGTTGTGGATCATTTTAAGTTTATGGAACTGCTAAGACTGATTCAAATGGAAAAGTTATATTTACTAGATTAGTTAAGGGTTCACTATATAATTTAATTGTTACTCATCCAGATTATTCTTAGAATTGTTATGAATTTTAAGATAATGAAGTTACTATTGTACCATTATCTAAGAAATTAAAATCTGGATAAGTTAGAATAGTATTAGAATGGCATAATCCTAATATAAATTTGGATCTTTAATTATCTTTTAATCCAACATCTACTTCAAATTGTTTAGTTGGATATTTAGATAATGAATGTACTGGAGCCAAGTTTGGATAATCCTCAGATGAAGAATATAGTTTTGAAGCCATTGAAATAAATGCCCTTGTTCTTAGTAAATACTTAATTTTTGTATAAAATTTTGGTGATAAAGAAAATTATTAAGAAAAATTGATATCATCTAATGCTCATATTAAATATTATGTGGCTGATAAAGATGATGCAGCTGTCACTTTTGTAGTACCTAATGATAAATAATCTGAAATCGTAGGTACTACAGAAGCTTTAAAAACTGAATGGTTAGCATGGTTAGTAGGATGTATTGATGCAAATGAATCTGAAATTCCTGAATCCTTATTTTCTTAAAATGGTGTATGGTAATAGAATAAATTAATTTAAATAGGTGGACAGCTAGTTTAAATAGATGGTATCCTGAAATTCCTTAAAAAACTTCTCAAAATTATTTCCCATCACCGAAAATTTGTGACGTTTGATCAAATATAATAATATATATATATATCATAAACCCTCATTTAGAAATATTTAATTATTAGAATAGAAATTGATTATTTATATTATTATTATTAATGAATCCAGAGAATAGAGATCATTATGGATTTCCTAAGTAAAATACACAAACACCAAGTAAAGAAGAAATGCTGAAGATTAATGCAAGGATTGAAAAATGGAGAAAAATGATCCCTAAGATTCCTCAATTAATGACCAATAATGATTCAAAACTTAAATCTCGGTTAAGAAAAGGTATACCTGAAGGTATTAGAATATTGATTTGGCCTTGTTTAGCTGAAATTGATTAAATGAAGATATAAGCAAAAGTAAATATTGAATTTTACATTTAAAAGAGAACTTATAAAGAACTGATAGAATCTTAAGAGATATCACCTCATGATAGTCAAATTACATTAGATGTTATGCGTACATTTTAAAGTAATGATCTTATCAAGATGGATACTATTACAAGTTAATCTCTCTTTACAGTACTAAGAGCAATAAGTCTTACTTTTTAAGATATGGGATATTGTTAAGGATTAAATTATTTGGCTGCTTCATTTTTATTATTGATGAATGATGAATTGGTCTATTGGCATTTATATAGTTTACTTACTAAATATGGTTGCATTGATACATATATTAATCCTACAAATACATTAAAATATTTTTATGCATTAGACATATTAGTCAAGCAATTCTTACCTGATTTACATGCAAAATTTACTAAATTTAATATTGTACCATTTTATTATGCTGCAGAATGGTAATTATTTTTTATTAACATATATAGGTTTATTACTCTATTTAGTTCAATTCTTCCAATGTAAATCTTTCTTAGAGTAACTGATATATTTTGGTATGAACATCACAAAACAACTTTTAGAGCATCTTTAGCCATACTTAAAATAAGGAAAGAAGAGATTTTGACTGTAAAATATATATATATATAATATTTTAGGCAAAAACAATGGAACAAGTAATTACAATTCTCAAAGATTAAAAATTCTTTAATAATTTTGATCCAGATAAGTTTATTAAAATTGCAATGAAGGATTTCATCTTTTCAAAAAAAGATCTTCGTAAATATTATGATCAATTTGCTGCTACCCAAAAGAAATGATTATATTCAATTAATAATTGTCATAAAAATGCTTAAATTAAAATTTCTTTTCAGCTCTTTTAAATCGAAGTATAAACTATATAAAGAACGAATATTCACCTTATAAACAAGCTTTGAATAATGTCAATCATTACCATAATTAAATTCATTAATGCAAGCATTTCTTAATGAAAAGATTTATGATTAAATAATGCCTATGAAATTATCAGATAGTTCTGCTATATATAATAGATTAAAATAAGAAATAGAATCAATTTAAAATACAGATGACTTATTATTTGAAAACATGATTAAATTTTTAGAGATGTAATTTTAAAAACCCAATTTTAATGAGTATATTGATTGGTTAAAATCATAACCAATTAATAATGAATATTAATTTATTCTACTCATTCAATTTTATTCTGGATTGATTGTCAATGATAAAGAGATTTATGAAGAATTCAAGAAATAAAAGCATTAATTTAACACAATTTTAATTTAAGTTATGGAGTATTGCATCAATAAGAAGAAATTACCATAATTAAAATCTGATAAAATTGATTAATTAAGAGAGTATTTAAATAGTGATAATAATTCTTTAAAATCATATGCCTTATTATTCCTATCTTAATATGATACATCAATAACAAACTATCCTCATGCTACATGTCATCCTGAAATCCTATTACAATTTCTTTAGTAATCAGAATTAAGTGATCATTAATTAAAATATGTTATCTCATAAATTTACTAAGGTATAAATTCATGGCATCTATATTATCTTGCTCAACTCTTTGTATAACTTAATAAATTTAAGCCTTCCCCATTGTTTCTTGATTTAATATAGAAAGTCTATGTTGAACGAGTTCTGGATTAAGAAGGGAATTATTAATTCGATTTTAGAATCTTGAAGAATTTTATTTAAGTAGCTCAAAAAAATGAAGCTTTCAAGGATTACAAAATTTATATGTAATTGCTTAAAAGAGTTGTATTAATGTCCAAAGAAACTAATTTCAATGAAAAAACATTAGAAAACATTATACGTTCTGTATATTTTTCATTAAGAGAACTTTGTATTGAAAATGAAACAATCTTTGATGAAATACCATAATATATTATGAGTGAAGAACTTATTGAATTGAAGAAATTTTTAGAAGAATGGCTTGAAAAATCTATGATTTTAGAATCACTCTCTATTGTTAATCTATTTAAACTTAATATTCCTTAAGGATTTTGTGAGAAATATCTAAATACAATGCAAATTCAAGAGAAACATCTTAGAGCCATTATTAGATTATTAAATTAAAGTAATTAATTCTAGTTAAATGAAAGAACATGCGAAATGCTAGTCAATTTGATAAATAGATTTAAAATAGATTATCTAAAATATTTATAACCTAATAATTTACAAATTTATCCTCATAATCTTATAAGATAAATAGTTAAAGCTATTATTAATAATAGTAATGATGAATCTGTCATTGAATTCATTTATAAACATGTGTAATAATTATAAAATAACAAATCAATTTATGAGGAAATTGGTCTTGATTTTTAATATATTGCACCATATATCAAATTTTAAATTGAAGCAGAATTTACAGCAAAAGTAGATTTTGATTAATTGTCCAAATGGTTACAGATATATAACATCTTAGCACCATTTGAAGATGAAATTATAAATAAAATAAAAGAATGTTTACCAAAATTTACACCATCTTAAATTTCTAATTTATTATCATCATGTGATTAATTAAGAGATAAATTTAAGGATTTTGATAAAATACATGAATTAAAAGGTTAAAATAATTATATTGATGTATATTTAAATTAAAAAGGTAATCTCCCTAAATCAATTTAAACAATTGATGATATTATATTGGCTAATTCAAAGTGTCTTGATATGACCTATTATAAATCAAAAAAAATTAAATAAGAACTTTTAAAAAAGTTATAAGAAATCAATGAAATACCTAATAGTAAATAAGCTTATGAATTATTAATGGGTTGGAGAGCATCAGATTTTAATATTGATACTTTTGAATCATTAATTAGAATTGTTAAGGATTAAATTATGAATTATGATTTTCATCATACTCATAAATTAATTTCAAAGTTGATTTAATAATATCAATTACATCCTGGAGTTTTATATAAAGCATATTAAAAATTATAAAATGTCTTGACAAGTAATTTTAAGGATTCTAAAGATAAGGTTAGCATTATTAAATTAGCTATTATTTTAAAAAGAATTTATCCTACTTTAACAATTGAATTGACAAAATAAGAAGATGAAGAATGTTAATTTGTAAATTAGATAATTGAGAATATTTATTTTAATAAAGGTAATGTAATCACAGAAATTAAACCTTTTATGTCTCCCTATAATTAGTTTTATCCTTATATTTGTAAAAATTTGAATGAATTTACTAAAAATTTTGTAACATTTTAAGATAATCTAAATGTTGCTATACCAGCATATATATAAGGAGTTAAGCTATAATTTAAATTATAGGAATTAATAAAGGAATTAGAGAAACCTTCGATTAGTGCATTATAATAATTGAAACTTGCATGTTTGATAGCTAATATAGAGAAGAATGACTTTTTAAAAAGACAACTAAAATAGAATTTTTCTCATATAGATCCTAGCACTAATTATCTATTTTAGGATGATTTAATTATCTGCTTTGATGTAATGAATAAATTGTTTCCAAATGAAGGAATGGGTAAAAAATTAGAATTACTGGTCATTAATGCATATGAGTCTTTTTATGAGCCCACTTTGATTTATTTATTTACAGAGCATTTATTAACTAGTAGAAGTATTTCTATAATAGAAGATAGAATAATAAAATGGAAAATATGAGTAATTGTTTTTTAATTTAGATATTTTTTATCAATTTTTTATCAAGTAATATTTTAACAAGCCATTTTGTCATAGAAATAATTTCTTATTTAATTTTTATAAAGATAAAATATAAAACAAATATTTAAATTTGTATAATTCTAATTTAATAAGTTATTTTTATAATATAGTCAAATTAAGTGATCTTTAAATATCTATGGATAAGGATGAAAAATAATGTTTAAAAGAAAGGATTTTTATAATAAATGTATTTTATTTGAGATTAAGAATGTTCCAATCTTATTCTTTGAATTGAAAAATTTGTTAAAGTATAATAATTAATTAAGAGTTTGTGTGAGTATAAAAAATACCAAAGTAAAAATATTTATTTGATTTAAAATTTAATGTTTGTTAGTTAATTTTTTGATTATTAATGTTCAGGCTTATTCAAATTTTGATTAGATCTTAAGTTTCACTAATAGATTTGATGTCAAATAAGACATACTTTACTATTAGGATGTTAGTATATAAAAAACGTATTTAAATTTCATTTATGATTTTAGAATATGATAATTAAATATGAATATAATTGTTATTGCTCTATTAGGATTCTTATTTGATTTCAGTTTAGAAATAAGTATAACAAATTATGAGACTGATACTAAATTTAACTATTGTTTGAATGTAGTAAAGGGAAATTGTGAACTTTGTGAATAGTAATATTTTTTGTTTTCATTGCCACAAGATCATAATGAATTAGGATTGAAAGCAGGAACAAGAATATGTGTAGAATGGTAATTTAGATTGAACCTATTATAGCCCATATTTAAAATTTAATGAAGCCAACAATTATTATTGCGGAGATTGTTTAGACAATAGTCAGATTTGGTAAGTATAATAAATATGTAAGGGATAAATCTAGACTATGTACATATGATTACAAGACTAAATCAACTGGAACATCTGTGTTTCATAAAATAGAAAGACCTGCAAAACAATTATTTTATGTAGTAAAAAGTGGATTATAGGATGTAAATAAAATAAGCTAATTGTTTAGTTTACGACATAAAGTTGTGATGGATGTGAGCATTTTTGCAAATCTCAAAATTCAACTTGTCTTCCAGTTTCAAAATAATTTTCTTATGATTTGAATAATCTGTACATCAGTTGTACAGATGGATATGAATATAGTGATGTAGTAGGAGGATGTGATCCTTGTCCTGAAAATTGCAAGTCTTGCTAAATAAATAAATAAATTTCTATAGATGATTCAGGAAAGACAGTAGTAATAATAAAGAAGAATTGTTTGATTTGTAATGAAGGATTTAGTTTACTGACAACACGAACAGAAATAAATGAAATAGAAACATATAGTTAATGTATAGCATGTTTTACAGGTTGTGATGCTTGTCATTTTGGAAAAGATGGAATAAATCTTAATGAAAAACCATGGGATGATTATAATAATAATGCACTTCTTCTTACAAGAAATTATGAGGCAAATGAAATCTAATTTTTTGAAGATTTGTTTAAAGAGTATCGTATAGCATAACGTTGTGAATAATGTACTAGTACTACTTAGAGTACATTTGTTCCATCTTTGAGTAGAAGAAGTTGTGTAAGATGTGGTACTAATTGCAAGAGATGCGAATATAAGTCTGGATCATTATTGTATATAATATTATAAAACATTCAGGCCAACAAGAGATAAATATAAAGTAGTTGAACCTGAGACATCAGAACCAACAACAGCAGAAATTGAAGCTGTTGAATCTCAATATGTACTTAGATGTAGAGAATGTGATAAATTTGCATAAACATTCTATGCTGTAGGAACTGGATGTACAGATTGTTCAATTGCAAATTGTAAATTATGTGCTAAAGTTGGTGATCCAACTCTAGGTAGCGATTCTTCTTTTTCAACAATTGCTTTAGATTTTCAACCTTTAAATAAAGAAGGTATTTATAAATAAATGAATAATAGAGTAATCTTTGGAGAACTGTTTACTTTGTGAAGATGGATATTTCTTATCTGATGATAAAAAATTATGTACAATATTTGATACAATTAATAAACCTAAATTAGGTTGTTTAACTTATTATAAATAAACTATTTTGATATAGTAATGTTTATAATGTGATATTGGATATACTCTTTATAAGAATGATAGTTCAGGTAATTGGGAATGTAGATTGGATTGTTCATCATTAATGTAAGATTATTTATGTTAATCATGTGTAATAAATGGATTAAAATAACGTTGTTTAAGATGTTTAGATGGTTTTTATGTAGATATGTAAACAGGAAAATGTGCACAATGTGCAGAAAATGGACATTGTAAGAAATGTTATACATTGTCTTTAATATCTGTTCATCATACAGAATATTATGACTATATTTTTGATGGAGAAGCTAATACAATTTCTGAAAAAAAGATTTTAGGTCCTTATTGTTATGAATGTACTCCAGGAGATGCATTCAAAGGACCTATTTTAAATGAAGATCTTAGATATTGTGAAAAGGGTGGAGATAATTGTGCTTAATTTTTAGCTAAAGGTACAAAAGGATATTGTGATTAATGTGATTCTAGTTTAGTTGGAATATCACTTAGTTCATCTATTGATGATTCTGATTGTATTTAATGTCCAGAAATCACAATTGGTTGTAGAGAACGTTCTTCATAAGAAATTACATTATTTAATCAATTTTATGATCCTACTGATGATAAATATAAAAAATATGCAAGATTATCATTTAAATGTGAGGATGGTGGAAATAATTATTATGATAGTAAAATTGGTAGATGCATTTCTAATACTGATTGTCCAACACCTTGTGATCGATCTGATGAAATAACTATTTTAGCTGATTGTTAATAAAATTAACCAAATGCTAATAATGAATGGAAAATGAATTCATAATTTAGTGATATTACATCCAAGAATACATTTCTTATTCTTGAAGATAAAATGGCTCCTGCAATTAAAAATGCTCTATTTGATGAATGGAATAAAAAAGCAGTTACTAAAATCACTATTATTTTAGATTTCTAATATTTCTCTGGAGATAATTCAAAATGTTTCTTTCAAAAAGATACTTATTTTACATCAAATATTAGAAAGAATGTCTTCTCTGTTTAAGAATTAGAACTTAAAATTAAAACCAATTCTCCAACTCCTAATGAAAAAATCTAATGGTTCATTTAAAAGACAATCTTTTTTGTCTATTTTACATCTGTCTCTATTAATGGAATAGAACTATTTCCAGCATCTGATAGAGGTAATCTATACACAAACATACCTAAATATGAAACACCATTTGGATTGTAATTTCTTAATAATACTGGATCTAAGCTCTATTTAGAGAATGTTAAAATTGGAAATATAAATGCTGAAGATCATTATAAAGATAAATCTTCTTATACTACACCATATAGTTAAATTGCAGTTACATTAAAGAAGTAAAAACCATTCTTTACAATACTTTTGAATACTTATGAAATCTATTTAAAAAATGTTGTTATTCATTCTCAAAACTATTTAATAAGTTCTGATATTACATTTTAAGCAAAACTATTTGGTTTAATATATGATTCTGATATTATAGTGCCTTATTTAAATATTAAATTAGAAAATGTTAAATTTTATGATATTGCTGTTGAAAAGTAAGCACTTTTTGAACTATAATCACTAAATTTTTTAACTCCTCCTGAGTGGAATAGTAAAGTTTTGATAAGACATGTATAATTTGAAGATTGTTATTTTATTAATGATGGTGGATTTCTAAGTACATAGGTTTAAGATGAACCAATGGGTATGGTGATCATAAGTTCTTTATCTATGAGAAATGTGGAATTTAATAATTCAAGAGGAATTGTTGATTTTACAACAATGTAATAGATAAAAGTAAATAATTTGTAAATTTATGATTCTAAAGTAAATTCTACTGCTTTATTTTATGTAACAACAATTGAATTAAGTGATGTCTATTTATAGAATACTAAGTTCACATTTAAAGGTAGATTAATGTAAACTCAATATGAACTAAAAACAATTAGAATAAATGACCCTGAATTTTCAGGATTAAAATTATAATTTATTAATCTAGAATTTGATTAAGTAATTTGTTTAACTCCAGCTTGTTTAATATTAATTACAGAAATCTAAAATGATTATTATATACCAATAAATATTACAATGAAAGGATTAGTTATTAAATAAATAAATACTATAGGATTTGATGAAACTATTTGGGAAGCAGCAACAAGTGCTTCAATAAGAATTGAGAAAAGTAATAGATTGTAAGTATCTGATTTTGAAAGTATAGAAAATGCAGATTTAGCCATATTTTATGTAGAATAAGTATGGATTACTAAATTTGTTAATCTTAATTGTTATTAAAAAGAAGGATTAACAATTAGGAATAATTATTGTTTATTTATTAACAATCCATACAAAGGAGTAGAATTAATTAATATATAATTATTAAATCTGATTGGAAGAGATAATTCATTTATTGGAATATCATCATGGAGTAATCTAATTTATAATACTTCAACTTCTGAATATTAAGAAACAATCATTATTAATGGAGTATATGTAACTTAATGTACTATAGTTACAACTGTATTGGCAGTTCCTTCATCTGCTATATTGATAGATTCTACTTAGACCTAAATTGTATAGATTAATTATATGTATTACTTCAAAAACACTCATTTAATGGAAATATAAGGATCATTGAGACCAAGTAATCCAACATTCTTGATTAGAAGTGTAGTAGGAACTTTGATTTTATAAGATAGTCTTTGGATATCCAATTCTGTTTCAGGTTATGGAGCAGTTCTTTATTTAGAAGTAGGTACTTAGATTATATCAAATATCACTATGAGTAATAGTAATTTTGATCCTGAAACAAAATCAACATTTCCTTTAATAAATGAAAAGGCAGAAGGTGGACATCTATTTCTATCTGCATTTAATCTAGATATGAGTAATTGTAATTTTTATAATTCAACTGCTAAATTGGGTGGTGCATTATTCATAAAAACTTTGAAAGAAGGAATAGTTACTTTAAGGAATATTGCAGTTAGATATGCTTATACTCCTTTGAATGGAGCAGTATCATCAAGAGGAGGATGTGTATATATAGATTCTATGGCATCTGAATTAGACATGAATATATAGAATGCTGATTTTAAAGATTGTTTTACAAGAGGAGAAGGAGGAGGAATCTTTTTAATAAGTTATGATAAATAATAATAATTAACAATTCAAGATTCTACAATTACAAATTGTTATGCTTTAAGTGGTCTTGCAATAAAAACTCTATTTTATTCAAGAACTTAAGCAAAATAGAAGATGATGCTTTAAGATGTGAAAATATCAGGAAATTTATCAAATTCTATGAGTTATTTAGGATAATTAGGTTCTTTGTAATAGATAGAAAAGTTTCTATTTATTAAGAGAATTGCTGCTATTGAATAAGATTTTGGTTAGATTGAGATATAGAATGGTTATTCAGAAGGTTTATTTTTTTATGGGTTTCTTTCTATATGGTAATCAACACTTATAAAATTAAATACTATAGAATCTTAACATAGTATATTATCATACAGACCATATATAGAAATATAAGAACCATTAGAAAATCCATTATAAATTGATTTAATTTAATTTAGAAATATTTCATCAATTTCAATAGCAAATTTAAATTGTACTATTATTAGTAATAATGCATTATGTAGATTACTAGAGATTAGATTAGAATTTCCAGAATATTAAATAAATCCAGCATTAATGTTATTTGATTTTATTTAGGAGAAAACACCTTTAACATTAAAGAATATTGCAATTAATAGAGTAATTTGTAAAGAATGTCATGGTGGTTTAGTTTAAATAATGAGAGTATCAAATTCAAGATTGATTCCTTTGGTTTAAATGAGTTCATGTAGATGTTCTAATTCAGAATCATCTTATTATGGATGTTTTGTTGTTTCGAGTGATTAGTACATAAGAGAGTAGATTGATATGGATAAAATACTTGGTACTACTTTGAATTCTAATTTAACATTAGAAAAAATAATGAAATAGACAAATATGAGTGATACTTCAAGAAGAATTTTAATTAGTAATACATAGAATTAGAGTTAATATAATTTTAGTTATGCAATTCCTAATCCATCATATTTATCACATATAATAGTAGAATCATTAAATATAAATGATGTTAAGGCTGTTCATGGTGGAGGTATATCATTTTATGGATTAACTGCAAATGTAACATCAAGTTATTGTTCATTAGCAGTTGTTAGTGGAAGAGGAGGATGTATATATTTTGAATCATTTCCTAAAGATGGAGGTAGTATTTAACATAGATTAAATATTGCAGATAGTGCATTTTATAGAAATAATGCTAGTATAGGAGGTGCTATTGCTGTTGTAGAAAGTGGAATCAATAATTTTGCACTTACTAGTATTACATTAATTCAAAATTATGCTTTGAAATATGGAGATGATGTTGCTCAATATCCTACTTCATTAGGTATAAGAGTAAAGAATATTTTACAAAAATAAGGTTATTTAAATTCTCATACTGGATGGTTACATTATCCTATTGTTATTAAAAGTGGTTAAGAAATGAATAAATTTGAAAATTAAACTGTTGTTGTTGTATTTCTTGATAAGAATAATAATGTTATGGGATATTAACATAATGCAGAATGTAGTTTATCTAGTAATGTTACTAAAACAAAAGACAATTAAACATCTACTTTACCAGGTGAAACAAATAGAAAGTTTGATATTAATAATGTTTAAGGATTTGATTATTCCAATTAAATTATTAACTTTGATCCATATAATTAAATTACTTTAGATGCAATATTTAATAGTAGTCATGTTAATATACCTATATATCATGATTAATATCCTTATTAATGTATGGGTTTTGATACTGGATATACTTTATAAGTAAGAATCAGATCAGTTGAATGTGAATTAGGAGAATAATTTAATGAATAAAAAGAAACTTGTACTCCATGTTCATTTGGTACATTTGCCTTGGAGTATAAAGTGGATACTTGTAGAAAAATAGATGAAACTAAAATGAATTACACTTATATGAATAAAATTAGTATTAAAAGTAGTTATTGGAGACCACATTATTAAAGTGGAGAAGTTGAAGAATGCAAAAATAAAGATTATAATTGTAAAGGAGGATTTGATGTTGGAAATGATTTATGTTAAGAAGGATTGATAGGAGCATTATGTGAAGAATGTGATATATATGGTAGTTATTGGGGAGAATCTTATTCTAATTCTGCTAAATATGAATGTGGATTATGTTAAGAGAAAACTAGAAATTAATTAATGATTGCATTTATAACTATCTTTACTATTTATAGTACTTTATAATCAGTAAAAGGTCATGAAGATAGAATGGAAAAGGTTGTTACAATGAAGATATTAAGATAACTTAAACTTTTATCTTCCAAAGCTTCTTTAGATTAAGCAGCTATTTTAATGAAAATATTCAACAATTTTGTTTAATTGCTTTCTATTCTTGAAGGTTTTAAAATTGCTATACCTCAAGGTACTGTAGATACAATTAATACTGTAAGTATGCCTGCTAAATCTATGGGAAATGCTTTAGATTGTTTTTTAGTTGATGGAGCAGGTGATATAGATATGATATATTTGAGATTAATTTGGTCTTTGGCTATTTAATTACTTTATATAATTGCTATGACTTTAATAATTCTTGTATTGATTTTTAAGAATCGTTTTAAATGGAAGAGTTTATAAACTATGGCTATTTATATGTTTATCTTTTTATAACCTACATTTTTGATTGAATTTGCAAACCTTATAGCTTATAGAGATATATCAGGAGATTCATATATTTAAGCTAATGTATCTTATAAATATGATACATCTACACATGATGTATGGTTATCATGGTTTGCTTATCCTGGATTTTTTATATTTTTATTTGTGATACCTTTTATCTTCTTTTATTAATTGATAATTGGTAAATGGTATGAGAGATTTGATTAAATAACATTTATGTAATCATGGGGATATTTCTATCATGAATATTCAAATGATAAGGATAGAATTATTTATTATTGGGAATTTGTTAGAATTTATATTAGAGCTTTTATTAGTATTTTAATATGTCTTTAAGCTCAAAATGTCATCATTATGGTATAATATTAATTATTTATAATTTATAGGGTTCTTTATCTTCAATTTTGACTTTTATATATCTATTATTGAGTATTTATGTCCAACCTTATAGTAATAAAAAACTAAATAAAATTGATCAAATTTCTAATGTTATTCTTACACTCACTTTTAGTATTGCAACCATCATTTATTCTACTATTTAAAATGATAATGTCTAAATAACACTTGCAGGATATATAATATTAGGTTTTTTGAACATTCCATTTTTAATATATATAATATTTGAAATTGTTGGAGAAAACTTTGAAAGTAAAGCTAATTTAATTGATAAATTGAGAGATAAAATTAATAAGAAATATCCATCTCTTATTAAATCAAGAAATTGTTTGACTTGTTGGAATTGTTGTGATTCATTTAATATTCCCAAATTCGTATTACAAAATCGCACAACCGCTAGAAAAAGAGCTAAAGAACTTTGGAGAGATCTTATGGCAACTGTCAATGAAAGTTTAGATGAATGGAAATTCGATAGAACTCGCCCATTCAAAGTTTAAAAATGGTTTAATGCACCTCTTGTTTTGTAAGATGAAGGAATGGATGAGTATCAGATATATTGATGTATTTTAATTTATCTGCAACAATTTTATTTTTAAATATATTAAATTAAATAATAATAATTATCTTTTTTAATCTTTTTACTAAGTTAATATACTAATCCTTATTTATTACATTTATGAATAATAAAATTTAATATACTTATATTTCATGTATATTAATTTATATGAATTAAAATTACTAATCAAATTTCAAATTTCTTTAAATCATCAGCAATAGTCAATTCAAATCCTGTGTTTGCTCTAACCCATTCCAAATCAGTATCAGCTGCTATTTCAGTCAATACTAATTCACCATTTCTCTTAACAAAAACAGCTTTGTCTAAAGAAATATAAATATCATTTACCAGTAATAACTTAATCAACTCTTCCAAGTCCAGTTGCAGGTAGAGTAATATCTTTTAAAAACTTCTTTTCTCCTTTAGCTGTATGTTCCATTACAACAAGGACTTTAGAACCAGATGCAACCAAATCCATTGCACCTCCCATTCCTTTTACCATTCTTCCTGGAATAACCCAATTAGCAATATCACCTTATTTATTAATTTACATTGCTCCCAAAACTGTTAAATCAAGATGACCTCCTCTTACTATACCAAATGATTCACTGCTTGAAAAAGTAGATGCACCTTAATTTAAAGTAATTGATTCTTTTCCTGCATTAACTAAATCTCCTAATTCTTATCCTTCTAATGGATAATTGCCAACACCAACAGCTCCTATTTCTGTATGGAAATGAATAGTAATATGTGGATCTAGGAAGGCAGGTATAAGTGTAGGAATTCCTATACCCAAATTAACATACATTCCATCTTTGAATTCATGGGCAGCTCTTTTGGCTATCCTATTTCTCAAACCTTAATTCTTGGCTTTCTTGAATTTTTCTATAAAAATATTAAATATTAATATAATACCAGGATTTCTTTTATAAACAGATTCATCATAAACTAATCTCTCAATCGATTTTTTATAATTGTTACCCAAATAAAGATAATCAACATAAATGCCATTTACATGTACATGATCAAATCCAAATGAACCTAAAGGTACAATAGATTCAACTTCAGCAATCACTACCTTTGCAGCCTTGGCCATATCTTCATTAAAGTTTCTAGAAGTTCCCACAAATCTGAGATTTCCATTTGTATCTGCAACACTAGCCTTAATAATGGCATAATCACCATAAATGGCTTCTTCTCTTAAATATTTCTGTCCTTTGAAATATTCAACCTATATTATTAGATTACAACACAAATTACATGTTTTGGTTTAGAAGCAATATCTACTTCAAAGTCTTTTGAATGATTTTTATATTTGATAGGAATGCCTCCCTTCTCAACAACAGTATCTACACCTGTTCTGGTATAAAATGCTGGGATACCTGCACCTGCAGATCTTAACTTTTCTGCTAAAGTGCCTTATGGAATTAATTCAAGTTCCAATTCACCATCAAAGTATTTCCTACTATAATACTACATATTTACTCAGCAAGATTATGATTTTCTCCAGCATATGATGCTATAACTCTCTTTAATTATCCATTATTCAATAATATACCAAGACCTTCATCATTAGTCCCACAATTGTTACTAACCACTGTAAGATTCTTTGTCCCTACTTCCTTAAGAGCATTTATGATATTTTCTGGAATACCACAAAGTCCAAAACCACCAACAAGAAGAGTCGAACCAGCTGGTATTTATTTGACAATTGAAAGATCCTTCAAAATCTAGACATAGTATTTATTCATATGATGAAGTGATAGTGTCTTGGATAGAGCAAACATTATTTAATATATATTTTAGATATTATGATTCTTCTTGTTCCTAAATATAGTGAACTTAATACGAATTATTCAAATATTTATTAATTGCAATAAATTTATGAATTATAAACTAATATTTAATTCCTCATATCACCAATTTATAAACTTAATTCGTATACATAATTACATATTTTTCAATCTAAAATTAAAAAAATCTCCCTCCATATATATTTAATTAATTATATATTATAATTTCAAAAGAATTATGGGCTCCTATGGAACTATAATGATTGTTGTGTCTAAGGATAATTATTTCTGCTACTAGTAGATATCTGAGGAATAATTCTTCTAGGAGTAGATCCTCCATTATAGATACTCTTTAAATCAATACTATTTTATCTCTTTAATTATGAATTCTATTATTATTAATCTTCATTTGTCTTTAATCTAGTGCCTTAGTCTTAAGGATTCAAGATTAATCCCAAAGATGGAGAAGGTTATAGATCTGGCTATTATTAGGAGATCGATCTCATCTTGTTTAATCTTGGGGTAGATAATTACTATAATTAGATATAATATTCTTCTAATGTAGTGTCTATGTTAAATTTAGAATTGCATTAGGGACATTCAACTATTTTATTTAAACCATAAGTTATTATAGATTGATATTAAGATTATAGACAGGATTTACAATAATAATGTCCACATTTGTTTTTTACTCCTTATTCTTGAGTTTTTTTGCAGAAGTCACAAAAATCTGATGCTTTTTATTTGATTGAATTGCTTCTTTATAATAATTGATTAACATCTATTTCTTTGCTATTATTATTTCTTATTAATTCATTATTCAATATTTCTGTACATGAAGGTTCTAAACAAAAGTGAGTCTAAAAATATTTTGATTTATTTAAAGAGTCTTTGATGCATTTTTCACAATGTGTATGTCCACATTTGTTTGTGTAGAGTTTTCCTTATGATAATTTACACTATAAACATTTATTGACTTAAGAATAAGGATCCATTAGAGGAGATAATTAAAGAAATGGAAAATCATCTTTACTTAGTTCTATTTTACAATAGAAATCTCTACAAATAAAGTAGGATCCCAATTTGAAATACAACTTCAAACATTATTTACAATATGTATGACTACATGCTATTGATTTATTCAATTCAATTTAATCAAATGATCTTAAACAACCATTACATTCTTGTTTCATTTCCAATATAAAATCATGTTATAATGAATTAGAACGACTCCTTTACTTTTCTTAAGTCTCCACTGTATAATGACTTTGAAATTATACAATTTTGAGTATTAATGGAAGATTCTCACTATTTGAAAGAGAAATGGAAGTATTATATGTCAAAAAGATCATATCTACTTTGAATGTCTAACCCAATTTCTATAGAATATCCTTATTACATATTTATGGAGCAATTATTTTGTATTATGCAAAAATATGCATCTTAATTATTTATGATGATTCTTCTTAATTAACTAATGTATAGAAGAGAGTAATATTTGGATTTCTAATCATTTAATTTAATAATTCTATGGTTTTATGTATTCTGATTGGAGCAAATTGATTGGCTAGAGGTATAAGTAATTTAATCTAATCTTAGTTTTTAGTTTTAATTAGTATTTCAACTAAGCCACATAAAAGGGCAGACCAACAATCATTACAATCATGAGATTCTTGCTTCTTAGATTAATTTTACATTAAATAATTAATTGTACTATCACTGATAAATAAGTCATTAATATATATATATATATGATCTATTATATAATCATAACTATTTGATTATAACTTCATAATAGTACATTTATTCAATAACAATAAAAATTAATAACTAATATATAAATATATAAAAATAAAAATGTTAAGGGAAGAACTCTTCTTAAGAACTCCATAACAGAAAAGAACTACAAATGGTATCTCATTTTAATAAAAAATCAATTAATTGAATAAGAAGAACAGCATCAAATTTTCTGAACTCTTAAAAGAGCGTAGATTAGATTGTAAATCAACACAGAAAGTTACATTCAGAAGACCCAGTCTGTCTCGTAAACCTGTGTATAGAATTTAATAAGGTATCATTAACAAGTTCTTATTACAGCTGTTAGTATACAAAGACACTTATCTTAAGAACCTTAGACATCAGGAACATATAGTGTTGTATTTTCAAACTATGCACATTAATATATGGATAAGAGGAAAATTCAAACTAGTAATTGTGATCCAAATGAAGATACCAAAATTAACTAATAGAAAATATTAAAGGGATGCTATAATCAATCAGATACAACGAATACTAGATCAATACTAACTAGTTTATTATAAGGTATGTAACATAGAATTTCTGCAGAAAAAAACATGGGTGTCCTTGGTTTTCAAGTTGTGCCATTTACTAAATTGATTGAACATAATGCTTTGATTTCTCAATAAACCATAAGACATAAAGCATTCTCATAAGATAAAGAAAGGGATAAATCTTAATCATTTACAGAAGAATTAGACAAAAGAGTTAAATCTAAGATTGTATAAAGTAATAAATAAAGAAAATCAATAAATTAAGCAAATGCTAGTCCAATACCTTAAAAAGTAATTGTTCCTTAAAGTAATTCAACTTAACCAAATAATTTTAAGTTTTCATTAACTGAATACTCTTAATTGTCAAGAGAATAATTATTTTAAACTAAATTATAAAATTACTAACATTTTTTATTTTTAGTATCTTGTTAAAGTGGATTTTATACATAACCATAAGATAATTTAATTGATTTGAAATTAAAAATAGGAGGTGGAAATAATTCATTTTTGATAAAAGAAATATTAAAATAAAGATGGTGGTGGAATTAATATAAATATAATGAATTATTAGATGAAGATAGTAATTTTATATGGACACAAATAAAAGTTTAAGAGTTTATTAATTAATAATAATAATCAAATAATTATTGTGTTTAATAATAATAATAGAAAAAGAAAATAGTTAATTAATAATCATTTAATTCAATAAAGAAAAAATAAGTTATTGATCCATTTTTGAGATTGATGAGAGATGATAGTGAATATAAATTAATAGATAGAAATCAAAAAGCCTATTTAAAAATTGTAAATATGAAGAATTTGAATATTCTATAAGTTGATTCAAATATTAAGGTATTATTTTATATATAGAATTTAGATTCATAATCATATAGATAGAAATTATCATTTAGGAAATAAGAAAGCTATGTATCATAATCTTAAAAAATATTATGAATTAACTAAATAAGATTTGAATATGATAATTCCAAAAACATTTCACATTTAAAAAGGAGCAAGAGATAAAACTTATTTATAATTTCTTGAATTCTATAAAAAATAACCTAAGTATAATAAAGATTACTATCTAGAGGCTCTACATGGATAGTAAAACCTGGGGAATTCACAAATAGAGGAACTGGTATTACAGTATGTTAAAGTTTGTCTGAAATTAATAAAATTATAAGTAAGAAGTAGATGCATTCAAATGGAAAACAATTTACTTATTTAATATAAAAGTATATTGAAAAACCATTCTTATATAATAAAAGGAAATTTGATATTCGTTGTTACTTTCTTATAACTCAATTGAATAATATAATGAGAGCATATTGGTATGAAGATGGATACATTAGAACTTCATCTGAAGAATTTGATTTAGATGATCCTGCTAATTTATATGTTCACTTAACTAATGATGCTATATAGAAATATGCTGATACTTATGGTAAATATGAAAATGGTAATAAATTATCATTTTCTGAATTCTAACGTTATTTAGACAATCAACCAAAAAAGTATAATTTTTATAAAGATCTCTATCCATAACTTATTGATATTGCTACTATTAGCATTAAATCTGTATATTGTAAATTAGCTCCATATAAGAAACAATATAATTTTGAAATATTTGGTTTAGATTTCATGATAGATTAATCATTTAAACCTTATTTAATTGAAATCAATACAAATCCTTGTTTAGAAACAAGTAGTCCTATTTTATAAAGAATTATACCTTAAATGGTTGAAAATGCATTCAGAATGTCAATTGATACAATTATACCACCACCAGATGCTAGTTTATGGCCACCATGTAAAAAACATCTCTTATTTTATGATAATCTTCTTGAAAATAATAAATTTCAATTAATTTTTGATGAAAGAGAAGATTCTGAAGAATTAATTAAATTATATGGAGCAATTTTAATTCATGATGAAATAGATGAAATGGATGAGGAAGAAGAAGAATATGAAAGTGAAAATGAAAATAAGAATTTTGATAATTGAAATAAATATTGAATAACTATATATATATATATATATAAATATAGAACTTATATTCACATATTCTTAATTATTTTACCTATATCAATATCAGTATTAAAACGTTTGCATTATGATTACTATTTAAATGAACTCTAAGTTAATGCCTTTATATTTGATATTCCTTTGACCATTGAAAGTGGAGATAAGGAAATTAATGTTCTTTATTATGGTTTTGGTAATCCTTATTATCCTTATATTTATTATTGTTTTAACATAAGTTATAATATACCCTATCTACTATCAAGAATATTTTTATTTGTATATTCAAAATTTGGAAAATATCGATTATATTTACTCTAACTATTATTAAACTTATTACTTATTTTTCTTTCCTCAAATTATCTTACAATTTTTTTTAAAATTCTATATCTCCTTTACTAAATTCTATTTCATCAAAATTATAACTTAATGGTTTTGGACGATAACTAATATTTAACCTTCTTTTAGCCAAAGCTTCTATATCAAATCCTTTAAACCATTTATGTGAGAGTATTTCTTTTATTCCATTTTTAGATCCTAAACGAACTTAAGGATCTTTAATTAATAATTTTGAAATTAAATCTTTAAGATCTTAATGAATTTCAAATTAAGGAGGGAATGATATTCTATCATTTAAAATGCTATTATAAATCTGTTCAATATTCCTACTATAGAAGGGAGGAGATCCACATATAAATTCATATAGTAATGCTCCTAAACAATAGATGTCTACCATAAAGTTATGTCCATTTCTCATAAGCATTTCAGGTGACATATATTCTGGAGAACCACAAAAAGAAAAAGCTGTTTCTTCTCTATCCATATTTGGTTTAGCTAAACCAAAATCAGATAAACGAATATATCCATCTAAATCTAATAGTATATTTTCAGGTTTAATATCTCTATAAACAACTCCATATTGATGTAATTCTTAAATTGCCAAACATACTTATACAAAATATTATTTTGCTAATTCTTCATTCAATCTTCTTAGTTTTCTTAAATGATAAAATAATTCTCCACCTGCACAATATCTATATATCATTAAAATAGTAAATTTACTCCAATACAAAAACTAAATAATATTTGGTTTCAAATGAATAAAATAATTTGGCTAAATAGGGTGAATTCAATTATTCCATTACTTATCTCTCATTATTAATAATAATCTCTTTATTTGAATTCAAAATGAAATTCTTATCAATCAATTTCATAGCATAAAAATATCCACTATCTTTCTTTCTAACTAAATATACACGTGAAAAACCACTATATTATATTAGAATTAATACCCAACTCCAATGCATTTAAGTATCTCAAAATCCTCAATGCTTAATTGGGTATTAACATTTTTTGAAACATATGGTTCTAATTTCAAATGTCTTTATTCTTTAAATACATCTAACGGATGATATTCAAGTGATAAATAGTAATCAATATTGTAATTCTTAACACTACTATGTGTTTAAAAATGTTTAATTTAATGCACTATTGTAGGGTTTATTTGATTAACTTTGCCTATTAATTTCTTATATAAATCTGTAGTGCTTTGATTTATTCCTATTGGTACAATCAATCTATTTTCATTCATTCCTTTTACTTTTAATCATTCAACATTAATGTTATTGTAAGTTCAACAGGATCTCTATCACTATTTAAAGTCTTCACTGTAGGACATCTTCCAAATGCATTATTTGTTGTACTTCCACAAGGTGATTAGACTCTTACTAAATTTTCTAATGGATTCTATAGTTCAGTTGGTTTTTTTTTATGAAAAATTGGTGATGAAGGAAGTCTTGCAGATTAAACTATTTATTTCATTTAATATTAATATTAGTATAAATTCAATTTAGTAATGTAAAAGTTTGTACTTCTACCCTGAAATTTGGTGAGAATATTTTATGATTTTTATCTTTGACTGCTTTATCTAACATGTATTTATCAATGATTAAAAGACCAGTATTGTCCAAAAATGCAGTATGAAACCAAAATTAAAACATGATCTGCTTACTGATTAAAGATTTATTATAGCATATAATACGAGTATCTCCTTAAATTACAGCATCACTCATAAATATAATAAAGTTATCATTCACAATTTGAAATTTTGCAACAAGTATTTGAGTTTAATTATTTTGTATTAAGATATAAGGTTTGCATGAATTTTTACAATTCATTATTGGTATTGTAATTAATCTAATTTATGATATTTAAATTTTATTTTATGGAATATCTTGTGCTTCTAAACCATAAGACAACGCCTTTTCAAAATATAAAATGTAACGAATTTAAGAAGGTATCGTAACTCCTTTCTTGTTTTTTGTACGCATTATACCATAAAAACGCATAGCTTCATAACTGCTTTTAAACATTCCTGAAAAAAGCATATAACAACAAATCATAACACCCGTTCTACCTTTACCTGCTTTACAATGAATTGCAACTACATTCTATTTGTCTTAACATATGAAATTGTGTATTTCATTACATAATTCAAAAATCATACTGAATTATGGTGCTTAATGATCATCAAAAGGATATTCTGACACATTTCCATCAAAATATGCATGATTATATTTACGTTCAGAACATAAGTTGATAATCAGATAATGATTTTTATGTCTCTAATTAAAGAACTTCTAAACATCTGCCATAGAATTTCGATAAATAGCTTCATAATCATTTGCAGGATAACCCATAGCTATAATTTATTCAGTGATATCTAAAACTTAATTAAGTATCTACATGTTAAATCTAAATCGAAACCATCTTAAACAAATCTATTTTTCTGTTTGCTGACTAATTATTTAATAGGATTAGTGAAGAACCCTTTATTATTATTTTCGTTGTTCTACAGATTTTGTTTAATCAATTAACTCAATTCTTCTGAACGTCCTCTAACTCCATAGAAAGGTAATGTTTCTAATTGAAAATCTAAAGTTGATGATAGATCAAAAACACTTTCTTAGTCCATAAATTTAATAATCATTTTTCCTATATCAAAATTAAGTTGAATTAAGAATTTTTAAATGTTAACTACATATGTATTTTAGAAGATCTCACACAATATATAAATATTGTTATTAAATCAAACAATTCAATTGAATTCAACAAACTCTATCATCCTCTTGTTAAATTCGATAAATTTCTTATCTTGTATTCAATCTCATTAAGTTAATACTACTATTTTTTTACATACATTATTTAATGTCTTTAAAATTTCAATTAATACAAATTAACCTCTTCATCTATCTAACTTAATTTGATAAATGATGTTCTTTCTATTTAAACAAATTAAAGATATTAAAATAAGTATAGATTTTCTAATATAGAGTTGAATTCTAATATTTTTTTTTTAGTTGTGTGTTCTAAACGTTAATATAATAATGCATAAAATACCAACTTCAAGATCTGCTTCAAGCAATCGAATTACATTAATTAATAAACTCAGTTCACCTTTACATACTCAATAAGACATACTAGATCCAAAAATCAATTAAAAGGAACTTATTGAACAATTACTCAAAACAATCAAGAGGAAACCCACATAAAATGAGAAACCACAAAAAAGAATACGATCTAATGCTAATTCAGGTCAAAAATTAGTTGAAATCAATAAAAATGTCTTACACATAAGAGATTATGAAACTGAACAATAAACATTCAAGAAAATGCTCAATAAAACTATTTTACCTAAAGCATAATAAATATCTAATTATACTATGTTATAATTCTTAGGCAAAGGAAAATATAGTGAAGTTTAATTAGCTTGTGAAATCAATACTGGAATACATGTTGCACTTAAAATTATGAAAAAAGAATAAATTTCATCTATTTGGAAGAGTATTGCATAAGAATTAAAGATTTAATATCTACTCAATCATCCAAATATTGTTAAACTATATACTTTCTTTCACACATGTTTATTATTATATTTTATATCATAGCCACTGATATTGTTTTAGTATTAGAATATTGTTATCATGGACAATTACATAAATTATTGAGATCACTACCAGAAACCTGTTTTACTGAATAAGTTGCTTCATTCTACATTAAATAAGTAGCTTCAGCCTTAAATTATCTACATAGAAATGGTATTATTCATAGAGACATCAAACCAGAAAATATATTTTTATGTTACAATCAAATTAAATTGGCTGATTTTACTCATTCAATCTATTCTCCTTAATAAGAAAGATCTACTTAATGTGGATCATTAGCATACATATCTCCTGAAATTGTTAAAGGAGAAAACTATGATAAAAGTACTGATATGTGGTCATTGGGAGTCTTAGCATATGAATTATGTACTGGTGAAACTCCTTGGGAAGACCTATCATATCAAGAAATGTAGGATATGATTATAAGTGGTAATATTAGATTCCCAAATAAATTTTCATCAGAATTAAGAGACTTCATAAGAAATCTAATACATGTTGATCCAAAATATAGAATGAATGCAAGATAGGCTCTTGCTCATCCTTGGTTAATTGATAGTAAATAGGAGATATCTTAATTCACTATTGATATATGATTAATTACTAATTAGTATAAAATTATATTAGTTAATTATTATTATTATTATTTTTTAATTTTAATATTAAATTTATTTAATCATTATTGTATAAATTATTCTAAAATAATTATTTACTAATAAAATTATTTATTAAATAAATTTATAATTATTAATTCATTCATTTAAAATTATTTTTATAAACAATTATTCTAGTTTGGATAAATATTATTTGGAAAGATCTAAGAATTAAATAATATTCTACTTAATTGTATAAAAAAATATTTTTAGAATTCTTCATTTTTACAATGAAATATTTTTCCTCAGGATATTAAAAATTGTTATTAATATATAATTATCCTTAATTTATATCAGATTCTTCAATAGTAACATAAATAAATTATTTAAATATGTATTTTTGCTAATTAGGGTTCTTTATTAGAATATGATTACAATATAATTATAAAGCATTATAAGAATCATATAATTTGATAAACGAATGAGTTTTGTAAAATAATTATTTTATTTATAATCATTATAAGTTTAAATGAAATTTATTCTAAAAACTATTCTGAATAATATTAATTTTGTTGCTTCATTTGAATTATAACAATACCTATATAGGTTCTATATTGAAGAGTTATTTAATGAGTTTCATGAATTAAAATATTATTGATAAGATCAATTCTTTTGGTCAAACTTTGTGTATTCAACTAATAAACAATGAAATGATATCCTTGATTTAACTAAAGGCTAATAATTTTTTAGTTACGACTGCCACAAAATATTATTAAGTACCTAATATAGAAGAATCTAAACCAAAAAAAAAATATTAGAATTTAGCAAAAATGCAATAAAAATTCCAAATAGAAAAAGAAGATTATCATTCTGTTTTGAAGGAGGAGATTATTCAGATGCAGAAAAATAAATTTCCATTAATGCCTTTTCATTTGCATTAGAAACCAAGTAAATATAATTATATATAAGTCCAGATAATGCAAGGATTGTCAATAGGTAGAGTTAAAAATGATTATTAAATATATAGACAAATGACTACTTAGAAAATGAATAGAGACATTCACAGAGATACAAATCAACCTATTTTGGCAGAATTCAATAAATAATTATTGTGTAAAAAAGATATTGGAGAAATAATAGATAAAAGTATTTACTGATAGAAGTAAATTAAGTAAGTTGCATATGGGATTAACTTTTTAGACTTTCTCAAATTATACTTAATAATTTGAAGTAGTTTTTGATTCAAAACCACAGTCTTTTTAATTAAAGAAGAGAATAACCTAGAAATAATTAAATCTATATAAAAATAGGAAAATCGTAACACATAATCTTGCTTTTCAATTCAAATAATAAAGGAAAAAGAATAAGAAAAGGAAAAAAGGATACTTTAAGATAGGAAGTAAGAATTAGATAGGGAATATATTGAAATATTAGCTTGAATAATATTTAAGTATTCATAAACAATAAAATTATATTTTAATGTAATAAAGGGAATAAAGGTTATCCTAAAGAGCATTTTCATCTAATTCTCCAACAATGAGTAGTGCTTATGCCTCAGCTATGAAGAACATGTAGGATAAATTAAGAAATGATACTTATAGGAAATCAATTGATTTGTCTCCTTAAGATATCATAATTGAATAACTTAAATAATAAGTAAATGAATTATCAAGTGAAAATGATCGTCTTCAAATGTAATTAATGAAAGTTTCTTAAGAAATGGAAATGAATAATAGAGCCACTTAATAAATAGAGTTGTTATAAGTTGAAAGATTATAACATTTAAAGGATTATTAAGACAGAGTATCAGAATTGATAAGGAAGAATGAAGAACTTAAACATGATAAACATGAAATTTAAATGGCTTTTGAAAGTCTTCAGAGATAATTATAGGCTTATAAAAATAATGAAAAAGGGTTGTTGCATAAAGTTGAAATGAAGAAATATGAAGAAAATTCAATATTATTAAATACTGTTTAAGAATATAAGTAAAAGATTGATATGAAAGACAACATTATTAAAAAATTAGAAAAAAGAATAGAATTTTTAGAATTAGAGAAATAAAAGTTAGATTAAGATTTCGAAAATTACAAATAAAAGCATTCTTCATTTAAATTACATGAATTTGAAAAATAAATATCTAATCTAAAATATTAATTAGATGAGAAGGATAGAGCTTACTTAAAAAATATTGATGAAGCTCAATCAAATAGATTTTGTAGAGAAGAATAAATGGCTAAAAGAATTTAAGAGTTGATTTTAAAGAGTTCTGAATATCAAGATATTATTTAATAATTAACTATGGACTATAAAGATTTAAGCGTTAAATATTAAACTCTTAAAATTAAATTGGAATCTGAGGAAAAGAGTCACAAATATTTAAAAAGAAGAATATCTAGATAAGAAGAAACAGAATTTAATTAAGGATACAAAGAATAGAGAACAATTAGTAAATTAAATTTAGATTAAATTTCTCCCACATTACCTAGTCCAAGAGCAGATTAAAGTTTAAGATAAAGTCAATTAAAATAAGCAATTAAAGATTGTTTAGTGGATATGAAGAATTCAGCATATAGTCCTGATAAAAAGGTTGATTCAAGAAAAAGATTAATATCTCCATTATCACCTCAATAACATATAGAAATTGAAGCTAAATTAAAGACTTTAAATGAGAAATATGAAAATTTAATTCGTTAAGCTTAGCGAGAGAATGATTTTTAAAATAAAGCAGTTATCCGAAAATAATTGTTAGAAATAGCTGAATAAATAAAAGAAACTACAAAGCTTGATAAATTAAACTGAATAGCCAATTGATTTATATTTTGTTGAAATAGTCTAGGAATTTCAATGTTAATATTGAATAGTAGATAATTTATATTAATTGTTGTCTTAGGATAGAAATTAATAAATTAATTATACTTATGATATAAATATTTTATCTTTTATGTCTAGCATTGAGCCAAGAGGATGAGAATCAAAGAAGATATTTGTAATTAGGGGAATCAGTGCAAGGGTATAAAGAAACAATATTTTAGATTTGTTTCACCAAGAACATAGAATCATCATGTGTATTTATTCATTGTTCCTGAAATACCAAATTAAACAGATCTTGTAGTTTAGCTTAAGACTTTGAATCCTAATTCAGATCCAAATTTATACATTTCAAAAAGTGTATAAGAACCATTAACAGTTTAAGATGCTGATGTATAAGTATGTGAAGCCTAAGGAATGGGTAAAATTGTTGTTGATAATAGAAATCTGTGTAATAAATAATGAAAAGATTAAGGAAAATGATATCTTATACATTTCAGTAGTGTCTCGTTTTCCAAGCAGATATATTTTAAGAATAGAATAAGATTAGGAATAAACACTAATGATAGAGAGCTTTTTAACTTTTAAATTAACAAGAGATAAATAATCTTAAATCATAGATTTTACGATACCTAAGTTGGTGGAATAATAAACAGAGATAGAAATAAATGTTTAAGTGGTTAATTAAGAATTTTTAGAAGAACCATTTTAAGTTTTTATGAATAAATATGAGAATGGACCTCCAGACAATAATAAGTATGATTATAAAGCTACTGATACATGGGATAACTAAAAAGTCATTGAATTTACTTAAACTAAACCATTTGAGTAGTATAGAATCCTAATTCAAGGTGAATAGGGGGCAGTATTTAGAGTGATGGCATCTCGAAGATAGAAATTGAAAATGTTAAATTTCTATGAAACTATTACATAAGTAGTTGAGAAAGGAGACTTTGATTTCTATCAAGTGAATAATTATTTTAGTAGTTTTAATTGCGATATTGTATATTATTGGATTCATAATTAAATTAGGCAATTAGATTAACTCCATTTAAGGGTTATGCGAAATTGTTTGTTCATTATAATAATTAACCACCTCTATTAGAGAGTTATGAATGGTAAGAGGAGAATAAAGAAGGAGAGATAATCTATATTACTTAATAAGAATTAATTAATAAAAATATATCAATAACAAGTTTTTATATTGCTGTTATGGGTGAAGAATTATGTACATATGAATTATAAGCTACATGTTAATATGGGGATTATATTATGCCTGGTAGTATTCATTAGAAGTTTGTATAAGAATAAGAAATAATAAGATTTGATATATTTGATTATAGAAATGAAGGTCATTAAATATAAGTTAATTTACATACACTTTAGGGAATAATAAATTTTATTATAACTAATTGTAATGATCAATAGTTATGTTCTTATTAAGAATTATTTAAGAATTAAGAAAAGTATGAATAAATGACAACATATACAATGATATATTTAAATAAAAAGTAAGAAGCTTAATATATATTAAATTGTGAAAGCTTTTGTTCATATTATATATTAGCTATGCTTGATAATAATAGTAAATAAACTGGTAAGTTTACGATTCAATATAAAGTAATTGAAAAAACAATGAATTTAATATCAAATACACCTCATAAATCATAAGTAGAGAAAGCTTCATATTAGAATTATAAATTTTTTGTTTCTGAAGAGGATTAAATACGTAGATTGTAATTTTTAGTAACTCCAATATAAGGAGATTTGACTATGTATTTATCAACTGTATATTAATAACCTAATGAATAGAATTATGAATATAAATCATAAAATAATTCAATTAATTTTGGAGGTAGATTTGCTAATTAACCTCATTCAGGAACTTATTATTTATCAATTTATGGTGAATCATTCTCAAAATATATAATAACAGTTTGGGTTATCAAAAATTTCTAGGATTATTAGTAATTAGGGAAATTCCCATGGCATTATATTTAATTGTATTAAGGAGATTAACATGAACATTACTTAGTTAATGAAGAATTTGTTTTATATAAAATAGATCTAAAAGGTTATGGTCAAAAATAGTAAGATTCATTGAATGTGATATTGTAAAAAGAATATGGATAGTTTTAGATATTTGGATTTGATCATCCTGAAACAGATGAATCAAAAGCAATATGGTAAAGTGGATAAATTATTAGTATTTTGAATAATGATATTAAATATCCAGAAATTCTATATTTGAAAATTAGATTAGAATAAATATAAGATAGTTTTGGTAGTTTTAGAATTGCTTATTATAGTTATAACTATATAATTGATTTATTTTTGGATGAACCCTTTTTTAATTTCTTATCTTCTAATAATTTGTAGAATTTCAGATATGAATATGGCAAGAAAGAAGTTTTTGTGATTTCTAAAAGATCTTTTGAATTTGATTAATCTTCTTTATTAATAGATTTCTAACCTTAATTTGGTTTAGATATAAGATATTATTAAAATAATAGTACTATTGTTGTTTAGTAAAATGAAGAAAATTATTGTTTAAATTAATAAAATATGTGTTCAGAATATTTTTAGTTTTATATCACAAGTAAATTTGATACATTTTATTCAATATTAATCTCAAAAATTGATAAATCTGAAATTTAACTTAAAGAAGATTAACCAATTACAAAAGTATTACCAATAGGAGAGGATTACTTTTATTTATATTGTTAAGGTTAAGAGGTTAATATATTAGCTTTTAGTTATTATGGAGAATTAACAATATTTGCTAAAATAGTTACAACTTTGAATTCTACTTAACCAAATCCTAATGAATATGATAAAGTTTCTAAAAATCGTAAAGTTAGTTCTTAAGCTTCAATATACTTTTCTTAAGATGAACTTAAAAATTTTAATTGTATTGATAAATGTATAATCAAAATAACAGTTGTTGTTCTTAGAAATTAAATGGTAGATATTAATAGCAATTTCTATGATTATACAATTTAATATAATTCAAAATTGATAATGTTAAGAGAATCAGAAATCTAAGAAGGATTACTAATATAAAATGGATATAAATTCTATAAAATACATGTAAACAATAATGATACTAATCTTATGATTATGCTTAAACCAGATGTTAATTGTGATGCAGATTTAATAGTATCTAAATCTAAATTTCCTAATCATAATTATTTTGATTGGGGATCTTTTGATCTATATAGTGATGTACTTATTATTGAACCTGGTAATAATATTGATCCTAATTTACCTGGAGACTATTAGTAAAATATTAATTATATTAATTAGTGTTGGAGTTCATGGTTATTAGGAATGTTAATTTGCAATTTAATATCATCTAAAAAATGTTGAGGCTTATGATATATTCCAAAATTAACCATATAAATTGTAATTATTTATTATTACAATAGTTTTGTTGGTTCAAATTATACAGTCTTTTTAAAATTACAATCATATCAATAAACAACACCATTTATGATCTTTGTATAATCACATTCTGAAACAGCTTATTTCTATGTAGATGAAACTGATCAAATATCAGCTAAATTTAATTCATATAGTCAAGATATAACAACATTTAAATATAATAATTTTGGAAGAGGTTATTAAAAATATTTTACTACTGAATCTTTAAAATAAGATAATGTTTTAATAATAGCACTTAAAACATATACATCTGAAATTGTTACAGTTTAAGTTAATAATAATGAGGAAGAAATATTTTTAGAATCTCAAACATTATTCTAATATTCACTTGAAAATAACAAAACAGTTATATTTACTCTTAATCCAAATAGTGAATAAACAATACTTTAAATTAATTTATTCAGTGGCTCACTTATTTGTACCTATTCTTTTGAGAGTCTCTACTAATAAAATAATTTTAGTACTTTAATTTTACTTAATATTCGACCTGATAATTACAATAATACATTTAATATAACAAATTAAAAAGAATCCTATTTGAAAATTAACTTTGAAGCCATTTACAGTTCTTATTTTAGCATTTAATATTTTACAGAGATTGACCAAATGGATTATATTTAGTAAATATATCATATAATCTAGTTCAATTTATCCTGTATTTTTTACACTTAAAGCTTAAAGTGAAAAAGAGATGTATTACTTAAATCAAGAAATTTCTCCATTAAATAATACATCTAAGACATTTATAATTTCCATTTAAGTTTAACAAAATTATAATGATATACTAACCAATTAAAAAAATAGAGCTCTACCATTAATTAAAGTTTATCAAAATACTACATAATTATAATTGCTACCTATTAAATAGACAGTATTATCTAATTTGATCTAAAATGAATATATAGATATTGATACCACATATAAGATTATATTATAAAATTAAGCTCAATTTGAACAATACTATTAAATTTAAATTGGAACTTCAGATCTTAGACCATTAATACCAAAAATTAAATAACTTGGAACAAATTAATTATATCAAAGTTCATATTGGGCTTTATAATAGAATTTTGGATATCTCTTTTATGAAATGTAATTTTGTAATGGAATCTTTTCTGTTTATGCTGGAAAAGACTTAGGAATGTTAAGTTTAGGTCAATATGATAATAAAATAGATATTAGGTAAAATAAATAAGTATTTGGATTCTTTGATAAAATAGAAAATACAGATTTTATATTTTTAAAATTTGACTTAATTAAATCACTTAATAGTAAAATATAAAATGCCTTATATACAATAAGAGTCTATTATGTAGATGAGTAAGATGAAATCCCTTATGATTAATTCTTCCCAGGACTTTAGGGCTATTTAACACCTAATATCACAGACAATCATGATGATACTTTAACATTATTTATTGAATTTGCACCTTTATAATTCATTAAAAAAAATCAAACAGAAATTTTTGAAATGAAATAAATTGAATATTTTGTTATATTACAAGAAAAAAATGAGGATGATGATTTACTACTTGATTATTGTTCTGAACCATCCAATTAAATTAGTGTTATTAAAAATTATACTGATAATGAAACATCACTATAGATTTAAGTACCTCTTTCAAATTTGAAATGGAAATAATAGAGAAACTTTGTTTTTACTATTTTAGCTACTGGTAATTTATATTATTTTATATATTATTAGTGGATGTTTTATTATATAAAGATGAATAAAAAATTTAATTAGACTATTATTATGAAATAAATTAAATTAAATGGAATTAATAATAAATAATGATCTAAGAGAGTAGTATATCATTTAATTATTAATGGATTGGAATATGTATTGTAATGATCATTTTGATTATTGCTCTAATATTATTTGTCAAAATGAGAAGAAATATAATTATGTAAATAATTAATGTAATAATTAAGATCAAAATATGAGAATAATGAGATTAGTAACTAATAAACTGAGGGAATAGAAATGCATTATCGTGGATTAAATGAATGAATATTGTTTTAATAATAAATATATATTATAGATGTTAATATAAAATTATAATTATATTAGATTAGATTATCTATTAAATATTTTAAATACTATTAATTTAATAACTTTTTGATGTAAATAAAATCAGCAATCAACTGATGAACTTAATCCAATGTAAGTGCTATGATCAGCATTAGAAGTAGATTTGACAGTGTATGAGCAAGTTTTATCTTCTCCTCTAGTGGCTGCACAAACAGTGTGAGTTCCATCATGATACCAGATTTCTCTATCTTAATGATAGAATCCCATAGCATATAATGGAAGCTATATAATATATATATTTTTTATACATGAGGAACAGTGTCATTTTAGTGTACAACTCTGAAATGAGTTATTTTTGTATATTTAGTGAACCAATCATAGAAATCTGGATCTCCTACTCTTGGTGAACCATAACTGAACAAATGAACTGTTTTTCCTTATTCAGCTAATTATAAGGCATATAATGTAGCCATGGCACCACCTAAGCTATGTCCACCAACATGGATAGCAGCATATGGGTATTTAGTAACATATCCTGGGAATAATGTATCAAGTTTTGGTTTAAGAGACAAGAAAGCATCATGGAATCCAGTGTGTACTTTGCATTTACATGCTGTATTATAATCTGTTTTTCCAAAAGAAATGTTTTCAATCCAGTTTTGAATATTGGATGATCCTCTGAAAATAACTACAATAGCTGATTCTTTTTTGTTATATGCAATATATCCTTTTGTTCCCTATAAATTAATATTCAAGTCTTACACTAACAAGATTCTCAAAAACTTCAATGTTTGTCAAATCTGGATATGATCTACTAACATAGCCAACAGACCAATTATGGATTGCTGCATTTGGACAATAGGAAGCAAAAGACAATGCTGCATACTCTTTAGCAATTGCCTCATTATATGTGAAAGCAGATGCTGTAGCGACAAGAACGAGCAACAAGATTCTTGATGATGTCATTTTAATTTCGAATATAAATTATTCTGATTTTATTATAAGTGTTGTGCGTAATTAAATACCGTCACTTTCAAATGATATGCATTAAATGTGATTAATCAATCAGATAATGATATAATAAAATATTAACTTATTTTTGTAATTAAAAATAGATATTATCTTCATCTTATAACTATTTATCAAATATATTATCTAAACTATTACTATTACTCTTATTTAATCTTAAAGTCTAAAGAAAAGCTCAATCTTATTCCCTTTGCATGCATTCTTTATACAATAATCTAATAAATATTGATTATGTCTAAATATTTCATTTTAGACCACAATTATATATGATGTACATTAATATACTCAGAAATTTAAATAAGAATATTAATACCATTTATATATATTCACTTTTATTTACAATTATGCTAAATCTATTTACTATATTTAGAGAATTTAAGGATGTTATAATAAATGAATATTATCATTTAAATTATCATAATAACCATTAAAAAAATGTTTATATTAATTTTTGAATGAATATAATGTTATGATCATAAATCTTTAATATTTGTAAGATATTCTACACCTGGTAAGATCTTACCTTCCAATAATTCCAAAGAAGCACCACCACCTGTAGATACATGACTAAGTTTATCATTTGCCTTATTAGCACCAACTAGATTAACTGTGTCTCCACCACCAACAATAGTTGTAGCTCCATTTTATGTTTATTTTACAAGTGCATTCAACATACTAACTGATCCATTTTTGAATTATTCAATTTCAAAAGCACCTTAAGGTCCATTCCAAACAACTAATTAAAATATATATTTAATTTATACTTGTCTTAGCTCTTCCAATAGCATCAGCATTTTCTCTTTATGTCAATTATCCAGCATCTAAACCTAACCATCCATCTGGAATTCCTGATTTAAGATCATGTAATGCAACAGGACTTGAGGCATCCAATCCAGTACCACATACAAAATCAGTAGGTAGATGAATTTTAACATTCTTCTCTTTAGCTTTAGCAATAATTTCATCAACAATTTTATATCCTTCTTCATCAAAGAGTGATTTTCCAATTGGAACATTATATATTTTTTTAAGGAATGTAAAAGCCATACCTCCACCAATAATCATTTCATCTACTTTATCAAGCATAGCTTTAATCAATTAAATTTTATCTGCTACTTTAGCTCCTCCTAAGATAACAAGGAATGGTCTTTATGGTGTTTCTAAAGCCTTAGCAAAATAATCAAGTTCTTTCTTCATCAAATAACCAGCAACTCTAATTTTATGATCAATTCCAACCATAGATGAGTGAGCTCTATGTGCTGTACCAAATGCATCATTAACATAAATATCACCCAAAGATGATAATTCCTTTCTAAATTTCTTAACACTCTCTTTGTCTGCCTTAATCTTAGCTCCATTTGCATCAAGACCTTTTCCTTCTTCTTGAATGTGGAATCTAAGATTTTCTAATAAATTGATCTATCCATTTCCAGCATTTGAAGCTTCAAGAGCTTCTGAACCAACACAATCATTAACAAAGTTAACTTTAGTACCCAACAATTCCTCTAATTTAGGAACAACAATCTTAAGTGAATCCTTTTCAACTCTATAAAATTAATCATTATTATTACCTTTTTCCATCAGGTCTACCCATATGAGACATTAATGTCACATTCTTTGGATTCTATTCTAAAATCTTTTTTAATGTAGGGATGGCTCCTTAAATTCTTGTTGTGTTCTTTACTTTTCCTTCTTTAATGGGCACATTGAAATCAACTCTGATTAAAACTCTCTTATTGGTGAATTAACGTAACACATGATCAATTCCAGCCTTAGAACTTAACATTTATTTCAATAAATATATTTATCTTAAAAGATATTTGACTCTTCTGTTTATAAATTAATTATGTTAACATTATTATTGCTACAAGTGGTGTTTTCATAAAAAATTTTGGATTCACCACTAGAACAAGTTGTATGGTGTAAATCTGAAACCTTCATTCTTAGTGCAAAAGGTATGCTATACAAAAACTATACATCTGAAATGCCAAAGTTAATATAAAATGTAAATATGAATTATTCATTCTAGTTAACCATAAGAGAAATATTACAATCAGAAGCAGATCCTTAAGTCCTTTATCTATTAGGTGATTTTGATACTTCTTATGTGACTTAGAATTGTGGGAAAACGTATTAAAAATTTAAGCATGAAAAGACTTTACATGATTTCAGATTAAATCCATTAGAAGCCCATAGTTTAATGGCATTTAAAGAGTTTAGATGCAATGCTACAAGTGGAAATTTGTGTAAAGAGAAATATAAAAAATAGTATGAAGATCTTTATTGAATTCTAGATTGTATGTAAGTAATGATTTTGGAAGTAATTGGAGACTAGTATTGAATAGAACTAAGGATGCAATATGGGATAAGTTGATTGAATTGCCAGAAGTGCCAGATTCAAGAATTGTAGCATCTTATTTGAGTGATTAAGGCCACGTATAGGTTAGTTATAGTGATGATTACTTTAAAACTACAAATTTATTGAGGAATAATTCTTATGGGTTTTATTAGACTAAAGAGTATTTGTTTATTTTGATTGATGCTGATCCTTTTAGTAAAGGTTATGATCTTGAAGTAATTAAATAAGGAAGTCTTACTCCAGTAGAATTGGTATTACCTATTGAAGATCATTAAAAATATACATTTACTGTATTGGACACTGTAAATGGATCTATTTTTATATCAATATCTCATTTGGAAGATATGCCAAAGATAATGAATATATATTAAAGTGATACAACTGGTACTAAATATACATTATCATTGTTAAATAATGTCAGAAGTTTAGATACTGGAAATTGTGATTTTGAATTGATTATGAGGGGTATTTACATTGCAAATATTTATGATAATGTTGAATTTGAGAAATTTAAGTTGAGAAGATCAACAAAAAATACAGATGGTATTAAAAGATTAGAAAATTATAAATAAAGTAGAATAACTTTTGAATAAGGAGGAGAGTGGCATGCTATCAAAGCTCCAAAATATGATTATAAAGGATAACCTATATAATGTAATGGAGATTGTTCATTACATTTATTAGGAAGAAGTGAAGCACCTAGAAATAGAATTGTAAGTCATTCATATATTACAATTGGAACTGGAAATACTGGAATTTATTTAGGAAATGAATATAAGACTTATTTAAGTAGAGATGGAGGACACACTTGGTTTGAAATATTAGATGGAATGCATATTTATGATATTGCTGAAAATACAGGACTAATTGTATTTGTAAGTGATGAAGAATAAGCAAGTGAAATCTTATATACTTGGGATGAAGGTTTAACATTTAAGAAGATTAAGATGAATGTTACTATGGATATAACAAATGTTGTATATAAAAATGGTAAGTTTATATTTCATGGAATATCTGATAGTAAAACTCTTGGAGTTGCAAAGGAAGATGATTTTACTTCAAGTGCATTAAAAGGAATAGTAGTTTCATTAGATATCAATTAAATTATGGTTAGAGAATGTTAAGGATTTGATAATCCAGGAGAATAAGATTCTGATTATGAATTCTGGTATCCAACAAATTATGCTGGAGATAAGTGTTTATTTGGAAGAAGAGAAAAGTATATAAGAAGAAAATAGAGAGCATAATGTTATAATAAAGAACCTAATCTTCCAGTATAGACAGAAACTTGTCCATGCACTAAGGCTGATTGGGAATGTGATGTTGGATTCAAAAGAGATGTTTATTCTAATTGTATTCCAATGAAAGAGATTAAACCTAAATAATGTAAAGGAACTTATATGAAAAGTCAAGGATATAGAAAAATATCTGGAGATGAATGTTAAGATGGGTATCATATTTATATATATTCTAGTGTATATTTGGGTCCAATTGAAGTAAACTGTCAATAAGAAGAATAATCTATTATTCAAAATTAAGATGCCAATNATTTTGAATTGATTATGAGGGGTATTTACATTGCAAATATTTATGATAATGTTGAATTTGAGAAATTTAAGTTGAGAAGATCAACAAAAAATACAGATGGTATTAAAAGATTAGAAAATTATAAATAAAGTAGAATAACTTTTGAATAAGGAGGAGAGTGGCATGCTATCAAAGCTCCAAAATATGATTATAAAGGATAACCTATATAATGTAATGGAGATTGTTCATTACATTTATTAGGAAGAAGTGAAGCACCTAGAAATAGAATTGTAAGTCATTCATATATTACAATTGGAACTGGAAATACTGGAATTTATTTAGGAAATGAATATAAGACTTATTTAAGTAGAGATGGAGGACACACTTGGTTTGAAATATTAGATGGAATGCATATTTATGATATTGCTGAAAATACAGGACTAATTGTATTTGTAAGTGATGAAGAATAAGCAAGTGAAATCTTATATACTTGGGATGAAGGTTTAACATTTAAGAAGATTAAGATGAATGTTACTATGGATATAACAAATGTTGTATATAAAAATGGTAAGTTTATATTTCATGGAATATCTGATAGTAAAACTCTTGGAGTTGCAAAGGAAGATGATTTTACTTCAAGTGCATTAAAAGGAATAGTAGTTTCATTAGATATCAATTAAATTATGGTTAGAGAATGTTAAGGATTTGATAATCCAGGAGAATAAGATTCTGATTATGAATTCTGGTATCCAACAAATTATGCTGGAGATAAGTGTTTATTTGGAAGAAGAGAAAAGTATATAAGAAGAAAATAGAGAGCATAATGTTATAATAAAGAACCTAATCTTCCAGTATAGACAGAAACTTGTCCATGCACTAAGGCTGATTGGGAATGTGATGTTGGATTCAAAAGAGATGTTTATTCTAATTGTATTCCAATGAAAGAGATTAAACCTAAATAATGTAAAGGAACTTATATGAAAAGTCAAGGATATAGAAAAATATCTGGAGATGAATGTTAAGATGGGTATCATATTTATATATATTCTAGTGTATATTTGGGTCCAATTGAAGTAAACTGTCAATAAGAAGAATAATCTATTATTCAAAATTAAGATGCCAATAAATCAAATGATAATGAAACACCACAATAATAAGTTACTTCTAAAAAAGTATAGATTACACAAAAGAAAGCAAGTGGTAGTGGAATTAAATTCTCTTATTTGGCAATTGGAGTCATCTTACTTATTTTGGCATTCTATGCAAAAAAGAAGTATCTTGATACTGGAAGAATTAAAAAAAGAACTCCTGCTCATTACTATCCTAGTCGATAATAAGAGAAATAAAGTCTTTTTACAGAACTATGATTATGTACATAATTACCTATAAATTTTTATATTATTCCATTTTGTCAAAATGTTATTATATAACAAATTGTATATATATAATAAATAAGTGAATTTAATATGTCAGCTTCTCCTTTGACTAGAGTGCAGGCTTCTGCTTTCACTAATGGTTCTGCATTGAGAATTAAGTCGAAATAGCCTTAAATACAATACTAAATGGATTAAATTAGTCCTCTTAAATCCACAGAAGAAAATGAATAATCACCTTCTAAGATTATTAATATTTATGCTAATAGTGCTATTTATAATAATTAAATTACATTCACTTCTGTAAATAATAGAGGAAATAGTGAAGATGATAAAATTCTCAAAACTAACACCTATAGTCAAATGGCTCCTGATGAAGCTGATCGAGCTTATTGTGAAAGGCAAAGAATCATCAAGGATTAAATAAAAAAAACAAAAGATAAAGCAAAATAAAAACCAAAGGAATTCTATGAATCAAAATAAACTACAATAAAGAATGCAATAAAAAAATAATAAATTGATTCTTCTACGGCATAATCATAATTAATTGATTTATCAAGAAGTTCATAAAATTTCAGAAGAAAATCAATAGATTAACCACCTTAAACATAAATTAAACCAATAAAAAATAAAGTAAATATATTAAAATAATAATTTCATTAATAATTGTAAAATAAGAAGTAACAATTATTAAATGATATTGCTAAATTAGACTAAGAAATTGTAATGGAATAAGAACGAAAACCTGTTTAAATTGTCTAAAAGAAAACATAATAAAATAGAAATAGTCAAGGATCAAAACCAGTTTATGATCAAAGATAATAAAACAAAAAAATAGTAGAATCTGAATAAAAGTTAAAATAAACTGTGAATACTTATAGAAATCTAAATACTTCATAAAATTTGAAGATTTCACCTAGAAATTCTCCAAAATCTGCTAAACCTAAACCGAAAGTGAGATCATAATCATAGGAAATTAAGGAATGTAATGATCCTTTGAAAAATTCAAGAGAAGATTTAAATTGTATTAAATATTTATTTATAATAGTAAGATTACTAAGAATGAATGAGAAATACAATATGATATTGGAGCAGTCAAATAAATTTAGAACACATTTTTAACAAATCTGAATATAATTAATTATTTATATGGATATTGATGATTTATTGGAGCAAATAGATCTTAATAATGATATTAAGCCATAGAGTACAAGAGAAAGAAACAGGAGATCTTTTATGGATCCACCGTAATAGAATTTTTATTAAATGAAGGAAATTGGAGACACAAAAAATAGCTAATGATCCCTATGAATTTGATAGTATTCTGAAATCTCAAGATTCTCCTGTTGATAGACAAACTTCCTTTGTACCAAGACAAAGACCATAAACTGCTGTTATAGATGAATCAAAAAAACAAAAAATGGCTGATCTTTTCTAACTACCAAAAACTACTGTTAATAAGGATTTACCTCCACCTCCTCCATAAATTGAAGATACAAGTAATAACATGGAAATTTCAATGGGATAGAGTAGAAGATAAAAAATGAGAATGTTATCCTAAAATAAGGGTCAACCTTAGAAAAGTGATATTAATTCAAGTTAAGATCCTATTGCAAATAATACATAATAAATAGAAGTAGAAAAACAATCAGTTTAGTCTGATTATTCAATGAAATAAAGCAAATAACCAGAAATACAAATAACTGCACCAATAAATCTGAATGTTCAAAAATTTCAAGATGAAATAAAATAATTGAAATTAGAAAAAGATAAATTATAAGATGATTTATAGGCTATAAAGAATGATAAACAGAAACTTTAAGATGAATTAGAAATAGAAAAAAGGGAGAGATAAAGAGTAATTAATGAAAAATTAGAAGTTGAAAGAAATTTCATAAAAGAAAGAGAATAATTAAAAAATGATTATGAAAGAGAGAAATAAAGAGCTGTTGATGCTGTAAAATTGGAAGTAATTATATTAAAATAATAAATAATTAGAATGAAATTATGAGATAATAATTAGGTGAATAGAAATAATTGGATCATCTTGCAGATAAAATTAAAGATAGTGCTAAAGAATTGGAAACTCTCAAAAATTAATTATATTAAAAAAATGAATAATAAACTTAAGAGAAGTTGAGATAATTAGAAAAGAAATAAAATGAAATTAATGATAAAGAAACTTATATAGAAAAAGAGAAATCATATATTGAAAATGAAAAGAGAAGACTTTAAAATATTTAAGATGATATTAGTAGAAGAGAGTAATTGTTTCTTGCATCAATGGAAGGAGATAAGAGATCATTATAGAGTGAGAAATAACTATTATAAGATATCAAGGAATCATTAAGAACATTAGAAATAGAAACTAAAAAACGATTAGAGTAAGAGAACATGTTTATACAAAGATAAAAGTAAATATTGATTATTATTGTATAGAAATGAAATTGAGTTGTTAAAAAATGAAATGAATTCATAAGCTTAAAGTAAAATAAGATAGTTGGATTTAGAAAGATAATTATTTGAATAGTAAAAGAGTGAATATCATGAATTTACTTAGAAAAATAATTAGATTATTTAATAAAAATATTCAGATATTGAAAAATAATAATAAAAAAATGGAGCTAAAGAAATGCAACTTATAGCATTATAAAGAGATTTAGATATGAAAAGTAATTAAGTTACTAGTTTACATTCTGAATATTCTAGAAAATTAGGTTTAATTGAAGGGGAAAGATAATAATTATTATAAAAATTAAAAGAAATTAATGAAAAAGAGTAACTTTATCATAAAGAAATTAATAATGTATAAGAATTTAGAAATATATATTAATAAGAAAAGGAGACAATTTAAAGACAAAAACTTGAATTACATTAATAAGTGGCATAAAATTAATAAGAAAAAATTTAAATTGAATAAGAGAAAAATTAATTAACTTAAATGCATAAGACTTTATCTCATTTAAGATCTGAAATAGCATAAAATAATACATAAGGATTCTCTTAAACAACAGCAATACCTGCTAAGCCTGTATAAAAAAATAAAGTGGATAAACCTAAGTCAGCATAAAAAATCCCAATTCACAACAATTCTTCTGCTAATCAAACAGCATCAAATTTTGATGTAGGAAGTTATATGAAATACTTGAAGAATGTTGATTATTTACATTGATTATAAATTATAAATATAATTAATTATATTCAATACTTTTTTGAAGAAGAAGGAGGAGGCCTTCTTGACCCAGTTTAAGTATTTGTAAATGTATTATTTGTACCATTTAAGTTAATATTATTTCTATTATTTTATGTTTATTATTATTATTATTAAGGTTATTATTATTATTTTTGGAAATTGTTAGTTGCATTAAACTGAGACTTTATAGTATTTTATGAAGGTGGTAATATCTATTGAGATTTCTTTTTCATTTAATTTATCATAGCCTTTTCTTTACATGATGGAATATGTTTCAAAGCTGTTTACTCATTAAATTTTCTACCACAATGTTCACACTATACTCTATCATCCACTTCTTCTATGGCAACCTAGACTTAGTGATTCATGTACTTATTCCTATTGACTAAGTGGCACTCCTTTATTTAATTTCATTGCTGCTCTGAATTATTCAGATTGTTATTTCCATTTAGGCTTTTTTTAACCTTAAATTGGTCTATCATCAATTTTAGTTTAGGGTTATTTTTTTTTCTATTGTTATTGTTATTCTTCAATAAATGCAATAAATTACAAATCTATTCTTCCTACTATTATTTCTATAATAATTTAGCATGATCTTAATTGATTATCCGTTGCTCTTTAGTATCGAATGCTTTTCTCTTCTCTTGAAATACCTTCTTGCAAATTTTAATATGTTTTTACAAAGCAGACCTTTTAAATTTCCTTCCACAACCATCAGGACATTCAATTAAATCCTCATCATCATCATCAAATTCATTAATCTCAATAGGCTTCTTATCCTCTTTAGCTACAATATCTTCATATGATATTGTTTGAGGCTAATAACTTTAAGCTTTCATTAAAGAAGGTGCTTAATAAATGTCTCGATCTGGCACATCTTCTGTGAATTAAGTATATTTTCTATCTCTATCCCGTTTTGCTTTTAATAAAGTTAAAGCTGATCTAATTTCCTCTTAAGTAGCTGGACGATTTGGATTGTTTCGACTATAACTATTACTTCTTTATATAGGCTTTTAAGGCTCTTAAGGTACTTAAGGTTTATAATCTCCACGAAGATTCATTTCTGCTTGTTGAGCAAAATTGAGTCTACCCTCTCGAGAATTTGCCCTATATTAATTTGAACGAGGAGGTTAAGCTGATGGTTTCATTTTAATTAATTATATATATCTATAAAAAATATATTTATTTTCATAATAAATCTTTCAGGATTTCATAAACTCTTTTTAATCAGAACTCTAAATCCATAATTTTAGTATATTCTTATTATGTAAAATATCATATTAAAACTGATGATATATATTTAAGTAATAATAGAAAGAATATAATTAAATAAATCTTAATGTAAGAAATTATCAATTATAATTATTCTTAAACTATAAATGATTATAATATTTAGAAGATTTTTTATTAATTGATTATTATATATTTGAGAGTTTTAGAATGTGTAAATTATAATAAATTATTATTTCACTTTTATAAGAATATAACTATACAAGTAATGTCGTCTCTAGCTAAACTATTCTAAAATTTAATATCTAATTTACTCTTCTCCATGCTTGTGTGGCTTCTACGATTATACGTTCAGCTGCTTAATCTGGATTATCTTTTTCCAAGTAAGGAATAACCATATCCATTACCTAATTGAATTTTAATATACCTCTTCATTGCTTAAGTATTCCCATACTCCATCTGAAGCCACAACAATAAAGTGATCCTATCCAGTTATAGCATATTATTTAATTTCTGGTTCTGCAGTCACTCCTGCCTAAGCACCCACTTTATCTCCTAGTGATCTAGACATTGCCAATCCTGGAGCTTATATATAGGAAAGCCAAACTCGAAATGGTCCTATTGGATTTCCATGCAAATCTATTAATTTAATTCACATCTACACCTTTTTATTATTCAACTCGTCCTCCAGCCTCTTAAATTTTTTTTTTTTCTTCAGGATCATCAGGTTTATGATCTCTACTTAAAGGAAGAACTTTCCATCCATCATCAAATCTACACATTATTGCTCTAGAGTCTCCTACATTTGCTGAATAGATCTACAATATAATAATTTAATTACAAGATCCTTAGTTATCAATAATGATACTGTAGTTGAACCTGATAGATTAGTGTCAATTTCAGAATTCCATAATTCCCTATTAGTTATTGTAAATGCTTTTTGAATCTAATTCTCGATGTTCTCTGCATCTTTCAATAACCTACCTAAGTGTTTAGGTAATTATTATTTTATTTAATTTGAAACCATATGACCATTTAAGCCATGTCCATCACAAACTGCAAACAACTTATATCCAACACTATTATTAATATATTGTATTTTTACCTTTCAACATTTTTTGGACAAACAATTGCCGCATCTTAATTAATTTTTGTTGCTTTATTTGGTTAACAACCAGCCTTAGTTCTCATTGCAAATATCATAGAATTTCTTTTGCCTTATCTTTTCTCAGGTGTTATTGATTTCCTCATTCCTTCTATTTCTGAAATTTATTTTTTTCTTTATAATTACTACTCACTTGCAGTAAATTATATAGATGGCAAACGAGCAGCCTTACCCTTATAAATTGAAACTGTCTACTCAATCTTGCTCAACTTTTTTAAAGGAGGCAGTGCAGGCAATGATAAATTAGCCTAATATTTACCATTATTGCTATTATAATCTGCACTTTCAGGATATCTAGATGCTATCCTTTGTATATTCTCCTTCTGAGGAGATGAGAACTCAAGTGGTTTCAAACGAAACTCTCTTTATAATCTTGTAATTGGAACAGATTATTATTACATTTATTCTTTAAATAATAATTATTATATTATAAAATTCTAAGTTCATAAATTTCTAATTTTATAAATCTCATATCTATAATTAACACTTTAAATTTAAAAGCTTAAAGATTTAACTATAAAATATAATGATGTAAATATAATGAATACTGAGTATTATTTAAATATATATTTAAAAATATAACATATTTATGAAAAGAAAAATGAAAAACAGTTAAATTATATAAAAATGAAAGAAATAAAAAGATGAAAAATAAAATTATATTTTAATATAATTAAGATATATCTTGAAAGTATATAAATTTTAAAGCTGTCTAGTCTAATTATATCAATAATGAAGGAAGAAAATATTTAAATCAGAATTTGATCTAATTATGAATAGTTTTATTAGTTACTTTTTATATATTCATTATTATTAGTTGATTTAAATATTAGTTTAATAGTATAAATTTTGAAGTAAATTTTTTTTAATTTATTGATACATATATTTTTGATCTTATTTATTATATGATTCTAATATGTAATTCAATTTTATAATCAATAAGAGAATAATTTATTTAAAATAGATTATAATTATATTATGAAGGTTAAAGGGTAATAAATTTATATATTTAATAATTAAATCCTTAAAAACAATTCTGATTACATGAATTCTATCATGAATAATAGAATTATATCTATTTATTATATGAAAATTTGATCATTATTTTATATTATAACATAAATCATAATATTTAAATAATGACTTAGATAACAAGTAAAAATGTGTAAATTAATTTAATAAATAAATAAATTTAGTAATTATTAATTAAAGTAATTATATATTTTAGAATTATTAATGTTAAAAAAGAGAGGATCAGATTAGTTAGATATAATTTTTGAAGCTGGTGAAGATTTAATGAATTCTTCAAAGAATCAAGTTATTATTCTAAAGAACAATTCTATCAGACTACCACTCACAAAACCTAGAACATTTTTATCGTATAGTTTAGAATTTTGTGGTATAACAGGTTTAAATTATAAATAACTTCGATTTCAATCATTAGGAAGAGACATAAGAGTATTTGATTGATTAATGATTTAGCCTGAAACTAATATTATGACTGCAAGTTTAGTTAAAGTGATACATACAAATGAATTTAATCAGATGGTTCAAAATCCTTTAAAAACATCATTATAAAACTTATTTTAAGGGGGAATATTTAGTGATGTGATTCTAAAGATTAATGATGAAATAGTAATGATTTCAATATATATATATATAAATAGGTACTTCCATTACATAAATGTATATTGTCTTGTCGATCTCCAAAATTTAATGGAATGTTTTCATCTAATCTTATGGAGAGTACATAGAGTATAATAAAAGTAGAATATAAAAAACCTGAATTGTTTAAATTGATGTTAGGTTGGATATATAGTGGATATTGGAAAGAAGTATTTAAATAAAATAATGATTTTGATAGTTCCCTGATAATATTGCAGATGCATGTGATTTAATGTTATTGGCAGATGAATATATGATAATGGATTTAAAATAAAAGTGTGAAGAAGATATTATATCTAAATTAGACATCTCAAATATTTTATAGATCTTATTATTTGTTGAAAAATATTGTGATATATTATCTCCAATAATAGTAGATAAGGCTCATACTTTATTTATAGATGACTTTGATTAAATATTACGATTAAATCCAAATTTAGAATAAGAGATAACTAAAGTACCAGGATTGATGACAAAATTGTTTTTAAATTATCATTAGAAGAAGATTAGAAAAGCAAGAAAAGTTCACTTTGTAGTAGAAGACTTCGATTAATAGGAATCAGATTCGGATTATAATTCATAGGATTATGTTAGAAATTATACACAAAATTTTTACTAATGATTTATATAATAAAATTCATTATTTTTATTAAGTGAAAAATTCATAAATTTATTTAATTAAATGATTATATATATTAATATCTTTTTGTATATATAAATAACTAAAATGATGAGAATTTATTGAAGTTTATTTTAAAATTATAATATAATGGCATATTTTTGTAATACAAAGGTATTATATTAAAATAAATATTTATTAAAAATATCTTAAATTTAATGAATCAATAAAATTTAGACAAAGATGAGATTGCTTTACTTTAAAAGCCTTGGGTTAAGAATCACACAACATTAACAAATGATGATATCTTAGAGCTTTACAGATTATTTAATTTGTATTGTAATCCCAGAACAAGAAGAATAGATTTGAAAGATGTAATGATAACAGCATAACATTTGGGATTGGTGTAAAAGAGTCCAATAGTAGCCAATACTTTATAATAAGTATCTGATTAACATGGAGATGGTGGTGTTGATTTTGAAGAATTTGTTAGAGAGTTGACTAATAAATTGGTAATTTTTGATTGTATAAAATCTTTTAGGGCAATTTATTTGATTAGAAAGGAAGAGAATAACTATTCACATTAGTGGATATTGATGGTAAAGGTACCTTAGATAAAGATGATTTGAGAAAGATTTCAGATGAATTGCATCTTAATTTTTCATAAAAGGATATTGATGAAATAATTCATAATGTTGCTGGATATGATGCTGTAGATATTACTGCTGAATAGTTTGAGAAATATCTAGGTAAATTGACAAATAGAAGAAAAATTGAGACTGAAGTTCTCAGAACCAAATGAAAAAAACAGTTTATATAATAAGCATAAAAACAGATTTAATTATTAATATAAATGTTCTATATGATTTGATAATATATCAGACGGCTGAAGCTCCTGAAATGATTTCACATAACTCAACAGTGATTTTAGCTTATCTGACCTTATTGTATTCAAGTGTCAATTTGTCAAGCATTTCACCAGCATTTTTAGAAGCATTCTCCATAGCATTCATTCTTGATGATGTTTCACTAGCCAAACTATTTAACATGGCATGATAAAAAGCAGTTGCTACATAATATTCATACATATAATTTTAAACAAATTCTTTTTCTGGTTCAGCTGTATCATATTTTGTTACCAATCTGAATTAAGCAATGAAATTCTTTCTATTCAATAAATCAACTCTTTTGACTATTTATTAAACAACATTTTTAAATTAATTGAAAATGATTGATATTTAATCAACATCATCTGTTACATTCAATTAAATCTAATGAGCAATTGAAGATGAATTAATAAAATTTATAGGTGTTTGAATAGCTGTAATTGCCTATGTAAGTAATTCAGGGAATGCTCTTTGTAATGCTCCAAGGGACTAAAATGTAATAAAAAAAAATTAATATACTTTTTCACCAATCAAGAATAGTTTGTAAGCATTACGATTTTGTCTGACTACTGTACGTGTTTCTCTAATTATTGATGAATTAATGCCACCACAAAGTCCTTTGTCTGATGTAATGGGAACCAAAAGTGTCTTATTTATTTTGAATGTCAATTGTTTTTTCTATAAGTATGTTTCATTTGCAAACAAATCCTAAATAGAACGTATACCAAAGTGTTTGCCATTCTCAAGTCTTTAAACATCCTGTTTCATTTTTGAAGCAGCAACCATCTTCATGGCCTTGGTGATCTTTCTAATTGATCCTACAGACTTCATTCTTTGCTTCAATTATTTAAGATTGAGTGTAGCAAATGCATACTAAGGAACTGGAGTTAAGCTATTCCACAAACCAAGTGTGGCACCCTATAATCTCTGCATTATTTAATTAAATAAATAAATCTTAAAAACAAACAAATAAAGAGACTTATTCTTAATTTTATTTGTTATCTTTTAATATTATCTCTAAAATAAGAATTAAAATAAGACCATAATAAATATTTATAATCAATTTTAGAAATAATATTCATAAGATAATAAGAAATTCTTAATTGGATTAAATGAAGTTAAAGTATTATTTAAAATAAATTTTATTGAAAATAATAATGATAATTATGATATATAAATAATTATTAGAAATAAAAAAAATGATATCATTTTTGAACTTGTTGTGATTCTTGTATTTATTGCTACTAAGATTATTATAATTTTTTTGTTACTCTTGAATCAAACAAGCCCTATTATAATCTTAATGCACTTAGAGCAGTCTATTTTTTGAAACTAGCTAATTCAGAAAAGGATCTTTGTATATTATTTAGACTATTCTCCTATTGTTTCTATAATTTTTATTAAGTTTTAACTCTATCTGAATATAATTATTTTATTTCATCAACCTTTGCTTATAAATTTCTTTAATTATTGATTGGAGTGTTTATTTTAGAATAAGTTGAAACTTAATGTGATTTAAAACTATCAGTACTTTCATCCATTTAGGTATGACATCTTTAACTAAGATATAACTAATCAATAATTGCTGATTTTTATGTAATTCTACTCTACTTTTCATGTTAAGATACTGATCTTTATTAATTAAAGAATCTATCAATTTATGCTTTTAAATTCTACATTTTCAATTCAAATTCATCATATCTAAAGAATTATTCTTTAATAAAAAATAATAATATACCATTATCTGGAAAATATTTAACAGTACTAAAAATATCACTAAAACTCATTTATCCAATAACTTTTTACATTATTTATTTACATCCCGAATAGTAATTAAGAATACTTACTGATGGTTATAATGATTCACTTAAACCTATATTTTCAAAATCACTTCTTAATTAAATAAGACTGTTAATTTTCATCTAAATATCATTAAGCATTTTTTCAGTCTATTATTCTTATATCTCTTTAAGATTATCTAATTATGTTAAAATCTCTTTTTCCTTATTTTGAATCACTTAATATAATGATTAAAATTATTCTTATACTCTTTAAATTAAATAATCCATCTCTTCTTATAACGTAGAATCTTAATCTTAAACTCTTTTTAATTGCAATTACATTAATTCTAAAGATGCCCCTATTGTATGTGTGGCATCATTCATTTTACTCTTTAATCTCTTTAAACAACTATTAACATTTTATATTTCATGTGTTTTATTATCATGTCTCAATAAACATTTAATACAAAAACACTTATTTTCACAAGTAAAACAAAATAATGTTGCATCTTCTTTAGTATGAATATCACATTTTGGTTATGGTAATGGCTATATAATAGTTTAACTTTATTATAGTGGTTTATCTTCTTTAATTTAATTTTAATCTTCACGAACCTTTTCAAGACTAGTTTGAATCAATTGATGACAGATACTCTCAACTACTGATACTGATCCATCATCTAAAGGAGTGTCTTTTTCACATACTGTACATATATAATGAATATTATCTGTTCCTTCTAATTTGAAGATTCTTCCACCCTATTATTTTAAATTAAAATACTTTCAAAAAGTTTTAAGCCATACATATTAAGCAAAAACAATGATTACAATTTAGACTTAAGTAATTATCTGGTACTTATTTACATTAATCACATGCAACAATCTCTTCTTCTGACATGAATTAACTGTTAAAATAATTAATTAGCGGAATTATTACTTCATTAAAATTTCTGTTAATTATTAATCAAGAATTGTATATATATATATATGCAATATCTATAAATATAGTAATGAAATATAACAAATTATATGTATATTAAAGTTATTTGAAATTGAAATATATATATCATCATCTTTATTCAATTGAATCTATCTGATAGAAAACCTATCAACTTTTATTCTTCTACTTATTTGTACATACTTATATATCCTTTAATATTTGTAGATTTATTGATATGTACTGTTTTTAATTATTATCTATTTCTATCTGTTGTAGAAAATGTATTAACAAATAATTTTTAAGCTAACTATTATCTATATTATTATTTCTCTTCCTCTGTTGAATCCTTTGTTAATACTTTTATCTCATGTTTTGGAGATCTAGCTAATTAAGTATTCTTAATCAAATCTTCAGGAGATTAATGTAATTATCTTCTTAATTTTGCTAAAGGATTATCAATTTATTAAGTTTTCTTAGGTATTAATTTCTTTTAAATTTCATTTGAATATGAAATCAGTTATTTTTTAAATCCTTCATTCGGATTTACACAGGGCCTTTTAGATTTTACAAATTTAAGTGTTTTCTCAAATACCCATTTATTTTGATACATCAGAAAAGCTATAACACATGTAGCCGATCGAGAAATACCAGCCATACAATGCACTAAAACAGATCCAATTTTCATTCCCTCTTCAATTTCTTCATTTGTCATTTCAATCAATTCTTAGATAGTTACATTTTCTTTATCATGAACTTTAAAAATCTACTCATACTCATCAATATACTTTATGAATTATTTTCTAATGTTTTGGATAGCTTACATTAACATTACTAGCTACTGTAATTACAGTACGAATATTCTCTTTACTTAGATTCTAAATATTCTAAGCAGCCTTTATATTACCTAACCATAAAGCTCCATTTGGTTTCATAGATGGCAATATCAAATCCATTTCGTTAATGTGCATATACATAAATATTAACTAGATTAAATATAAAAATATAGTTAATTATTTATATTCAAGTAATTTTATTCATCAAATATTCCAATGTTGTATTTTATAATAATTTTAATTATTGTACTTACATAATGTTCTTAAATTTTAAAATATATTTATAAGACATATATAAATATTGTAAAAAATAAAGGTATGATTAGTTAAGATAAATTAGGATAATATTCTTAGAATAATATAATTCATTTATAATTTTTATTCAATTATATTTCAAATGTATTATTACTAATATCATGGAATTCATAATGTTAATAAATTATTTACTTTTATTAGAATTGAATTAAAATGATTAGTACTATTTTATCATTTTTGTGAAATTTAGTTATCTATAGAATAAATCAAATGATTTTAATTCTTTAATAGTAGATTTGAACTATTGATCTTAAAAATGGGTATCCCATTTGTTATTAAGATTATTGTTTGACTAATTAGAAATAAAGAATTAGTAGTTTCTACCTATGTACTTATAATAATTTAATTATAAAAAATAAATGCTTTAAAAGCCCTTCTAATTTGATTTATAGATGTTCTCATAAAAATTTGAGTTTAACAATAAAGAAATAATTGGAAAAGGTTTTGATTCTATTGTCTATAAGGTCACTAATAAATAGGATAAAGATTAATATGCATTGAAGTTAACAAGTTTTAAAGATATGTAACACAGATTTAATTTTTAACAGGAAATACGACTCTTATATCATTTGAATCATGAACACATAGTAAATTTTTTTGGAAACTCAATGGATGGTAGTTGTATATTGATTGAATATATGCCTCATGGTAATCTTGTAAAATTGATTGATCTATAACTTGACTTAAAGATTATAAAATCAATTTTAAATTAGATAATGAGTGCTGTAAAATATTTACATTAAATGAATATTGTACATGGTGATATTAAACCTGAAAATGCGCTTATTTCAAGAGATTTCATAATAAAACTTTGTGATTTTGGATTTGCAATTATACAAAATTAACCAAATACAAAATTAAGAGGAGGAAGTGAAGGTTATACTGGTCCTGAAGTAGGTGCAAATGATGATTATGATGCTAAAAAGTGTGATATGTTTTCGTTGGGAGTGGTCTTTTTTGTTTTGTATATAGGATATCGACCATTCTTAAGTACACATCCATAAAGATAGGATAAATTTTGGAATTATATAAAAAATAAAGAATGGGATAAATTTTGGAAGATTTTCGAAGCAAAAAAACCAGATGTTGGATTTAAGAATTATATATAAAAATTATTGTGTGCTGATCCAAATGAGAGATACACAATTGAAGAAGCTTTATAANATATTTCAAATGTATTATTACTAATATCATGGAATTCATAATGTTAATAAATTATTTACTTTTATTAGAATTGAATTAAAATGATTAGTACTATTTTATCATTTTTGTGAAATTTAGTTATCTATAGAATAAATCAAATGATTTTAATTCTTTAATAGTAGATTTGAACTATTGATCTTAAAAATGGGTATCCCATTTGTTATTAAGATTATTGTTTGACTAATTAGAAATAAAGAATTAGTAGTTTCTACCTATGTACTTATAATAATTTAATTATAAAAAATAAATGCTTTAAAAGCCCTTCTAATTTGATTTATAGATGTTCTCATAAAAATTTGAGTTTAACAATAAAGAAATAATTGGAAAAGGTTTTGATTCTATTGTCTATAAGGTCACTAATAAATAGGATAAAGATTAATATGCATTGAAGTTAACAAGTTTTAAAGATATGTAACACAGATTTAATTTTTAACAGGAAATACGACTCTTATATCATTTGAATCATGAACACATAGTAAATTTTTTTGGAAACTCAATGGATGGTAGTTGTATATTGATTGAATATATGCCTCATGGTAATCTTGTAAAATTGATTGATCTATAACTTGACTTAAAGATTATAAAATCAATTTTAAATTAGATAATGAGTGCTGTAAAATATTTACATTAAATGAATATTGTACATGGTGATATTAAACCTGAAAATGCGCTTATTTCAAGAGATTTCATAATAAAACTTTGTGATTTTGGATTTGCAATTATACAAAATTAACCAAATACAAAATTAAGAGGAGGAAGTGAAGGTTATACTGGTCCTGAAGTAGGTGCAAATGATGATTATGATGCTAAAAAGTGTGATATGTTTTCGTTGGGAGTGGTCTTTTTTGTTTTGTATATAGGATATCGACCATTCTTAAGTACACATCCATAAAGATAGGATAAATTTTGGAATTATATAAAAAATAAAGAATGGGATAAATTTTGGAAGATTTTCGAAGCAAAAAAACCAGATGTTGGATTTAAGAATTATATATAAAAATTATTGTGTGCTGATCCAAATGAGAGATACACAATTGAAGAAGCTTTATAAGATGATTGGTTTAAAAGCAATCAATACTCTATATCATAATTAGCCCAATAACTTAGTATACATTTAACTAAATAATGATATTTATTTTGATTAACCATTTGTTTAATATGAAATAAATTATATAGAATTAATGTATATTTTAAAGTCTTCTAAATTTTCATTATATAAGATCAATAGCTATTCAAAATTTTTAGTTTTAATAAATAATAATATAATAAAAAAAAAATGTTTTTGATTAAAAATCTCTTGAAGAATAATTAAATATAAATAGCATCAAAATTGTAAAATAAACTCAAATTTTCATCTTCATTTCTAGATATTAAGATGTGATGAGATTTTTCTTTTCAAAATTGGCCTTAATTATTAGTCAGTTTATTATTATTTTTTGTTTATATTATGCTGATTTCTGAAGTTAATCTTCATCATATCAAGATTGGAAATTTGAGAAAGAGTTTCCTTGATTTATAAGACTTCATCATTAGGATCATATACACATATTGTGACATAGTTATCAAATTCTATTTAGTATTTTTTGCCATTTTTTATCTGTCTTCCTTTTGCATCATACCTTTATTATTCTTTAATTAAGGAAGTTTAATTGAAACCTTAACAAAACGGTTCATCTGGTACAGTATCATCCTATGGCCCTACTTTTATGGTTAGTTAGAGCAGTAATTTAGGACCAACACTTGATTTCTACATTATAATTTAATTTTTAGTATATTAAGTTGTACTTATTCGATTTATTCAAATATTCTAGTTTGTTATATCTACTAGCAATAATTTAGACAAATTTAATTATTGTTTAATAGTAATAACAAAAAAAATGTATGGGGTGAAAAATGATGCTTCAAATAATTTGGAAGATGAGTTAATAAACTGAAATTTACATATTCATTAAAAATATTAAATGGGTACTTGCTAAAATATATGTAAATAATAAGACAATGAAAGAGAATGTACAATCTTGACTAAAACTAAAACCAATAAAGGATAAGAATCAGATAGAGAATCTAAAACTGATCCTTATTTCTCTTAGTAATTATTTATAAGAGATGATTCTATTGCTGAAGAAAATAATTGTTACATTTCCTAAAAACAACCTTGTTTTATTAAAACTAAAGAAATAGCCTTTGTATAAACTCACACTGATAGGAAAAATCGATTTGAAAACGATATTAAACTTGAAATTAGATATAAAATATAATAGATGTAATATTAATCATATTTTTAGAAAATTGTAGGAAGAAGAAGAGTTAAGAAATTTATAAGAATAATACTTATAAGAAATTAAACAAAAAGAAGAATAAGTATAAAAAGAATAAGTACTTGATAACTAATTTTCATTCTAAAATTCAATGAAACAATCTTTATCAGAATTACCTAATAATTAATAAACATCTAATCCTTATTTACCAAGATAGACATCTTAATTTGCACCTAAAAAACCAGATGTTGATACTGTTTCTTAGAAATCTTAAATATCTAAAACTCCAACATAGAAAGATTAACAAATATCTCCTAAATCTGAAATGATGAAGAAGTCTGCTTTAAAAAAAATTATAATTCAACGTGAAGAATTATAAAGTAATAATGCAAGTTATGGAACATAAAAATCAGTTTATTCTAAAAAAGTTAAATAATTAGAAGCTTTTGAAAAAATGTTTAGTGATTATTATTCATAAGATGAAAGAAGTCAAAGTGGTAGTCATAAGACATAAAAGAGTGTTAAAAGTATTTTAAAAAAGAATAAATCTCTATCTTAAAGAAGTATATCAATGGGTAAAAATTCAATAAAATCAACTCATACTGTTTTTAAAAATAGAAATTAAAAAAAAGTACGATTTTCTAATGATACTAATTTTAATAATGAAAGAAAAGGACTTAATAGGATAAGAAAAAGTTGGTGGGATTGGTGAATTCAATATATTAAATAACATTCTCTGTATTACTCTCTTGATAATAATTGTTTATTAATCAGTTATATAGATTAGAATAATAAAATTATTAATTATTATTTTTCTTATCAAATATGATTCAAATTTTAATTTCAATTAAAATAATACATCCATAAAATTTATTTATATATTATTTTGTAATAATAATCAAGAATAAATGATAAGCATTATTAAAATTAAATAAAATTATTATACTAATAGAGGATATAGATTGATTATTACAAATTGAACAATCATTTAATAAATTTTAGTCATAAATTTTATTGAGTGAATTCGAATTCATATATATTTAAGGAATAATATATATAATTTATAAAAAATATGGTTAAAACTCCAATAAAAGTAATAGTAAGAACTCGACCAACAGTAGAATTTGCTTATAAAAATATCAATATCAATGAGAATACAGGACACATTGCAATCAATATACCAAAATCAGCTGAATAAGGTATGAATGTTGATTTAACATTTGAAAAGGATTTGTGAATCATTAATAAGAAGATTGGGGCTTCACTTTTGATAAGGTTCTTTAGAATGCAAGTCAGGAGGTAGTGTTTGACATATGCGGAAAAGAATTAATACACAGTGCTCTTGGAGGATATTCTGGAACAATTATGGCTTATGGATAAACAGGAGCAGGTAAGACATTTACAATGATGGGATCTCAGATTGATTATAAATATAGAGGAATGATGCCAAGATGCATTAGCTTACTTTTTCAAGAAATAGAAGCTAGATATGAATAATAAATTACGGTAGGAGTTTCATATTTGGAGATATATAATGAAATGATGTATGATTTATTGGCTGGAGGAGATTAAAAGTATATGTGTTAAAAACTTACTATAGCACTGGTTTGGCTATTTAAGAAGACAATAATGGATATGTATAAGTAAAAGGATTGACAATCAAAAAGTGTTAAACTGAAGAAGATGCAATAGCATAATTATTTGAAGGAGAAACTAATAGAACAATAAGTGAACATAAACTTAATAAGGCATCATCAAGATCACATTGTGTATTTACAGTCCATTTAGAGATAAGATCAAGAGTGGAATCAGCTGAAAAAGTCATTATTAGTAAATTAAATCTAGTAGATTTGGCAGGATCTGAAAGAACAAAGAAAACTGGATCAGAAGGTAGAACTTTATTAGAAGCTTAATTCATTAATAAATCACTTTCATTTTTAGAATAAGTAGTAGTAGCATTATCAGAGAAATAAAGAGATCATATTCCTTATAGATAAAGCAAATTAACAAATCTTCTTAAAGATTCAATTGGAGGAAATAGTAAGACTGTTATGATAGCTAATATATGGCCAGAGAAACATTAATTAGAAGAAACTATATCTACTTTGAAATTTGCCTAAAGAATGATGAAAGTTACTAATGAATCTTCAATAAGAGTAAATTTGGATCCTTAAGTATTGATAAAAAAATATGAAAAAGAAATAAAAGATTTAAGATAAGAATTAGCAATGCATGATACATTGGCTAATAGAGGTAGAATATAATATGAACCATATACACCTGAATAATAATACAAATAATAATAAATAGCATAATAATTTTTGAATGGAGAACTTGAAGATATTGATATAGATTCATTAAGATAAGTTAAAGAATTATTCTTTTAATTTAGAAATCTATATAGAAATTTAGTTAAAGATTTGGAAAATAAAAATTACATTCCAAGAACAGAAAAAGAACCTGATGTTTCAAAGAAGAAAAGTGATTAAGTAAAACCAGTAGAAAGTGTTGGAATGGAAGAAAATAAACATGGATTTGGTTTAGGTAAAGCTAGAAAAGATGCTAAACCAACTACAAATATAGAAAATTTAGTAAATATTCCAAAAGATGAATTTAAATAAGTAGATGATAAGGCATAATAAGAAATAAGGAAAGAGAGTCAAATTACAGAAGTTAATAAAGAATCTACAATTGAAAAGAGGATTGTTAATGTGGATAAATAGCAAGCATTTACTGATTTCAAAAATAAAGAAGGCTCTTCTATTAATCAACAAATATTAGAAAATATTGTAAAATTTTATTTTCAATAATTAGAATCAATTGAAAGATAAGAAGGATAATATTATATCTTTATCAGAAACTTCAAACCAACTTAAAAAGGATATTGAAATAAAGAAGGGTATTATTGCATAAAAACAATTGAATAAAAATTAGGAGGTAAGAGAAAGGTAATAATTTCATAGGAAATTGCCTAAGGAATTATCGATGAGGAAGAATATTAAACTTTGAAAGAACTAAAGGAATTAAAAAAGTAACTAAAATAAAACTAAGAAAATATAAAATCTCTGAAGTCTGAAATTATCATGATAGATTAATGTATTAATCAAGTATCTATAAAATTTATTCATTTTAGTCTAAATAAGCATTGGTTCAAAAATTTGAGGAACATTTTCTTAAAAAATATGGATTAACATTACAAGATATTAATAATCCACTTGTGAATCAAAAAGAAGAGGACTATTCAATCAACGATCCTTCAGAATAGGATGATGTTGATCAAGATGCTTTAGCTTACATAAGAGCAAAAAATAAGGTTACACAATTATAAAAGGCAAGAAAGTAAGAAAAAATGCATAAATGATTAACGTATTGATCTATAATAAATCCTTATTAATAAAAAAATATTTATTTCTAATAATATCATTTATTCAATTCATTAGATTACATATTTTAATGGATTTCTTAAAGGTTTAAATTATATATCTTTTTATAAAAATTAAAGAAATAATAACTTATATTTTTGAGATATTCTTTAAAAATTTATAAAAATTTTATTAGCTATCTTCTTGTTTTCTATAATTATAACTATATATAAATTTGAGTACTATTTAGAAATTTTATTAATAAGACATGCTTGAATTCATTTGAGATTTCAATTTAATTTTTCAAAATTGTTATAAAGTATTTATATAAAAGTTTAACATTACAAAATTATTATCAGAATTTAATACTTATGATACAAAAAGAATTTGTTTTTATAATAATTATTTAATCCTAATTATAATGAAATGTTTAATTTATAAATTCCGAAATTATTAAATTTGAAGCTTAACTATTTTCTGAATAAATTATTAAAAAACCTTATTTAGTTAATTAAAGCTGAACTTATAAATTGATCATGTCATATAACGAAGTGAATTAAACCTAGAATTACTTTCTTTGTTTGATATTCTTGTTTTATTTATTAAAGAATGATCGTCGAAAAAATAAAATAAAAAAATATATTTAAATTCATTCTTTTATTTAGAAATTGGTTTAAGCTTGAATTATTTAATTAAAAATTTCTTTCTTTTTTTCAATCTAAATATTAGATTAAAGAAAATTATTTAATAATAAGGATTTAGTCTATAAAAAAAATTAACAATTAATATTACTATTAATTTATCAAACTTTAATTTTAAGTTTCCTCATTAATTATAGATATTTTATTATTGTTCTACATCTATAGAAAAAATTGTTCAAAACATCATATTGATTATTATGTATATTGAAAAATATCAATTAGTTCTATTATATTTCAGAGTCAACCAAATAATCTTTGACTATTGTAATATGGTTTACTTTTTGAGAAACTCAACAAGCATAGAAATTTATCTTATAAAAAGCAAAATATATAAATATTAAATGAGTGCATTTAAAATCATTGTATAAATTATTAATTTATTTTGAGAATGATTAATATGGGATAATTATATACAATGGATATAGAAATTAGTATCACAGCCTGTTTGCCCGAGCTGGTTAAGGGGGCAGACTTAAGATCTGCTGGAGCCTACTCCGCGTCGGTTCGAATCCGACAGCAGGCAATTTTTTTTTATCTCAATTTCTTTAAACTAATTTTATTTTATATAAATTCATTTTTTTATATTTATTTCTTATATTTGCTCATCAATAGTTTTAGCTTAAATTCAAAATGAAATTTATTTTACATAAAAAAGTATTTTCAAAAATATCATATTAATGCTTCCTAATAAAATGTATTTGTTTTAATTGATATTTAAATCGATATAAAATACTGCTACATCTGATACAAAATTTCTCATCATTATTTATTATTAAATTTGGACTCCAAAGGAATACTTTTATAGTTTCAAATCTAACTATCAAGAATATTTGCTGCTCATCAATTTAAATTTCAATTTTTACTTAAATTTCTGCTAATATTCAAATAATATATGCCAGCAGATATATATTTTCTAATTCAGAATCTCTCAGTATATTTTAAATTGATAAACAAAAATTTCTCAAAAAAAATAAAAAAAACCATTATAAAATTATAAAATGTATTGTTTCAATGATAATTTAAAATAAATTAAGATTAATTCATATCTAATAATAACTACATTATATAATTTGTTTGAGATTTAATTTAAGCTTAATCATTTTTAATAATTGAGTATAAATGAAATTATAAAATTATCCAATCCAGACACATCTATTTTATTAATTATTTGTATTTATTGAAAATTTATGATTATATATTGCTGTTAAAAAGTGGTAATTAAAAATAAGAATATCATATTTTTTCATTAAAATGAAATAGAATATCTAATGTACTCTAAAAATTTTTAAGGAAAATTGGATGAGCTTATTACAGTTTTATCTTAAATTTCTTATCCAATACAATTTATTATATAAAATGATGAAACTACTAATATAAAGATGATAATATAGTAATTAATAAATAAAAAAGAACAAACTTTTTAATGATTACCATGAAAGCATATTTATCAAAATGCATAATAAAATACAATCTTTTAAGAGTAATGATAAATTTAATAAGCAAAAATAGGAGCTTTTTGTATTCAATAAATATAATATCCTTTGATATTTTTACTTTTTTAATGCTTAATTTTGTTAAATTAAGAGGTTTAGTTAAGTATATTTAAAATCTAATTTTTTTATAATGTTTTAGATGCATAACAAAATATTGCAATAATTATAAGAGATTAAAAATAGTTAGATGCTTAAAATTTTATCGTTTTCCTTAAAATAACATTATGTTTAATCCAAAATTATCAAGAAAAATAAGCTAATAATAATAAAAGCAGATTTTTAAATAATTCCTTGTAAATCTTACTGCTTAATAATCCAACAATAGTAGGAAGATAATTGTTTAATAAACTTGTTTTCTTAAAATGCAAAATATTATTTATAAGTCATAACCATAGATAAAGATAAAAGTCTATTGTATAAATTATTAATTTATTTTGAGAATGATTAATATGGGATAATTATATACAATGGATATAGAAATTAGTATCACAGCCTGTTTGCCCGAGCTGGTTAAGGGGGCAGACTTAAGATCTGCTGGAGCCTACTCCGCGTCGGTTCGAATCCGACAGCAGGCAATTTTTTTTTATCTCAATTTCTTTAAACTAATTTTATTTTATATAAATTCATTTTTTTATATTTATTTCTTATATTAGAATACTCCAACAATTAGTTTAGCCTAAATTTTTCTAATTAGTTATTTTATTTATAATTTAAGATAATTATTTACACTATTAAATAGAAAAAATGGTATACCTAGCAAATTTACTTAAAAGAGTACTAAAATAAATGTTGAAAATAATCAGTGATAACTATTTCTGATTGATTTCGCTTGAGTAATTAGAAATAGATTATTTTTATTCTCTCTGAATCATTATAAAACTAATTCACAATCCAATGTTACTCATTGTAAAAATGATGATTGTTAAAATTAAAATATAAAATGAAGCATAAATGATTAAGATAATGTTAGAAAATTAAGAAATCAATTTAAATTTAGTTTGTAAAGAATTTCTTGAAATCATAAGAGGATCATAAAATCAATAAGAAAATTTTACATAATAATTTTAAAAAATAACAATATAACTTTTATATTAAATTACAATACTTCATTTCCTATATTTCATTTTTACTAAGACATTATTATTTTATTTATATTCAAAAAAAATTTAATAGATTATTATTTTAATTGTAATTTAGACAATTTAATTAAATATACAATCATTTTTGATTTAAATATAGGAAGGAGCTTATTAAGATATTATATAAAGAATGATTTTTAATTTGAATTTAGTTAACGAATATTTGCATAAAGAAAGTCTTGTCAATATAGAAAAATAAGTAAATTTTTTAATTTTAATCAACATTCTTTTATTAAATTTATAAATAAAGTAATACAATAACTTTCTCTACATTAAACCAAAAAAATGATTCCAATTATTTTTATAAAAGATAATTTTTTATTTTCTTATAATGAATTATATAATTAGAAATTATAATAATGTTCTCTAAATTTAGTTAATAGTTAAAGCCACTAGGAAATAGATCCTCCTCTGAAACTAAAAAGGATTAATCTAATTAAAAATCAAATTTATAAATAACATAAAAGAGACAAAGGAGTGAATCCAGAGTCCATCCAAATGATGAATCAAAATAGCTTATTTAGAGTGTACCTGCATAAAGAATGAATTTAAGATTACCAGATTTAATTAAATAGCAAAACAAAATAGAAAATTCGACTTCCAGAATTGATTTAACTAAAAAACCTCCTCTTGTTAGAAGTAGAATTATTATAGATACAAAATCAAAATAATAACAGTAGCAATAACAAATTTTAACGCAATCAATTCCTATAAAAAGCCAATAAGCAGAAAGCATTTAGCATTCGTAATAATAAAAACAAAAAATAAAGATCCATTATTTTAGTCAATCCCGACCTGGCTTTGATGGCATTGCAGAGAAAACCAACTAAGATAGAGAACTCTGTTTATAATTTGATGTAAATAATTATGCTTTTGCGGTTATGGATGGTCATGGTATGGATGGACAATATGTTAGTACTTTTGTTAAAGAATTGTTAAAATGTACATAATTTATGAATATGTAGTTAATTTGAATAAATTTTATTAGGTCTTTGATTTTTAAAAGATATTCTTTGATATCCATTAAAAAATGAAATTATAAACAGAATTTGGATGTCAATTCTCAGGTACAACTTTAACTGTAATACTGCTTAAAGAACATACTATTTAATGTGGATGGTTAGGGGATAGTAGAGCCATACTTGTTAGAAAGAATTAAAATTTATCTATAATAGAATTATCAATAGATCATAAACCTCATTTGGAAAGTGAAAGATAAAGAATAGAATCATGTGGAGGTGTAGTAGATACTTATCATTTGCCAAATGGAGCTCCTATTGGGCCTTCAAGAGTATGGGCTAAAGGAGCATAATTTCCTGGTTTAGCAATGAGTAGAAGTCTAGGTGACCTGGTTGCTGCATCTATTGGTGTATCTTAAATACCTTAATTAAAATTAATTAATATGGTGAATAAAGAAGATTTATTTATTGTATTAGGATCTGATGGAATCTGGGAATTTTTGGATAATTAAACAGTATTATGAGTTTAAATAATCAAGATTGCAGAATTAGTTTATCCATTTTATTAGAAAGATGATCCTTAAGGAGCTTGTTAAAAAATTATATAAGAAGCTGTGGCTGCTTGGAAAGCTCATAGCTAAGGCATAGATGATATTACTGCGATAGTTATATTCTTTTAGTATGAATTCTGATAATTATAAGAATTTAAAAATTACTTTATTTTTTTTTGTTAAATTGAATGGTTTCATCTTAAATGAGATATATATTCATATAATCAAAATATTATATAATAATTAAATTTATTATTATTAAATGAATCCTAGTAAGTAGATATAATTTGATTGTATATAAAATAAGCACATAAAACTAATATTACATATTTCAATAATATTCATCTTCTTCAATTTCATCAAACATTGAAATTGTAGGTTATTTCCAATTCTTTTTTGTTTCTTCATCAACTAAGTTAATAATTAAATGCACCATGAAAGCTTCTAGTTTGTAAAATAGAGGTTACTGTTATCTTAACTCATAAGTCCATTCTTTCTAACTTTATCAAATATTGTTATACTTCTTCTTTTTTTCCAATAGCAATTGGTGAATATTTCTCTGCAATTCTTGCTATAGCTTCCATAAACTCGATCCATTACATTTAAAATAATCTATCACTTTCTAATTCATCAATTTATGTAAGAGTTGATAAATTGAATGCCAAATTTACATCCCTTTCAACAAAATTTTCATCATATAAATTAGCTTTATTGCAAATATCTTTTAGTTCATCTAAACACATAAATGGTGGTTAACCTGGTTTAACTTTTTTAGATGAATTTCTCATATAAACATAATCAATAACCCATTTATATTTTTTACATACATCATCACATTATTCTATAAAATATCTTTCTGCTCTCCATTTATGAGAATCAAATTAAGACATATGTGGCATACATTAATCTAAAATCATTTTAGTAGCTTAAACAATATTGATTTATGGATTAAATCTCATATATTTATCATCTGAAACTCTAACTAAGAATTCCATCATTTAATATCTAACCAATGATCTTTCTGGATTTCTATAATTACCCTTATAATCAATAGAAGATGCACTACAAGTTGCAATAAACTTAAGATCTACATCAGCTAATTTTAATTATTTTTAATCAATTAATTAACATTGATTCACAAAATCAGATGTTGGATTAACAGACATTGAAAATACATCTCCTGTTGGATTTACACAAGCATAAAATCTATATGTTTCTCTCATTGGTTTATATGCTTACCATAAGAGTTCTTTAACTTAATCTTGTTCTTCTTATTTTTTAACAAATTTAGAAATTTTGCAACATGACCAATCTCTTTCAAAACATTTTCTTAATAATTCCTCTGTGTCAAATTTATACTTAGGAGCCCAAATTGATATTGGATAAGTCCAAATTCTTTTTTATTTTTTCCTTTTAGCAGGAATATAGATAGGATCTTATGTTCTTGGTAAAACATCATAATTTGGATACCAATCTTCAATAACTGGTTTTGATTTAGGATATAATTCGAAATTGGTTTCATCAATTAACACATTCACAACCTAATGATGAAGAGATTGAGAACCTAATCAGCTATGTTAACTTTAGTTCTAAATTTCTCAATATGTTATTTTATAGGTACAGATTGACTGGCAATTTATATAGCATTGGCAGTATAAAAATATTCAATCTCTCCAGTAGGTATCATTCTATGAGTACTGAAATGACCTTATTCATCAGGTTTACCTAAAAATATAGGTTCATATCCTTCATAATCAAAATGAATGAAGATTGGTTCATCAGAACAAGCACCACTTTTATCTATCTCATAAATATGATATCATACTGGGAATCCATTCAAATGTAGCCATTTACCAACAATCACATATCCAACAAACATCTTTTACTTTCTCAAATCTTGAAGCATGATCATAAGGTTTAGGATGTGGCATAACTCCTCGAATACGTTATTCAATATGAGTTGAATTGAAATTCTTCATACTAGAATCAATTATCAAAAATCCTTTTGAATCCACAAATCCAAAATTTCCTCTGAAATGAAATCCATAAATTGTGTGATTCTATTTTAAAGCATCAGATATAATTGCACAATCTGATTAAGTGAAACTATTAGCTGATAAATCTAAATGTTAAATAACTTTATTTTCAATTATAAAATCTTTTAAAGTTGGTGCAATTACATTTCCACATCCAAGTAAATTATATGAAAAATCCAGTACTTTAATATTTTTATTAGTTTATAATGCTTTAAATATTTCTACACCACCAGAACCTTTTATAGAATTCCAACGTAAATATAATTCCAATAATGTATCATTAGATTCTATTAATTATTTTAAACTTTAATGAACATTGTTTGTTATTTTATTTTTTGAAATATTCAAAGTTTCTACAGAGAGATTCTTATTCATTGCTTTACATAATTCAATAATTAATTAATCTCCTAAATTATTATCTTCTAAATTCAAAATCTGAATCCTTTAAATTAAATTTCAATTATACTTGCATTATTATAAAGGAAGTATTTTCAAAATTGAATCTAAACCTTTTTCTCCAATTAAATTTGTTTAAAATTCTATTCTTCTAGCTTATTTACTAATTAATGGCATTAATTATGATGCTCCATATTCTTTAATTCTATTATGATTGAAATTAAAATCTTAAATAGCTGGCAATGTTCTCAAACCTTCTGAAAGTACTTCCACATATTTATCTCCAAATTTTTAATTCTGTATAGATAATGAATTACGATCACCCTTCAATTTTATTAATCCCATCTTACAAGGCAAAATCCTTAATTTCTCAGATCTCTATATCAAATTAGTCTATACAGAATCTATTATTTATCATATACTATCAATACTTTAAATATTCTCATATTAGTTCTATTCCAAAATTCTTTTTATATTTTTAAATGTATGATAATAGGATTTGTATGCATCCTGACCTATCAACTCTTTGGGTTTGCGATCCTCATAAAGTTCCTCATTATTTTATGTCAGACTCCCGAAGACTTCCTTCTAATCAATATATTCAATTCAATTAACATCATTAATGAGATCCTTCTCTTTAGTTGGTTATTGGATCTTGTAATATTGTCTGTTATAGCGTTTGGGCATACTCACATCATCTAATCCACTCAAATACGGCAATTACTTTGCAATTGAAATCTTAGGTAAAGCCATTGATCTTATAGAGTATTTACACTAAATAGACTCAAATTCATACTAATTCCTTCCCATTATTATTTTCTAATGTTGTGACTTTAATATCTTGCATTTTTTAAATTAATACAAGCAAATAAATTAAAAAAAACTCTCAGTATGAATTAATTATTTCAAAGGTTTCTTTCTCGCTCTCGTTTGTATCATCCTTACCCACTTTCCTCATATTTTCTATATGTTCAGTTAAAGTATATAAGAAAGTCTTTTGATTTAATTACTTTCTCTTAAAAAAGACAATTCTCAACATATAAGTTGTGTTATTAATCACTCATTTTCACTATTCTATTTTTAATCAAAAACTCACTGTATTATCTGGATCAATATAATTAATAAATGTCATTGCAAATTCTGTTAAATTTAGTGCAAAATGATTACATAGAAATTGTTTAGTTATTCTTATAATGTTTTTTTATTCATATTTAAAAAATTGTATTTACATAAATATAAATACAATTTTTACAATTTAAAATGTTTCTTAATTCTCTTCTAAATATTTTACTACTTGTCAATTTCATCATATCAATCTAATACTTTTATATCTTTTGAATTTTATTGATATCTTTGGATATATCTATTACCCTTATTGAGTCATAAAGTTAATCATCATATCTAAATTATTCAAACTTTAAAAATTACTTGAAAACCAATATTCTTATTTAAAATAATACTTTTAGTGTATCTTGATATTTTCTTTAAAAATTATAAAGATAAACTTTTTAATTATAGAAATTGAACTCAAGATGTTATTTAGTTAATAATATATTAATAAATGATTTATAATAATGAGAATTATAGATATTATACAAATAGTAAAATATGATTTTAAATATTAGAATATTACTAATTCACTTAATATAGATAGAATTAAATAATGAATATTAATATTTTATAATCATGCCAATTCTAAAACATCATGCATAAATATTTAGATGTATAGATAAACAAAAGGGGCACTAAAACATAAAGAATCAAGCTAAATATATAAAATTATAAAATACTCTATCAAGTATACCTCCATGACCAGGAAAGAGTGAGCCAGAATCCTTGACATCAGCAACTCTTTTAATGAAGGATTCAATTAAATCTCCAAAGATAGATGCTATGGATACAATCAATGAAATTAATAGAAAATGTTTAGTATGTAAATCATCCAAAGTAATAAATGATAAGAAATTCATTTAAGAAAGTATTAGTGAAGAGAATACACTTAAGAATATACCTCCACTAACTCCCTCCCATGTTTTATTTGGTGAAATTTTAGGACAAAATAATGTTTTACCAAACATAGAACCCATAAACAATGCTCCATTATCAGTTTACCAAGCAGATATTAACCAAATTAAATTCAATGCTTATGCTTATTTATATTGGAATACTATTAAAACAAAATTTAGAGGATATACAAACAATATGAATTCTAATTGTATAAATTAGTAATTACAAACTATATCAGCAGACATTTAAAAGAATGTCAACATTTAGATTTTCTTTTCAACCATTTGACTAGGAAATTTATCTGAAATAGTTCTAAAAATATAATGTTAAGAGTATGATTACTTTTAGTTTTATTTCAAGAAATCACTAATTTTTAGATAATTCATCAATCTAACAAGAAGTAAGAAGAAAATGGATATAATCATATGTAAATGAACACTTAATGGATTACTCTACATAATGGACATAGTAATGAAATAATGTGTAGGAATTCGTATAAACTAATCATTAATAAAGTATAAGAATACCCAAGAGGATGCCATAGTTTCTACATACCAACGATCTGAATCACTACAATTATGTTTGAGTACATTAGAAATCAATTTTTAAAATTCTGCATGCAACAAATAAAGGACCACTAATAATATAAAATTATATGTATACCATTTATAAGGACACATAGGGCTAACTAATTTTAGATAGTATATAAGACAATAGGGGCTCCAATCAAACCGGTAATAAATCTTTGAGTCCAATTAACCATTAATTAATTAAATGTTTCATGAGTTTCTATAAGAGTTGGGTACATTGAAAAATGCAGAACTTCCATTCCCTTTCCGTAACTAATTCAAAATTAAGGAGAATTTCATTAATCCTAATAGCAAACATTTCGACTCTATAGCCTAAAAGTTAAGAAAATCATTTATATTGTTTTAGATTATTATCTGAAGAGAAAGCAGGAATTAAACGTAAATGGGACAAATAATGTAAGATGATGTTTATTTGGATATTGGGTAAATTCTTTTAACTGAAAAACAAAAAGACCATAAACCCAAACCAAGAGGAATGGATCTAATTAGGATCAATCCTAAAAATTGATGAAACTACACTAAAATAAAGATGGATTACTTTAATTAATCCAGTATCCAAGAGTATTAATTGGGATCCAGAAGAAGATGAAATCATAAAGTCACTAATGCAGTGAGTTTATTTATATCAATAAATTAGTGAATAAGATGAAAAGCACATTTGGACACATATTGCACTTGAATTATATAATCAAAATAATGGATAATTCATTAGAACACCCAAATAAGTTAGAGAAAGATGGATTAATTATTTAAATCCAAAACTTAAAAAGTAACCTCACTTATTAAACACAATAGAACTAATTGGAGTCAGTAGGAAGATCTTCAATTATTAAATACAGTTGTTAAAAATGGTAAGAGATGGTCACTTATATCTACATTACTTGAAGGTAGGACTGAGAACTAAGTCAAAAATAGGTATTATTAATACTACCATCTTATAGATTCAAAAGTTTAATTTAAAAAATACATAAAGATGAAGAAGATGATGATATTGAAGAATTACAGGCTATCAAAGAATATTTGAATAAATAAAACATTGAAGAAGAGTAAGAACCATAAAAAGAAGAACCTTAAATTAGAACACATTATTCAAGATAAGCTAAATTAAAATTCAATCTAAGAGACAAGACCAAAGACAAAATTCAAGAAGCTCCTCCAATTGTACCTTAAGAAATCTAAACTAAAAGAAGAAAGATAAGTTCTTAAATTAAGGATTTCTTAAATATTGGTCTTGATTCTGTTGTTTAATAATCATAAAAGGTTTAATAAATTCAAAAGACAAAATTAAAGGAAAATAAATAATAATAATAATAATAATAATAATAATAATAATAATAATAATAATAATAATTAATAATAAGATAATAATAAGAATAAATAATCAATAAACAAAATGATGAATAATTATTAGAATAATCATCTTTTTAACTAGATCAATAATAAAAAATACTTTCCTAATAATATTAAATACCCTAATTATAATTAAATGAAAATAATAAGAGAGATTTATCAACACCAAACACTTTATCTTATTATTTTCAACCATAACTATAATAAATGGAAGATTTAAAGCATGATCAATTCAGATTAAAATAAATTCAAATGTCTCCTATTCAATAACAATAAAATTAAGTACACTATCAAGGATTTCGTCCATTTTAAGAAGAAATCCCTTAATAAATATAATAGACTCCTGTTTAAATGTTAATGGGATAATATTTTAAGAATTACCCTTCCAATTATAACCTAATTTCCCCTTTCCCATAAATCAATTAAACTCCTATGGTATACACACCTGCATAGCCCATGTATATGTACAACAATAATAATAATGCATATATGGGCATGTCACCTTTGCTCATTCGCAGTCCATATCAAGAGATGTCCCCTAGTATTCAACCTTAATAGGTACCACTATAGTAAAATATGTGGTAAACTCCACAATAAGCTCCTATTGATTAAATGTAAAGTGAATAATAAAAGCAATAATAGTTTGTAAACAATTATATGTTAATTTAGAATACAAATTTGGAATTTTTAAAATCAAATAATCTACTTAATACATGGATTAAAAAAAGAACTAATGAAAAGTAAAATTAACCATTTTATGACTCATAATAATCACTTGATTAATGATATATTTAAATGTATTAAATTCAATATATCATTAAAAATTTATATCCACTAAATTAATTTATTAATATATATGTCAATAAAATTATTAATTATATACTTAAAATCAATCTGTATTCTAATTACTATTTAACAATACTTATCAAATTTCAATCAACTTTTCTTTATTACATTAAAATTATTTATTTTCTTAAAATTCCTTCTCCTCCAAAGTTGGTGATTCAGGATTCACAAAATCTAACACTATAGAATTTTGAGTATCAAAATAATAAAGGGAAATTGTGAATCCTAATCCTATTATTGAAATCCCACAATAGAAATATCCTACTAATGAATATCCTTATTCTGCATCAACTGAATTCTAAACTATTTATGCTGCAATTATTGGAAACAAAGTCATTGCTGTATTTGTAAACATACCAACAAACCCAAAGGCAGTACCAACTACTCTTTATGGAACAGCATATTAAACAGTAGGAATAATAATACAGCAATACATTGAATAGGATAAACCTAATAATATTAGAGGAATTATTGAAACATAATTAGGATGTCCTTCATGGCTTGATTTCATGATACCAAAAAGGAAATGAGTAAGAATATAACATAAACATGTTGCTAAAATAAATAATCTTCTTTTGCCAACTTAATCTACATATGGACCAATAAGGGGACTTAAGATTGCTAATTATTTAAATACTATTTATACCAGCTGCTAAATAAGTTAGAGTCAGCAATCTTCCAGATTATAGATAAGTAAAATCAAATTTTTACTACAAAAAGTCATTTGCATTATCTAAAAAGGGTGTGTAAGATCCGATTTATAAAGCACATACAATAATAAGTGTCCAAAAAGTGTAAGTAAAATTTTTTATATCACTAAAGGATACCTTATCATTTGTATGAATTTCTTAATTTAATTCTATATATATTGTTTTGTCAATTATTACCCATTAATTATTAATCATTCTTCTTATCTAGAATACATAAGATAACTCCACATAGGAAGGATAGAAAACATAGAAAAGCACTGAAGAATAGTGGATAGGCCAAATGACCAAATGCATTATATATAATAGGAGTAATAAAAGAATTCATTCCACATGCAAATTCAGGTATTGCCATTACATATCCAATTGCAGTAGATAGTTCTTTTCCTCTAAACCATTTTCCTATAATGGTTGTTTAAGCAATTAATAGATTTTCTGAAGCAGTACCAAAGATAATCCTACCAACTAACATTAACCAAAAATTTTAATATAAACCACCAAATGATATAATGAGTTACGCAATCACAATAGCTAAACTAAATCCTATTATTGCCACTCTAACTCCTTAAAATATTATGCAAATCTTACCTAAAATGTTAGTGATCACTCCACCAATTAATGTTAAGAAGATATTTGGAAATGCAAAAGCTGAATATAGTAAATTAAATTATGAGATGGTAATGTCTAATTGTTCAATCAATTAAGTCTATAAAGCCTAAGGATTATCAAAGGAGTAATTATTTCCAAACATTAAAAATGTACCTAGTATAAGGACTATGCATTTAAGAAAGGAAGCTTTTTAATTTTTAGTTGAAATAGAATCCTTTTATTTTTGTTATAAAGATTGCAAATTTTGCAAGCTTAGTTCCTTTTATAGATCATCATTAATTTTCATACTTTTCTATAAGGATTATAAATATTAACACAGAAAGAAATTATTAAAATCTGTGATTATAATAATTATGGAGAAAGTCAATAAAGATTTAAAAAATATTAAAATGATTATAATAAATTCATTATTTTTTTTTAATCCGTTTACTCTACTTATCCATTCTATTTATGAATTTATTTATAGTATCTTACTCATCTTTTGTTAAATAGGTATATTTTTAAAATAATTATCAGATAAATTAAATTCTTTTGTTAATTAATTTAATAATTCTTTTTCTTATACTTGTTATCTTTTATTAAATGATCTTATAATTTCCTTTTAATCAAGATTATAATCATATATTTTCTTTTACTCTTGTTTAGATAAAGTGTTGTAAGCCTCACTAATTTCTTAGAATTAGATAATTGCTTAAGTCCTATTATTCATATTCTTGTCCTAACTTAATTTAAACAATATTGTTATACTGGATGCCATTCTAATGCTAGTTTATGATACGCTTCTTTTATTTACTTTTATTCAGCATCTCTTTAAAGACCTAAAGTATTATAATGATTTTTCATTGTTTTAACATAAATTAATCATAAAATCAAAGCAGAATTTATTACTTTATGGATATTTTAGAAATTCTAGAACTTTTTTATATTAATTTATTATTTATTATTTGTTTTAAGAACAATTCATAATCAATCTTCTGTTGGATTGCCTAGAATTTAGAAATTTTTTCCTCTGAAATCTCCAGCCTATCCTCTTAATTTAACATATTCTGAAAAGTCTCTTTGATTAGCAGAGAAGGCACCAATAATTTATGATACCAATTATCTTTTTTATTCTCTAAAAGATATATGAATAAATAACATACCTTTTTTCTCTTGTTAATTAATAATTATAAGCTTTTTCTCTACATTCTCCTCCTCTATCTTCACTTTATTTATTTTTTGCAGATAATCTAGCATTGTAATCAGTCAAATCTCTCTTTTAATCTTAGATTCTATTATCTAAACCTAAAATAGCAGCATTTAATTAAGCAAGAGCATTATTTAAACTGGTTAAATCTTTATCAAAATTACCCTTTTCCAACATAAACATATTCAATCTTTTTTATTCAGCCTTTGTTTCTAAAGCTTTACTATCTTCAATTTATTTTAACATGAGATCACATAGATTGACAATTTTATTAACTGTAGGTGAATTTTAGAAATCTTCAGATTAAGCAGAACTAGCAATTTCAGCTAATACATTGAATATTTTAGAATAACTCTTTTTAATTTCAAATTTCTCTAATTTAATTAATATATTATATATATACTTGCTTATTCAGATGCATTAATAAAGTAATCTCTAACTTTTTACCATTACGATTCATTATTTAATTATAAGAAACTTTAAATTTTATCAGAAAACATTCTTCTAACAGTTTCAATAACAAATGTTGCATAATCATGTTCTTCTACTTTTTTATCAAATTCAGCTTTTTCTGTTTCTCTTTTCTTTACTAAATCAGCTAATTTCTTTTCAGTTTCTATTTTCCATGCATTTTTAGCATCTGCTTATCCTTATTTATATGATCTTAATGGTTCTAATTCATCTAAAATTGATTGAATTTCAACTGTTCTTCTTTCTAAATTAGCACTTTCTTATTATAAAACTTTAATATCTTCTGTGCATTAATTTTAATATTCATTATTAGCTTTATCATCTTCTTTTTATTCATTTTCAATTGATGTTTCAAGATTTCTCATTATTTCAATAAAACGAGCAATTGGTTCACCTGTACTCATTTACATTTATAATGTATCAATTAATGTTCTACCAAATTCATCTTCATCAAATGCTCTGAATTAATCATATTTGTCTGCTATAGCTAATGCTATTAAACAAAGTACCAAAATTTTCATTTATTTATTAATTAAAAACGAATTTGATTATGGCTTAAAAACTCCTTAAAAAAAAAAGTAAATAACAAAACAAAAAATCAAACAAGAATGACAAACCAAGTATTGAATTCATTTAAATTAGAGCACAAAATTAAAAAGAATAAATCTTAGACATTGTATACTAAAATTGTTACTGAAGAAAATACCAAAATCACAAAAACCATAAATAAAAATATTGAAGAATAAATGATGGAAAAAGCAAAACTTAATTAAGAATCATTTAGATTATTGAAAACCAAGGAAGAATAAAAGAAGATAGCAAAGGAAGCAAAAAAATAAGCGTCATGATTAATTTTGCCATAATTAAATATCTTATAATAATCTTATAATCATTTCATTTGAAATTAATTTATTATAGTAGTTGTTTATAAATCAAAAAAATTAATAATCATTAATTGATAAAGTTTTAAAAATCATTCTTAAATTCAATAAGTAAGATTATTAGTATTTAAGTTTATAAATAAAAAATCAAATCAAAATATACAAGTAACTAAATAATTCATAGAGTTATTTGATATATTATTATTATTTTACAGTATTTAAGAGTAATATAAATATTTCTTAATTTCATAGATACATCAAAATATTTGAATCTACATAAATGATAAAGAATAGTATATACTTTTTATTAATTAATTTTTCACATCTAAAATTAATAATAAGAATGAATAATAGGAACTTTAGTTCAATTAATGTTGAATCCTTGAATATATTCTTTTTGATATAGAATCAATTTAAATATCTAATTTCTCAATTAAATAGATTAATAAAAATGAGAAGATATAAGTGTTATGGGAAATAAATAAATTTAATGGTTAAATATTTAATTTTAATATAGATCATAGTTAAGATTCGAAAGTTGACTTAAATTCTAAAAAATCAATACCTCCATTACAATTTTTATCAAAATGTTAGAATATCAAACTTGCATCTTCATTGCTGATTTTAGAATTAAAAGATCTATAGTATATGTATTAAAGAATGGTTACCTGAGAAATTTGACAAATTCAACTAGATCGAGTACTTAATTGACATCACTATCAAATTATTTAAATAACTTAACAAAACTTTTTTCTTCTTCTTCTATTTTATCTTTAATTTTCTTTAATTCTATTTTCCATTTTGGCATTTAAATTAGTGGGCTGTTTTCATAAATGATATCAGGTTTAATTTCTTATAAGCTTAATCTAACTCTATGTTATTAGAGACATCTTTAAAATTCCAAAAAATTAATTTAATTAGTCATGTCAACATCAATCATATTAAAAACAAATTCAATTTATTATCTATTTAGTTTAGGATCAATTTCATTTAATAAAAGTTGTAATTCCTTAAAAGTTAGAAATTAATTATCCTAAATTTATAACTTTTTAAAAGTTTCCAATAAATCAATTTATTTGACAACAATCATTTATCTTAATTCATTAATAATAAATTCTGCTTAAGCCTCCATATTGATAACTTTATCGACATGATCTTTAAATTTTGAATAGATCAGTGGATGTCTATAAAGATCATTCCAACCCATACGTTTGTCTTCTTCTACTTCAAGACATTTCAATATAAAATCTTTAGCTTCTGCAGAAATATAAGCTGGAAACTAAACTGGGTATTTTAATATTGTATTAAGTAATTATGGTACAGAATTAGCAATCCATGGAGTTCTTCTGAATATACATTCATAAAATATGCATCCAATTGACCAAATATCACATTTACTTGTATATGTTTCTCTCATTAAAATTTATGGTGCCATATAAAGTGGAGTTCCAACAACAGATTCCATTATATCTCTTTAAAAATTTGAAATGCATTTAGCAAATCCAAAATCTAATTTATAATTTAAATTACCTCCTAATTTAAAAGTATTTTAATGGACAAGAATATTAGCTGGTTTTAAATCACGATGAATAATTCCTTATTATAATAATTCAATGAAACCATTAAGAATATCTGTTAATATTCTTATGGCTCCAACTTCGGTTAAATATTACTATTTTTTAAGATAGGTTCCTAGATCTCCATCTTTACAAAATTCTTGTACAATATAGTAATTATTTTAAGATTCAAGAGTATCTAATAAACGAACTACATTATTTCCCCTTAGTTTTTGCATAACTGATAATTCTCTTCTTAATCCTTCCATTAAATATTTATCATTGAGTATATTTTATTTCGGAAGCATTTTAATGGCAACTAATCTATTATTGGTAGTATCAATTCCTTTATATACTTTTGCAAATGATCCTGCTCCAAGAAGATCTGTCGTTAAGAGTTTATATTTATCAACAGTTTTTTCGTTCATTATTAAATATAATGTAGATAAATCATTTAGTTTCTGGCCATTTTTCATTGATTCTATCAGCAGCCCTAGTTGTATTGAAATGTTCAAGTGCATCTTTTATTCCTTCAGCTCCTTATAATAAGACTCCTCTAGGAATACGTTTATCCGGACATAAGCCTTTAAGTTTTATTATATTTTCTCTTTCTTACCTGAGTACAGTTTGCATTTTCATCATTTTGGAAACAAATGAGATTTTTGATTTGGTAATATCAATTTATTTTTATGTCATTTATTGTAATTTGCCTAATGGACGATTGTTTGATGATGGTTATCCCAATGTTTATTAATTTGAAATCACTTTAGCATTTTGTATTTCCTTATCTGAATCTTCAATCTTCTCACCAGGTCTTGGTTGTAATACATAATTAAGCATCTCTGTTACTTTTTCAGTAACAAATGGTATTGACCATGAAAAAATATCAAGAAAATGAGGTAATAAATAAGGATGTTAAGAATAACCAAATTGAGATATGTTAAGTGTACAATTTTCAAATTTTAAGATAGCTGCCTTATTATTATAGACATCACAATAATTAGGAGCACTAAATATAGTCAATACTTGAGGAAATTCTTTTATTTTTTCATTGTATTTGTACAATCTATACCCTTCTAATTAAGCTTCATGAGCTCTTATTAAACAGATAAACTTATTATTATCTAAGAATGGTTAGACTGCCTTTTCTCCAAAAAACCAACTGCATCCTCTAGTATCATTGCCTCTATAATGAATTTCATCATAAAGTTCTTCATTTTCAACTGGGTCGGCCCATAATATATCACAAAACAATCCTGCCTTTGGTGGTTCTCTGAATCTATCTATTCTTTCAACATCTGCTAACTAATTATATTTTATTCTATTTATACTGATTTTAGATCTGGAGATATGCCTCCATGTAAACATAAGAATTTGTTATTTATTAAAGCCACTAAAGGCATATTGTCGAAAGATGCCATAATGGCTTCATAGACTTCTTGGTCATATTTATATAAACATTCATCTCTAAAATTGAAGTAACTTGTTAATTATTTGCATTCATGATTTCCTCTAAGAAGGAACACTCTTGTAGGATAATATATCTTCATTGCGTACAATAAAACCACTACTTCTATTGAAAATGACCCTCTGTCAACATAATCACCTAAAAAAACATGTAAATACACAAATACTCATACATATTTTCCTTATTCTGGATCCCCTCCTAATTCAAGAATTTTCATCAAATCATAATATTGTCCATGAATGTCTCCAACAAGAGTAAGCGGATCATCCACATAAATCACGTTACCTTCGTTTTTTAAATGATAATTGCACATATCTACTATTCTCAATAATTAGTTCTTTGTTATTCTTCCCTCCTTGAAAAGATGTTCTTTTAATAGTTTCCAGTTTGGTTTGTCATCTATAAACAATAACTCTTCACTTAATGGTCTATGAGGTGGGGTTGGTATTGTATTTACTTATCTATCTCCTTTAGGGTCTTATAAAAAATCCATTAATTATTTTAACTAAATTATGGAAGTGAAAAATTACAATGGATGGAGATTCTGTCCCAGATGCAAGAATCTACTCAAACCATATCATGATGGGGTAGTTACTGAAATCTTGCAATTCAAATGTAGAAATCAGGATTGTGGAGATAATGGAATCATTGAAGTCAAAATTGATAAGACATTAAATAAAGATGCTCTCTTACTCAAAAAGGATTATCAAGCAGCAAAAGCTATCGATATTACTGATAATACACTTATTCTTGATCCATCAATGCCAAGAAAGAGAGTTATCTGTAACAAGTAAAATTTATTAATATTATTTAGATGCAATTATGATGAAGCCATCTATTTCCTTAAAACTGATAAAAATGAAAAGGAAATCATTATTCAATACATTTGCGCCAATAAAAATCCTATCTGTGGAAATAAGTGGACGTAATTCTATTTATTATCATTAATTTAGTTAAAAGGAAATGAATGAGCCCAAATTAACTTTATAATGATTATTTCACATTAAATTTATAATTATTTTTATCTGTTAATTATTAATCATATGAATACAGCTCTTAGATAACCTTTATCATAACATAACTCTATTCATAAAAGAGAAAATATAAACTAGATTATAAATAAGATCTAAAATCTTTTTCATTTATTAAATCTAATGCACTAAATGTATAATCATAATAACTATAGTAATAATAATAATAATAATAATAATAATAATAATAATAATAATAATAATAATAATAATAATAATAGTAATAACAGTTAAATAATAAAATACAACTACAACTACGCTTTATACAAATAATAAAATCAATAATTAAATTTAAGATTTAGAAATATTATTAAAGCAATTGATAGATTAAAATTGGAAAATTAATAACTAAAAGTTAAAGCATCAGAACCTTAATTAATATTATTTTATAAGATCCTAAATTTGCAATTTAGAATCAAGATCTAAATTTATAAATAATTATTAATAATATAACTAACTTGATTACCAAAAATAAAAATACAAATTATTAGAAAAAACACCCAATAAACTAATAGATCTATAGATTTGAATTGGAAATAAGAGAATTATTCAATGAAGTTTTAGATGGAATAATAGGAATCTAAATATAGACAAGCACTTAAATAGGAATAAATCTAATCTAAATAAGAAATCTTCAGACTTTGATAAAATTTGTAATAATTATCAAATTTTGATAATAAGAATCAAAATTTAGTATATGTCTTGATAATAAATTAATTTAATAAGTTAGGAAAGGCAATTCATAAAATTAAAAAAAAGGTAATAATGTTTTAGAAGAGAAGCTATCATAAACAAATTTTTAATTATATTGTTAATCTAAAGATCAAGAGTTCACAGAATTATAATAATCAGCAATAATAACATCATAGGAATAACATACTAGTGAATTGAAAAGTAAATTGGGTTGTTAAAAAGAATAAAATTAAGGTTTAAGGAATTAATTAGAATAAGTAAAGGAAATAGCAGAATAAAAGAAATCCAGTGAAAATGTTTTTACAATTAAAATAATATAAGTAGAAAGGGATTATAATCATCTGTAATAAACATTTCAATAACATAAGGAATAATTAAAATAGAAATTAAATGAATTGACTGTAATTTATGGTAAATCATTAGAATAAATTTGCTTATTATCATAATTTAGTATAGAGAATAAAATGATAAAAAAGATTATAAATGTATTTGGAGAATGAAGAAAAGAATTATAATTTGGAATTGAAAGATATTCATAAATCTAAATAGTTTTTGATTGAATTTTTAGAGTAAAAATTATTGGGATTTAAGGAACAGAATTAATAATTGAAGTTGCTGAAAAAAATCAGCATCAAGAATAGTAGTATTATTATGGTAAGAATTTCTGAGAATTGGGTTGCAAGACTAATAATCTAGGGGAAGAATGTAGTAGATTGAATAATATAATAAAATAAAGAGATGATCAAATATATAGATTATAAGTACAATTGAAAGATTTAATGAATATAAATGGAAAGAATCAGTATTAAGAAGATTTATTGGATTTATTATAAACAAAGGAAGGAGAGATAAATATATTAAAAGAACAGAATGAAAGTTTGATAAATGATTTATGAAGATAAACCGATAATTGCAGAAGTTTAGCTAGTCAGCATAAACAGTTACAGAAATTTGCAGAAGATGCAAAAATAAATAGTATAACAATGAATTAGTTCATGAGTAAGTGTGAAATTAAGAGGGAGAAGTAGAACGATTAAGAATGTAGGTTTTGGAGAAATCATTATTGTTAGAGAAAGTATAGAAAGAGAATTTGGAGTATTAAGCTAAATTGAAATCAAAGTTAAGATGAGAAATATTACTTATATATATATTAATAAATTATAGTCAGAGTATTACGCAGCATTTGTTTTCGTTGGGTTGGTTATCGTTCTCAATGTTATATATTTTCCAATTCTCAACAGTGTAGATTTTATGAATATCAGGTTTAAAAGTAACTGCATGTTTACCTTTGCCTCTTATGATGGGTTGCGATTACCTATCATAGCGGGTTTTGGTAGGTTACTGCTTATCCTNTGGGTTGTTAAAAAGAATAAAATTAAGGTTTAAGGAATTAATTAGAATAAGTAAAGGAAATAGCAGAATAAAAGAAATCCAGTGAAAATGTTTTTACAATTAAAATAATATAAGTAGAAAGGGATTATAATCATCTGTAATAAACATTTCAATAACATAAGGAATAATTAAAATAGAAATTAAATGAATTGACTGTAATTTATGGTAAATCATTAGAATAAATTTGCTTATTATCATAATTTAGTATAGAGAATAAAATGATAAAAAAGATTATAAATGTATTTGGAGAATGAAGAAAAGAATTATAATTTGGAATTGAAAGATATTCATAAATCTAAATAGTTTTTGATTGAATTTTTAGAGTAAAAATTATTGGGATTTAAGGAACAGAATTAATAATTGAAGTTGCTGAAAAAAATCAGCATCAAGAATAGTAGTATTATTATGGTAAGAATTTCTGAGAATTGGGTTGCAAGACTAATAATCTAGGGGAAGAATGTAGTAGATTGAATAATATAATAAAATAAAGAGATGATCAAATATATAGATTATAAGTACAATTGAAAGATTTAATGAATATAAATGGAAAGAATCAGTATTAAGAAGATTTATTGGATTTATTATAAACAAAGGAAGGAGAGATAAATATATTAAAAGAACAGAATGAAAGTTTGATAAATGATTTATGAAGATAAACCGATAATTGCAGAAGTTTAGCTAGTCAGCATAAACAGTTACAGAAATTTGCAGAAGATGCAAAAATAAATAGTATAACAATGAATTAGTTCATGAGTAAGTGTGAAATTAAGAGGGAGAAGTAGAACGATTAAGAATGTAGGTTTTGGAGAAATCATTATTGTTAGAGAAAGTATAGAAAGAGAATTTGGAGTATTAAGCTAAATTGAAATCAAAGTTAAGATGAGAAATATTACTTATATATATATTAATAAATTATAGTCAGAGTATTACGCAGCATTTGTTTTCGTTGGGTTGGTTATCGTTCTCAATGTTATATATTTTCCAATTCTCAACAGTGTAGATTTTATGAATATCAGGTTTAAAAGTAACTGCATGTTTACCTTTGCCTCTTATGATGGGTTGCGATTACCTATCATAGCGGGTTTTGGTAGGTTACTGCTTATCCTTTACTAATATAGTCTATGGATAAGTGCCTGTGTAAAATGGATTATTGGGAGTAATTTTAGGATTGGATTACATATATATTAATGTTGTAGTGATAACGAACTAAAAATAACAAATTAAATTCAAAAAATAAGTAAAATTTAAAATGTTAATTGAACAAGGTGAACCCAAGATCATCGTGGCAGTTCGTAAAAGACCTTTGAATAAGAAAGAAATCAATAAGGGTGATATTGATATTGTCGATGTTTCAAATTAATAGAGTTAAGTGATTGTAAAAGAATAAAGGTATTTCTAAAATATTCATTATCTTTTTTAGAACCAAAGTTGATCTAACTAAATATATTGAAGAGCATTAATTTAATTTTGATGCAGCCTTCGATGAAAATACCACTAATGAACAGTTATATTTGCAAATTGTGAGACCCATCGTTGAAGCAGCATTTAATAAGGCCAAAGTAACATGTTTTGCATATGGATAAACAGGCTCTGGCAAAACATATACAATGTTAGGTGATTATCAAGAAAGAGTCCCTGGATTATATTTATTAGCAGCCTATGATATTTTTTGTTTGCTCAATAATGAATGTTATGGCCATCTTCAAATTGCAATCTCCTTTTATGAAATATATTGTGGCAAACTTTTTGATCTATTAAATGAAAGATCTTTACTTCAACCACGTGAAGATGCCAAAGGAAATGTCAATATAGTTGGTTTACAAGAAAGAAAAGTACAATCTGTAGAATAATTAATGAAAGTTATTGAACAAGGAAGTGCCTCTAGAATCACAGCATCTAACTCATCAAATAATGATTCTTCAAGATCTCATGCTATTTTATAAATCACATTAAAAGATGGATCTAGATCTCATGGAAAATTATCATTTATTGATTTGGCAGGTAGTGAAAGAGGAGCTGATGTAAGTGATACAAATAAATAAACAAGATTTGATGGAGCTGAAATTAATAAATCATTGTTAGCATTAAAAGAATGTATAAGAGCTCTAGATTTGAATAAAAATCATACTCCATTCAGAGGATCAAAATTGACTTTAGTTTTAAAGGATTCTTTTATTGGAAATTGTAAAACTGTGATGATAGGTAACTTTTCACCATCAAATTCATCCTCTGAACATACTCTCAATACATTAAGATATGCCGATAGAGTAAAAGAATTAAAGAAGCCTAATGATAAAGAACTAAAAGATTAAGTTACTTCATTAGATAAATTGGCTAGAGAACTAATGTTACCAAGATAATAGTAACCTGTGAAAATGTAGAAATAGCCTTAGAATCCATAATCATAATAATAATAACCATAATTTAATCCATTTAAAAATAATCCTTTACAAAATTATTAGAATTAAAATCTATTTCAATAACCTTAATTTTTAAATTTATAAAATTCTGTACCTGGAATGATGATACCATAATAATCCTAATAGCCAACTTATACATTTTAAAATTTTATATAACCTCCCCCTCCATAACCATAACCAGTTATTCCTTTATAATAATAATAACAACCATAATTCAAAATCAATGATACAAAAAATAAATAATCATTTAATAAACCAACTCCATAATTGTAAGAGACACGACCTTACATGAATGAAAATTTATTCCCTGGATAAATAGAAAGAAAATCAAGTATTTAAAAATTAAAATATGTAGAAATTAATTCATCTATGGAAGATGATTTAATGAAGATAGGACAAAAACATGAATAATTAATAAGTGTAATTCTTGAAGAAGAAGAAAATCTAATTTCAAGTCATAGATCTCATATAGATTAGATGGTAGAATTAGTTAAATAAGTATTTAATAATATAAATATTTAGGAAATGATGTTATTACATAATATAGACAAACCTGGATCAGATGTTGATGAATATGTAAAAGGACTTGAATAAATTTTGTTAACAAAGATGGAAGAAATTTAAACGTAATTATAATTTTAATTAATTTAGATTATAATCATAATTATCTACGTTTAAATCCCATTTATCTGAAGAAGAAACTTTATAAAAGCAATTTTATCAATAAAGATAATAATTATCTTAGTAAGACACAGAATGTTCAGATATTTTTAAGTGATAATTAATAATTAATAATAATATATATTATATATCATTTTCTAATTAATGCATTTGACATTTCAAATTTAACATAGATATTAGCTTACTAATCCAAATAATTAGTTGCTGTAAATACTTTTGGAATATTTTTTCGAGCAGTTGTATTCAAATCTAAATTATTAGATTCAGTATCTTCAAAAACTCTTCTTGGAATTATTCCAGCTAATAAATCCACTTCTCTAACATTTGAATGAATAAAAGCACTTAAATTCATTATTGCTACACCATGATTATTTCTATTATATTATTTTTTTGGTTATTCTTCTAAAATTGGTTCTCCTAATTTAACTTCCTTTTTTTTATTGTCTTTTTTTGCATCTTTTTTTACTTCTTTCTTAACTTCTTTTTTATCCTCTTTCTTTTATTCTTTCTTTGGTATCTTTTTACCTGTTTTTGGATCTACTGTAAAATCAGGTTCAGGTGGTCTGTTTTTCTCTTCTTCTATTTAGAGCCATTTTTCAATATCAAATAATTATAATTCTTCTTTAATATCATTCCTAACAACTTCATCTTTATCATGCAATTCAAATTTTAATGGTTTAGTCTCAAAATGTTTAGCAATGTCCATAGTTCCCAATAAAAATACATGTTTAGAATTAAAATACATGTTTTACATTTAAACCTACATATCAGTTTTTATAATCGTTCCGTCATAGAATTCATATTATACGTAGCATAATTCATATGATTTTTATGCTTAAATAGGTATATTTTCACATGATACTATTTCCACTTAAAATGGATTAAGTTTAGCTCTTAATTGTTCATGCAATAAGGGCTTATCACTTTAAATATTAAATTTAAAATCTAGTATTTCCATGATTCTCATTTTAGAGAAGGCAAATTCGAACTAAATATTAATATATTTATATACACTTGGAGTATTGAGCATTAAGCTATAATCAAATTAAAATTCTTGCATAACTTTCATATCATCTGCATTTACAAAGTACATGTATAATTTTTTTTTTGATAACACTTCTGCTAATGAATCAATAAATCTTATTTAATCAAAAACTTTCTCATAAGAATAAGTAATAATTGGTGGATCATCAGGATTCTATTATGGTTCACTTGAAACCATATTCCATTAATCAATAAGACCTGTATCATATCTCTCTGTTGAATTAGCATTTAACCATTCATACATGATTACAATATTTTAGATATTTTATGTAACCACTTGAAATTGTATTTTGAATTGTACAATATTTTTTAAAATACCAGTACCATCATCTTCAGATAAGACTAACTAAATGTGAAATAGATGTATTTTTACTTCCTTTTTATTATCCTTCTTAGGTGGCATTAAAATTTTATTGTTTTATTTTCAAATTTAATATAAATGAAATTCCATCAGTTGAGACTAAAAGATGTTTCATATTCAAATACTTAACTTAAGTAAGAAGACCGTCAAATCAAAACGGAGTTTGGAAATTTAAGCACATCTAGAGTAATGAAAGATTCAAATAATAATAATAGGCTAAAGGTGCAGTAATAAAACAGTTTGTTACAGAGGATAATGATACTGGAAGATCATGTAATACTGAGAAAGAATTATTTACAAAAATGCAGAATTTAGAATTTTAGAATGGTTTATTTTAAATGCAGATGTAAATTTAATATAAATCGTGATTATAGGTAACATATTCACAAAAGAAAGAATATAGAGGATTTTACTATCAGATAGTAATTAACTTAGATATAACAAGATTTACAATGTATTCAAAATAGAGTTTAATCTGTTAAAGTAAATAATGTTAAAATATTCGTTAAGAATAAAAGCAGTAGAAAGAAAATAAGCTTAAGTTCATCATCAAGCAGTAGCGAAGATGTAGGAAGATTGTAAATTGGATTTAATTATAGAAATAAGTATTATTTTAATAGAATAAAGCTAGGATTAAATGCTTTCTAATTACAAAGAATTGTATGAAGTTTGTAATTAACATGAGAAATTGAATGCCTTGTTTTCAAATTATTGTGGAAGCATAAAGACAATAGAGATTGATATAGTTTAATAGAATTTCTAATTGCTAATATAGTAATTAATAAAGATGATGATTGATATTTTGAAAAAATTTAATTCAATAAAAATAGATCAATTGAAGAATACTCCTGATAAATAATAATGTAATTTTGAATTTGGTACATTCAACAAAGAATAAAAGAAGACATTAAGGACAACTGAAAGTCCATCTTTTAAGAGGAATTAGGATTTAGAGGAAATGAAATTAAAATTAAATGATCATTATGATAAATATGAATAAGAAAAAGAAAATAAAGGATAAGATATAAATAAAAAATAAGATAAAGATTTATAGAATCAAAAGAAATAAATAGTTCATAATAATAATAATAATAATAATAATAATAAATAAAGAATTGATTTGATTCCAAGCTTAAAAAGGAAAGCCAAACTTAGATAATAACATAATATTTGATTATTTATAAATCAATAATGTTTTGTTGTTACCCATTCCAATTATATATTTAATGTAGTGTCATCTGGATTTGCATTTGGAACAATAGTTTATGTATAATAACCTTCCACTTAATTTTTATTAGCAAATTCAAATCTGCCAACACCATTTGGTTTGTTATGTTAAAATGGACCTCTATAAACTGTTCCATTGGGATAAATCCACTCCCCATCAACAATCTCATTGTTATTCCAAGTACCTCTAAACTATTATATAAATTATAACAAATTAATACTCTCATGGCAGTGTCATTAAAAACATAAGTACCTTATCCATGTTTCTTTCCTCTTGACCATTATCCTGAATAAACATCTTTATTGGCATATGTGTATAATCCTTCTCCGTGCCTAAGTCCTGACTCCCACTATCCATAATATTCTCCTTTATTATTATTATAAATCAATCTTCCAATTCCATGTTTCAAATTCTGTTGGAATTCACCTTCATATCTATCCCCTGAAGGATTGTAAGTGTATTTCCCTTTTCCTTCTCTAACTCCATTCACATATTAACCTTCATAGGTATCACCATTTGGATAACTGTTTCAAAATAAAACATTCTTACGTAGCTATTCCTTTGCCAGTATAATCCTTTGTTGAATTTGTAGCACTTCCACCTTCTGGAGTAAATGAAAATGGTTATTATTCCTCTGCCATCTTTTTCTATATTTTTTAATATAAATATTATTCAAAAATGAACTTAATATTATCTGGAATTATATATTGATGTCATATCATATCCTCCTCTAATATCTGTTTCTATTTAAAGGTGTAGGCCAATTATCATGCGCTTATTTAACACATGCACATTTCTAATACACTCCTCCACAAACATAACAAAATTCAAATTTACACCTACATGTCATATGATTGCATCCTTCACTTTTTTCAACCCAAAATTTACACTTTGGACATTATTTATACTTAGCCCCTTTTATAAAACTAAAGAATTTATCATCAAGAAATTTTTCATTTTTTAATCTAGATTCCATTTTCTTTTTTTCCTTAAATTCATGGCATGAAAATCCATTATGATATTCAATTTTGCAATCTAAACAATATGATTTCTTACAAACTGGACAATCCAATTAAGGATTCCCTCCAGCAACAAAAACAAATTTACAGTCAGGTGTTGGACACCATGAGTACTATAATAGAATAAAATTTGATACTTCATCACCATGACTTTCTATATATGCCTTAAAAGTTAATTATTGAAATTCAATTAATTATTGATCATCTAGCACTTCTATTAAATCTGAATATATTATGTTATTTTTGCATCCAGAAGGACATAAAATGGGGAATTATCTTGATGATATTTAAGTTTTGCAATATTGATTTAAACATTTCTAATGGAAAATATGTGTACAATATAAAGTTGCCATCTCTGCAAATGAAATATTTTCTAAACAGATTTTGCAATCAATTTAATTATTCTTATCATCTTCGAATTATTAGTATTCTTGATAATTTTACTATAATTTTAGCTACTCCAATTATTATTCTTCTTCAAATCTATAATAAAGAATTAATATACTATTTCTGCAATTAAAAAGCTAATTCAAAACTTTTTGATTCATCATATTTATCTTTTGTTAACGATTAATATATCATAGAAGCATTGTTAAATTGATTGAAATCTTATTATTGTTGTTATTTCAATGGAAATAAAATAGAAGGCTAAGATTAAATTTCCCAATCTGATTAATTTTACAGTTTCTAATTTTTTTTCTATGTAAATATTTGAGATATTTGTTCTTAATTATTTGATGTAGTCATTGATGTCAGATTATTATCCTACTAAGAATATTCACCTTCAAAAACTTCTTTTTCTAATTATATACATAGTTATTTTAACTTGAACTTTAAAATAACATAATACATCTAAATGTCCTCTTAAGGCTTCATTATATAGTTTTTAGACTCTATGAGGTTTATACACTTTAATATCTATAAGCATATTCAAACTCATCAGTATTTCTAAATTTGATTGGAAAAGGTCTTTTTAAGATGATTTAGTATCTTTTCCTTGTAAAATTCCCAATATAAATGATTATATTATTAAATCATCCTCCTATAAGTTAGTAAAATAAAAATATTACATTTTTGTATCTCAATTTCTCTTTGATTTCATTTGATACTTATTAAATTTCCAACATTAAATAAAATATAAACCCATATTAATTGGATTTATAGATTTATATTTAAGGTCTCTAATTAATGTTATTAATATTAAGACTGTACTCGTACAGGATCATGTCTATAGTAGTTACTTACACTTTGCTTCAGCAAATGTAGGCAACCAACCAAGCTAGAATGATTCAGCATGCACTCTGGTCTATAATTAGGAATATGAATCCATTCTATTTCATGGAATGCGATTCGCGATGCCCATCCATATTCGTAGTGCTTTAATATTCTTTATGGGTATTATAGCCTTCGAATATGTGAAGACTTGAGTGTGTCTGACTAGCTCCTTAAATAAACAAACGAAATTTATATATATATACAGACTTCTATTGATGCCTAATAATAATATTATATTCAATCATTTATCATTAAGCTTATAAAATAATTAAATATCATGTTGAAACTATTATATTAGTTTCTGTGGATATTCATGTATTTATTTACGTACATTTGTCAACAGAACTCCAATTTTGTTAAATATCATTTTTTCTCTAAGAAATTAGTAATAATTAATACTTCTTAAGGGCTTTTATCAACAAATGGAAACCAGCGAAATACAGCTTGTTAATCACACTAATAACAGAGTCTTCCTGATTAATGAGATAATTTAATTTATTATCTCTCAAACTCACTAAAACAAAAGATGTTATATTTATTAATGTTATACAGAATGGAATATTCATCTTTGATAATGTGTTTAATGCACTCTTAACATATAATTTATAATCTGAAATAAATGCTAACATTTAAACTAACCCCAAAATTCCAGTATTTCGAAGATCTGTGGCTGGATCTGTACCTTAAAACCCAATCATTTCCCAATGATATCCATATCTTAAACAATAATCTGTTGTCATTAATTAACAATATATTGTATAAAGCATTCTGAAATGATAGTCATTATTATCATTAAAAGATGTCTCTGCCATAATACAAACCTTGTTTAGATGGATAATACTTAATTTTTTTCATTAATCAATCTTGTATTTTTCAAATGTACACTAAAACAGCCAATTAATTTTACAAATAAAGAGCTTTTATGTTCTAAAAATTATATTTGTTCTTTGATATCTTATGATCTTTTTAATTAATCCCATGTTTCTATAAAACTAATTTATTAAATTTCAATTTTCTTTAATTATAATTCAACAATTCTATTTCTTTTTCCGTTTTCAAATTCTTTTTCATTTTTATGAATATTGTTTTCTGACAATCTAAAGACTTTTTTATCAGGACTTTCTTCTCCTTTGCCTATCTAAGCTTAATTATATTCATCATCACTATAATCTTGTTTTTCCTCTCTTTATTATTCATTTTTATTTTAATTGTTTTATAATGCTATAATAGAAGCTTTTCCTTTTAAATTATTCACTAGATTTCCATTGAGCTTAATTAATTTATTTTCTTTTCTATGAAATCTATCATTAAGTTTTTATGAAGCTTTAACAAATTGATCGCACTACAATTAGAATATCTATTTATTGTCAATATCAGAATCATTTTCTAGAGTAGGTTAATCAGTTGATATATGTGCCCATTCACAAATCTCACCAACTTCTAATTAAGTGGATACTACTTTCGAAATTTTGAACTCCTTCATATCAACTATATAATTTTCACTCATTTTATTAATTATGTTGTTTTTAATTGTTTAATGCACAAACTATGTTTGTTAAACTTCCTGTTGCAATTATTAGAATCAATGTGCTTTGAATGATTGTGTTCATTTCGAATATGTTTATATCATGTCTAATATTAGAGAGACACATTTAATTACTTTACATTAGGAATTCAATTAGCTTTTCTAATAATATCGATAGTAATTCTTTTCTTATCCCATACTTCTAATTATTTAGTTGTCCAAAAATGATACCATAATGAATATTAATAAGTATGTTAATCAATTTTATATATTGAAAATCATAGTTACAAGTTATTTTCAATCAAAATATATAATATTTCTTAATGGAAATTGTAAATTTTTTTATTTTTAATTCTTCCATTATTAGTATTATTATTATTATTATCTTCATTATTTTTATCTAATCACTCAAAATAAAATCTTAACATATGAATATTAGTAAATAAATCTATTATTATATTTGTTTTTATAAAACTAATAAAAATAATCACATTATGGGAAGGTTGTTTGAAAGGACCTTGAAAAGTTATAAATCAATTTTGTTCAGAAAATAATTCTGGCTAATTAATTGTCTTAAAGATTATTTTTCCAAAATATACAATACTAAATAACTAGAAAAATAAACTTAGGATAGAATTAGAGAATTTAGATCACTTTTTATTTGATCTTAATCAAAAAAAAAATAGTATAATAATTTATTTTACTACTACTTTTTTGAGTATAACTTTATTTACTTTTAATCATGATTATTTTTTAAAAAAGTTATCATATGCAGGATATATTGTCATGCGAACATCTGAATTTTTAATTAATTTCTTTGTTTCTGTTTCTTTTTTCAATTTTTATTGTCTATCTCCTTCTTCTTTTACCTTGTCTAAAGTTTCATTCTTTTGAAGGACATAATTTGTTGGATTAATATGAGATTCAACTAATTTATTTAATATTTCTTCTGGTTTTTTTAAGCCTTCTTAATTATCCACACTACTATCATCTTCAATTATAATTATTTTATCATCCCTAATAAAAAAATTATCATTTGCTCTCTCATATGATGGACCTTAATACCACTTGTTTATAAATATGTGCTTTGCAATAACATTTCTAAGTTCTTCAAGATTTTACTAAGAATCCTAAACATCCTATTGTTTTTTTTAAAAAGTTTCCTATGTTTACACCTCTGGAATGTGAGATTGTCCTTGTTATTATCTTTTTTAAGCTGCCTTAGTGAAAATAGAGGCTTTTTAGAATTACATATTTTGTAAAGGAGACCCTCTTGGAGTGCTATCTATTTTCTATAAACTTCTTTCATGATGGTCCATATTATAACTACCATAAGAGTCCTCTCCATCTTATTTATTTGTGTTAATTCTTTAATGAGGCCTTCTTCTTAAAGAAAGAGTGATGCTGTTCTCCACAATACTAGAAGGTTTTTATAATTCAATTTGGCTTCTCCTATCCTCAATTGAATCAGATTTTAATAACATAAAATAAGTTTAAATAATGTTTAAAAAACATAAATAAATTAACAAATATAAATTAATTTATGGTAATTTATTATTAAACAATATTGTCATCTTACCTATAATATTTGATCTATCCATTTATTCTTAATATTTTACTATTTAAATTTATTACTACTTTTCTATTAATAAATGATTAATTGGTTTGATTTATTTGAAATTCTCTCAACAATATTGTGATGACTCATATATTAAACTGATATTATTATTATATAAATAATGAATATATATCATTTAATTTAGTTTACCAAATGAATAATAGTTTTTATAAAAAGAAGTATAAACTAATAATTAAAGTATTTATTTAAAATGAATAATTAATGGTTAAACAAAGAAAGATATTTTATTTAATTAAACTATTTATTCAAATTAATTATTTTTTAAACTTAGAATGGTGCTATATTTACAAATATTTATTTTTTAATTATATTAATGTTAATGTTAAATTTATTAATTGCTTAATTATAGAATAATAAAGTAATTCGAAAAACTATTTATTTCAAATTCAATAGTATTAATAGATAAATCGAATTTATATTAAAAATACAAATCTATATTTAATTTTTAATAATTCATGTTGGGTCTAAAATATACAAATTTTAAATAATAGAATTATAAAATGTTTACAAGATATGAATGAAAATTATTCCAAAACATGATATAACCTATAAAGCCTTACATTAATAATATTAAACGATCATAGATTTTAAATTACACAATTCTAAACTTGTGTTTTTAAAAACAGAATGGAAGATGAAATTTCCAACAATATGAAAAAAATGTGTAAACTAATCCTTTTTCAATTTTATATATTGAATATTTATTTAATTTCAAATACCAATTAAAGAATATTTATATTTCTGAGAACCCTAAATGAAATAAAGAATACATTACACAAATTTTGTAAGATAAAATATAACGATATTAATTTAAAAAAAAATATATTTGAGATCATGATTATTAATAATAAATTTATATTAATAATAAATTTATTTAAAATTGAATTAATGAGATTGTTTTTTAATTTTAAACAAATTTAAAGAGTAATTTTATTTTTGAAAATTTTTTTATAAATATTCTTACTATTATTAATATATATTCATTAGTACTTTAATAATATTATTATTCACATTATTTTTATTTTTATAAGAGAGAGATTTATGCAAATGCTTAATATATATTATAATTATATCTATATTTTAACAAAAGTTATGTTAATTAATTCACTAATCATCAAATCCTCTTTATGATACTATGTTAAATAAATAATTAAAGTAATTATAAATTAAGCCAATTAAATATTAATAAAAAAACAGCCTCTATTTAATTAGCTTGGTCTAATACTAATCTAAAATTGTGCTAACTCGCAATTTAAAATAAATGACTTACTAGTTCTATCAATTTCAAAAAAAATCAGTAATTGTCCAACACAGAGAATTGACAAATAGATAATTCATTTAACAAGGTATTATTTAATATAAAATAGTGATTATAAACAAGTCTTTTTAATTATGAAAGAATTTTCAAGCCATTCTGATTTCAAGTACAATACAATTATCAACCAAAAAATAGAATAATTTTCTCATTCAATTGCTATCAATTAGAATAATTCTCTATTATTAGTTTCCAATTCAACTAAAATAGAAATGTTTGTAATTTTAGAGGAGAAATTAAAGAAAATTTAGCAAATCATATGTCATAAAAGAAAAGTTGTAAGTTTAAATTTCTTTAGAACTAATAGATTATTTATTACAGGGTCATTTGATTCATATATTATCTTATGGTCAACAATAATGATGTCAAAACCTAAATACATTTAAAAACTACTAGGACACAACTCAACTATTTAATGTATAATAAAACGCTTACCTAATGAGGATCTAATTATTTCTTGTAGTACTGATTATACTATAAAATTTTGGATTTAGCTACCAAAAAATAATTAATAGTGGATCTGTTCTTAAACAGTAAGTGTGCATTAAAATATTGTTTGGGGAATCTCGATAAATTAATAGGGTAATTAAGTAATTTCCTCTGGCGAGGATCATCTAATCTTAGTGATTGAATAAAACTAACAAACTCAAAATTGGTTCATAAAATAAATGATATAAGTAGACTAATCAGGATTTAGTTTGTGCTATATAAATAAGAATGCCTTCATTTTTTAACCTGAATCGTCAGAAAATTTAATTGTATATACTCTAAATGAAAATCAAGAATTCATGAAATTTAAAAATTTTAAAGTTTTTGGTTAAGGTTATTGTTGTTATCCATATTTTCCTTCCATTTATAATAATCAAAAATAGCTCTTAATAAATAAAAATGGTAATTACTTGAATATAATGAAAGTATAAGAAGAAAATTAAGATACTAAATACAATTATACTGAAGCTGAATATAGCCTAAAAATTATTTAGGTAATCAATTATGAGAATTATTACATTTTTGGAACACTAAGTGATGACGGATAGTACCTAATAACATGGGATAAGATATCTAGAGAGATTTAATTCAGAAAATATCAAGAAATTGCTTGAAAATATATATAAATATTTTTAATCAGAAAAATAATTCTAATTTTTGATATTTATTATTTGAATTATAACATTAATTATTAAAATAAGGATCTCGATGCTAATTGTATTGTTTTAGTTTCAAATTTTTGAATATTATATTGTCAAAATCAGCCATTTATATAAATGAAAAATTCTATTGTTTCAATTAAGTCAATTTTATAAACAAACTATTTTAATCAGTACTGATAAACTTGATTATTTATAAAATTAGAAAATAATATATAAATAAAAAAGTAGCATGACCTTGTGCTTGAGGCTTAAATTAGAAATTCTTAATAAATTATATATATATAAATAGTTTTAACTTCAAAAATCTCTTTTTAGACAGAACACGAGCTAATATTGCTTACAATCTAAAATATCTTGAAGCATTTGCAAAAAATATTTTATGATTTCTAACATCAAAAAAATACTCTTATAATCTACAAATATTTCAAATTTTATGAATTAGATTTTTTTTTTGTAGATAATTTATTAAATTTTTATGTTGAACATTGATTATTATATACTTTAACGTGATATTTCTTATTTTCTATAAGTTTAAATTATCAATAACAATTTGAATAGTTTAATCAATTTAATTTATAATATAGATCATTTTTTTATTTGATACTTGAAGAAAACAACTCAATATTAATATATATAATAAAATCAATTAATTTTGATTTAGTTTCTCAAATAAATGTTCTAAAATATTTTAGATCATTAAAATTATTGTTATTTAAAGCTGAGTTTACAAATTTTGTCTAATAAGATAAGATAAAAATTAAAAAACAACTAAAAATAACTAAGTTGATTAAATAATATTTGAAAATTATATGTATAATAATTAAACATATAAAATGATTAAAAAGAAACCAATCTAATTTTATTAAAAATGAAACTTATATTTTGAACCTTATTTTAATAATAATGAACAATAAAAACAATATTATTAACAAATTTACTTCAAAAATTAAGCAATAAAAATTTTTCTATTCAATTAATCTGTTGTTTTTCAGGATCATGTAAAATAAATTGCTGTAAGCGATTGTTAAAATAACTTTATATTTATTTAATTTCATTTTATTATTTTAGCCTTTAGTAATGTTCATAAGCTTTGATGAAATGATTTATCATATCAATTATTAAGCTAGAAGCTAACATTGAAGAAAATAAAGCAATATGCATCCATCCAAATAATAGAAGTTGCTCATTGGTTAGTTACAAACTATATATAAGAAATGATCCAGTAATAATCATTAGGAATGTTTCCTTCAATATTAGTTTAATGAAATCATATTTAGATCTCACAGGTTTATTAGAAATTAAGTAAATCAAATAAATTATTGATAACATAGAGAGTAATATTGATTATAATTCTGGGAAATCAATAAAGGCAACAATAATAAATATATACAATATTACTCTATATATTTAAAATGATTTATAATTTTTTGCCCAAAATCTATCAATATAATCAGTGTAGAAATATTTCCATTTTCTTTTATCATTAATTTTAGTGGCAGTAATTGATAACAATTAGATTGTTGAGAGTAAAATAAATAATAGAACAGTGATAGCATTGATACTATTAAAAATATCAAATGCTGATTTAAAAGTATAATCAGGAAATTATAGTAGAGCACTAAATAACAATTAATGAAGAATAGAATAATACATTTAAAATATCCCTTATTAGAAATATTGAATTTTTAATCTTAGGCATTTTTGAATAATATTCTTTTAGATTAAGCTACAAATGTTTAAATATTTACTATTTTTCCAAAGTCTTTCTTCTAATTTTTTAATCCAATAAACCATTTTAGAACTAGTGATCAAACAAAACATGCAGTATGAAACAAGAGATATCAAAATAGAAAGGTAACAACTTTTGGAATTCATTAAGAAATATGTATTCAATTCATTTTAAATATTTTATTTCTACGCTTTTTTTTAAAAAGGTAATGTACCACCATTTAGTGTTGATAAGAATACATCAATTTATAAAAAATCTAATATTGGTTTTAATGATATTTTAGTATAAGTGTCCAAGAATTATTTCAAATGTTATGGAAATTAATATTGCAAATATCTAAGATAAGATAAAGATTGCAATAAATCTAATAAATTAAAAAATATTATAGTGTTTCCAGTCAATAAAACTAATCCTGAAATAGATATCATTGAGTAGATAATTGCATCATTCATAGCTACAATTTTAGTGACTGTTTATTAAGTTGCTTGAGATATCACAAATGGTTATCCTAAGCTGATTTCTTATTTATATTCTGTTAAACCTTAATTTAATTCATTAATAATAATTGATTTCTCTATTTCAACTTTTAGGAAAGGATTTTAAACAGGATCTTTAAAAAATATAGATATTTAATATTTTGATTGATTAAATTCTGTTGAACATTTGACTAGAGGAATGATATTAATGTCATATTTAGTAGGAGGTGAAACTGTGAAAATAGTTATATTCTCAAAAGGAATTCCAGTATTCTATTTCACTTTTTAAGTAAAACCAAGTTCTATAATTTATTATTAACTATTTTTATTAGAGAGTTATTATAATTAAAATTTTGGTGTTTCTATATAAGTGCAAATACTTAATAAGCCTTCTACATTTATACAAATAAATGAAGCTTCAATATTACAGTAGGCAGAACATCCATCTCCTCCTGAAATATTGCCATCATCACAATCTTCATAAAGACTATTAAACAGACCATTACCACATTAATTATAACTATCCTCTATAATTTCTTCTTATATTGTTAGTATCTCATTTTCTATTTATTCACATTTCACAGTGTTATTATTTAATTTAGTAAATTAAGGATCACATTTTGTACAAATATTATTATTCTAACATGATTTACAACCAAATGAGCATTATAATTAACATTCGTAACAGCCATCAAATTAAATATCATTTCCATCATCACATTATTCGTCATTTGTCACAATTTAATCTCCACAAATAGATGTACATATTTCGTTAACTAATTAAAATGGATGTCTGCAAATTTAACATTGATTAAATTTGAGACATAATATACAATTATCTTAGCATAATTATACACAATCATTACAATAAATATCATCAACATTATCACATTATTCAATAGAAATTATTGCTAAATGATTATCATTACAAACTTATTAACACTTATTTTTTATTAATTACCATCCATCTAAACATTAAAAGCATTTTTAATTAACACATAATTTACATTCTATTTGGCAACTATACTAGCATTTATAACAACCATCAAATTTGTCATTATTACCATCATCACACTATTCACTATCTAGAGTCAAACCATCTCCACAAATAGGTTAACAATGTTAAGATTTCAGCTTATAACCAATTAAACATTAAATACATTTGCCAAATTCACATATAAAACAATTTTTGACACATGAATATTTACAATTATAGCAACCATCATTAGGAATCAAGTTCCCATCATCACATTCTTCATTTCCTTAAATTATTTTATCTCCACAAATCGGTAGACACTATTTAATTTGATCTAAATAATTCCATCCTTCAATACAATTATAACATAAACCATCTATAAAATTTGAGCATCCAGGACTTAAGTTTAATTCATCAACATTTTATTAAAGTTAATAAATTATAAAATCTATAATACTCAGATAAACCTAATAATTTCCTTATATTTAGATATTTAGTATTAATGAATTCGTCAAAATTGTATCTATTTCAATGTTATAAATATAGTGATATTTAGATTAATCATAAATATCATAATACTGGAGACAACACCAATATTAATAATATTTATCTATATCTACATTAATTTAATCACTATTTAAAAATATTGAGATTGTTTTAAAATTAAGTCTAGATAAGACAAGTTTGAACTAAACTTTAGTTTTGCCATTTTTAAGTAAAATTTAGGATGAAATATCTGTTTATAGACTTAAATTTTAATATGATGAATAAAAAGGGAAAATTAACCCACCTAAATTATTAAAATAATTTACTTAAACAAATTTAAGAGTAAGAGTAGAAAATATTCTTGTTACTGATACTTTAATTGATGAAATCATTAGATTAGTAGACTATTTTCCAGGGTAATTATATATACGAATTATCACAATAATGATATTTATTATGGCAATCAAAAACAGAAATTTTAATTAAGTTTACTCCCCACTCAAATTAGTTACTTGTTGAACAACTCATAGAATTATTTTAATTAATCCATATAGAAATAAATGTAGCTGGATTATTGTGTACAAACTAAAAGTTTAAAGAGTTGACACTTGTACTTGATACAAGTGGAATGTTTTGTATAGAATCATCTAATTATAAATTAAGCTAAGACACACATTCACCAAATTATGCAACAATTTCAATATTAACTTAACTATGCAAAGGTAGAGTAAATCTCTTTGAAATTTCTGCCTTATCGTTTAAGCATGTCTTTACCTTAACAGTCTCAAAACCATATGTACAATCAATATAAAGGGTATCATTATTGCTCATCCAACCTAAATTTTGTACAAATTTTACTATTTTGAATGCTTGTTGGATTCTCTTCATAAACAACTAATTGTGTATAAATCTTAATGAAAGTGATTAAAAATAGTTCTACTTTCATTATTTGTATATATTTTAGTATATATTTATTAATGATAAATAATCAAATATTAAAAATAAAATAAGAATTATTTTATTGCAACTACTTGTATGATTGAGATCTTGAAAAATTCTCTCAAAATATGAGAATAATAAATTCTTGTATAAAAGATATTCTCATTTCTACTTAACATTAAAATATTTTGATGAGCAAACTTACATATGATTTTTTTTATTATTGTCAATAGTTTTGATGATTGGATTATTTTTTCAATTCTGCCTTTTGAAAAACAAAAATAGATATGTTTAGATTATTTTAAGGTTATCATTCAAAATAATCTAAAATTTTTATATTATTATTATTTGAATACTAATCAATTTTATAACAACATTTTAATTTATTTATAAACAAAACAATGAAAATGAAGAAATTTATTTTTCTATTTTGATTTATCAAAATGTAAATCCTTAATTTTAAATGGTTACTCAAAAAGTCATTATTTCTTAAACTGTTACTTATTCATAAAAAAATGTATTTTTGATATTCTAACAAAACTATCCTTCAAAATGATAACTCATTATTACAATACAAATAAATTAATAAATATTTCATAAATGACTCGATTTTTATCTGAAAATCAGAATAAAATAAGGAATTAATTGATTCAAACACTATATTGAGATTAAAGTAAAAGTATAACCAAAAGTTTCTCTTGATTTTCATGAAATCTTAAGACTTTATTTTTAATTTTGGATGCTGCAAAAAATAAAGAGATGAGGGTTATACATAATGATAAGATTAATTTAATTATAATTAAAAAGTTTGAATAACATCTTAATATGAAATAACAAGGCATGAGAACATCAGATAACAATTAATTTAAAATCTTTAATTAAAATAATTATTGTTTATTAAACCACACCATATCCATTTTTTGTTTTTAATTCGCTACAGGAAAAAATAAAATTGAATATTGATAATCTGTTATGGAAATTTAAACTTTTATTTTATTTTCATAGAGATTTCAAGATTGATTAGTAAAGTAATAATAAGTATTAAGTTTAAGCTCTACTTTTTATCGTAGTTATTCTAATTTAATAAAACAATCAAATAAGTGGTACTTATATTTTATTCTTCAAGGAATATATTGATAACAAAGAAAAATATATTTTAATATAAATGTATATTTATTTCTCTATAGAAATTATTCTATATTGTCTTTATAAAATAGCATATAAATTTTAATATTACATATTCAAGTTCATAATATAAATTATGTAATAAGTTAAATACCCAAACTTAGAAAATATTTAATATTCATAACCATCATCATCGAATTAAGATTTATAATAATAATTAGTAAACAAAACAAACGAAAACATTAAATTTATCCCAGTTTTAATTTCTCCATAAGAAAATCTTTAAGGATAAGCATAATATTAATAATACTCATAATATTAGTAACATTAAGTGGCTCCTTATTATCAAAATTAAAATGATTACATTGTGCCACTATAAAATACAAATTATTCTAATTTAATCAAGGACAAGGAATTTCCTGGATAAAAATTATTTTTATGTGGAATTTTAGGAATCTACATCTTATGGTCTATCATATTTGTTATTTTATTATTTCCAATTTCAATGTTGTTTGTGGATAAACGAAATGGAACCTAAAATCCAATTTATTTTATTCTATTAATATTGTTTTCATTTACTACAATTCTTTTAGCAAAGCTTGGAATAAGAAAGAATAATCGAAACGTAATTGAAATTTAATATTTTAGACTTTAACAAGTATTTTAATATTGTTTGGGGTTATATTAAGTTATACCTGCTTTTACTCAGCCTTTTTATCCACTTTGGCATCATTTTCTACATAATAGTTTGGATGTATGTTATAAATTTATAATTTTAGGGGATTTTGTAATTGCCATATTTTTAGCTGCATCAGTTATTGGAAACTTTATTTTTAATTTCATCCTTTTAATTTACTTAGTATTTGCTGAAGAGAAACTCAAAATGATTTGTAAGTTATCTTTTTTTTAATTTTATTAGATCCTATTCTAATAGAGCTTATTGGGATCTTAATTTTCTCAATTATATATCATCCAATATTCTTGTTTTGCATATTGTTTATGTTACCATATTCTATTAGTTTGATGAGTGCCTTCAGTTAAATTATTAAAGGAAGAGTATTAATTTTAATTAAACTTTTTAGTTTCAATTGGAAAGGAATCAAGTATTTGCTGGGGCAATAGCTTCATTTTATAGTTAGATTGTTTGCTGTACAGATTGAAATTAGTTTAATGTATTTATTTTATCTATTATCATCATTAATATTAACTTCTAGTTTGTTTAATATTATAAAACTATTTATATGAGAAATAAAGATTATCAGTTTATTTTTATATAAACGAATTTTGAATATTTAAAAAAATTTTTATTATATAATAATAACTAGAAATATCTTTTATTATTTATCATTTATATATTTACAGATGAAAATTATATATCTTTAATGATCAAAAAAAAAATTTAATTTTCAATCATTCATGAGTTTATCTTATTTTCTTTCTTGTATTCTAAATATACTATTAATTTAAATATAATATAATAACAACCTAATTTATTAATTAAATCAATATGATGTTCTTATTAAAATCATTAAAAGATTTTTCATTAATTATTTGTATTAGAATTTAAGCATCTGATACATCATTTTGAGCAAATAATATAAATTCTTAGTTTATATCTTCTATATTTTATAATTCGATTTCATATTACTTTATTATTCCTAAATGGATTGTTGATTGATTGAAAAAAATGAAATGTGTAATATTTAACTTGATGATTTATATATAATAATTTAATCGATAGATAAAATCATAAAATAATCTATCTTCTTGAATATCATAAAAAAATGTGACATTACGATATAGTGAGGTGAATAATAAATAATTCTCATCTACATAATCAAGTTGGAATGACAAATCTGATACTGGTTATCTAATCTATTTTGTCAAAAGAAATGATATAATAGAATTATTTTAAACATCAATTTAAAGTCTCATAATAAAATAAGATTGTTGATTTGAAATTAAAAGGTTTGCGAAGATAAAATTTTCATTCTAATTAGATTAAACTAATTTAATTTCTTTAACTATTTCAAATGTTGGTAATAAGTTTTGAATTTTGTTAGTGATTAATTAAGATAATATTTCAAAAGATCCATTGGAATGAATTTAATAAATTAATAATTTCAATTAAAATTGATATTCTTGATTCAATCTCTGTAAAGCCAAATATTAATCTTGAGATTTTTCAATATATTTAATGTCAAAATTAAAATCTAAGAGGTCAATTATTTAAAAATTCTAATTTTTAATAAATAAATGAATCTAATTTTATTCATTCTATAGTTTAAATATATTTTTTGATTTGAAAATATGTTAATTTAAAGGTTTTTAAGTTTTAAATTTTATGATTTTTGTCTAGATTTCTGTACAAGTTTTATCATTTTCAATAATACATTCTAGAAGTTTGATAAGTAATTCATCTTCTAATTTTGAAAACCAGAGAAATAAGTGAACTTCTATCCAAAAAACCTAATTGATATCTTCAAAATTTGGTTATTAAATTTAAAATACGGTTTTATCTTCTAAAATGATTGCAAAAGCTGTGTAAGTTTAAATTAAATGTTTTAAATTGATCTATTTAATACATAAAAACGTTTCATTTTGGCATTATTTGATTTCTTATTAAAATTAAAATGGAGTTCTCAATTAAAATTTGGAATTACCTTAAATTGTTAAATTATGAATTGGACCTTAAAATATTTCAGAAATCTTTATTTATAAATTTTAATTTTTTGTTAGACTATAAGAGATTGAATTCTTTAATGAAAATAAATTATAACATTGATTTTAAATAAAGAATTCAAAGTGAATTTTATCTTACTAATTGAAAGTTGGTATTAATGATAATTGGTACTATGAAATCAAGGTCTTTTAGAATTATATATTAGTTTCGATAATTACAGTCATTTCTTTCAAGTAATGTTGCTACATTTAACTGTTGTTTAAATATAATAATGAATCATTGACAAATTCAAAATACATATCATCAGTACTTTTAACATCAATCAAACTGATTTTTTGATCTGAAAAACTCATAAAAGCTATAAACATAGATTAGTTTTGTTTAACTAAAATAGCAAAATTTGAATAGATAACATTATACTTAAAGGGATTTGAGAATGAATATTCTTATAGAGTATAATTATATAATTATTGTAATTCAAACTAATCAAATTGATATAGGATTATTGAATTAGTTTGATTTTGTACTGACAAAATACTAAAGATATCTTTTAATGTTGATTTCATAGATAAAATTAAGACATCTTCTAAATGAAAACACTTTACAATTCCATTTAATTCTTAGGCAAAGATATTCAAGTATTAAATAAATTTATAATTTCCAAATTCTTAATAAAAAAGAATTTCATTTGGGTAATTTAAACGTTATGAAAGATACTTTTTACTATTTTATAAATTGTATGTTTTGGATATTAAAATTGGATTTTTTTCATTTTTTAAGTAGATTATTAATTCTTGATTCATCTATTACACTTTTAGTATTTCAATATTAGAATGTAATTAAATTTAATTTATTGATCCTGAACCAAATAGAATTACTTTTACTTATTTATTAATTTTATCAATTATATAATAATCTTAATTAATTCGAAATACTTCATATTGATTAGTATCTATGCTCATTTATATTTTGTTTTATTCACAATTGTGGAAGTACAATAAATTTTGAACTTAAAAAACTATGTAGTTTAAAATTTGCATTGATATTAAAATAATCTTCCTTTTAAATTTATATCTTTATAATTGTTAATAGCATAAGTTCTGATTTTTTTAATGATTCCAGATACTTAAATTAAATACTTTAGTTTTATTATGATAAAAAGTCACCTTTTAGAATAAAAATTATTCAAAGTCATGTATTTTTATTATAATTTACTATCTATTTTAGCAATCTTTTTTTATTAAGACCTATTCTTTTTAGTTAATTTTTATATCCAAATTTTTTTCATATTACATTTTAAAACAGGACATTAATGATTATCTTTCTTATCCATCTGTTTTCAGAATAAAATATACAAATTTTAATTTTGGTTCAATAAAACTACTAATAGGAAAATATCTATAGAATTATAATATATTTTTAGTTTTGTCTAATTAATAAAATAAATTATCTTCTTTCAGAAAAGTTAATGATGAGTTTAGAATTTAATATGTTTGAATTAAGTGTTTATCAATTCTAATAATTAGTTCTGTTTAATTTTATAAAACTAGGAGATTGGACAATATATATATTTGATCACTTTTATAAGGATAATTTAATTCAATTTCATTATCAAATTGTTAAATAGATTATGAATCATTTTCTTTTAAATATGTTATTAGCATAATGTTCAAGCACTTTTTTAATGGTAATATTTTTAAGATTTACTTTTTAATCTTATATAATTAAGGAATTACTATTTAATTAGAATTCCATCTTACTTAAATGTAATTATTTCCTTCAATAAGGTAGATTATTTATACTCCTATTTCACAAAATTGTACATCATCTACTTTATATAAATCTTAGAAGAATGAATAATGTTCATCTATTTTAGATTGCAAAATAAGCAATATTTACTATTGATTAATTTCAAGTATTGTCCATTAAGAACATTAATAGAATACAATTAAAAATTAATTTTTACCTAAAATTTGTTATTATTTCTTCTTGCATTGATCTTATATTTAAATAGAAACACCATATTCAAGTATAAGATTTGTTTCGCCCAATAAATTAACAGAATATTACTTCAAACTAAATTAACTTAAGCAAAATATAATTAAGTTTTCATTTAAGTTATAAATTTCATCACAGGTTTCTTAAGATGAAATAGATGTCTCTATCATAATTTGCTCTTATGCATTTCCATTATTTTTATCATAATCTAATGTATCAAAGTTGATACATGTTATATAATATTTTTAATTCATATATAATGAGCAAATTAGTTTCTCATATATCAAACCATAGTTTAATAATTTGAGTACTTTAATTTAGATAGGTATATCTTTATAGGGAATAGTAAATGATTTTTATACAATTTCTTTATCAACACTTTTTAATTTATAATAATCCTCCTCATTCCCTTCCAATACAAAACAATCTTTTATATATTGATGACAAGTTATTTTAGGTTATACTTACAAAACTTCACAATTAATTGCTTTTGAGTTTAATCGAAAAATGTGGAATCCAAGAATTATTAATAAGTAATACATATTTTTTATATTATTTAAATAAATTTTAATAAAATAATTTCAAAACTCTTGCTCTAAAATTGTTAAAATTTAATTTTTAAATTTGGTTTATTAAACCATACCGAATAGATAGTTAGAATTTTTGTGCTCTTGATTTTTATTTTTATTTTAAAAGATTATCAATCTTGATAGTGGCAAGACTAAGAAATCATACAATCAAAAAAAAATAATATGGTAGATTGATCAAGATTTCTTCATTAATGATATTTTGAGATAAATCATTATTTTTAAATTCAAACTTCTGAGAGAAATAAATAAATTTAGATCTTGAAAGCTAACCTTGAGACACATTTTTTTTTTAAATTAGATGATATTTACAAAAACTAAATCTGAGGAACTCAAAAAAGAATTTATGATTAAGATAATGGTGGATTGTTGATTTAGAAACATCATTATAGAAATTCTAATATTATAAATAGATGTGATAATGGTGGAAAGACTTTGATTATTAAAATAGAGTAACTAGAAATATTCTAAATAAATTTATTAAGTAAATATTTACAAATAGTGGGCTTTTAACGTATTTTTGAGTATGGATTGTGGTACACAAATGGTATTAATTCCTTACTAAGAAAATGTTTTAAATTAACATGTCTTTCTTTATAGATAATTGTTAAATTATTTATATCTCATATTTCAAGAATATTAAGCTTGAAATAAATTGAATATAATATAGTAAGAAGGATTTAGTTTATTAACATTAATAAAGGAATTTAGGTAAATGGTTTTAATGAAAATTTGTGGGGAAAATGGTATAGGTAGAGAAGAAGGAACTTGTTAGAATAAGAGAAAAGGGTTAGTGAGATAGATTATTGTCGAGAATTTGAGGAAATTAACAAAGGAAACAGATAAAAGTGAATTTGAAAACACATTACCATTAGAGTCATGTATGTATTTTATCCTGAGAGAATATAGACTAACACTTTTCATAATTAAAGGTTGAATCAGAAGTGAATTAAAATTGGAGATGTATAGGAACTCAAATCGATTTAGGTTTTAGGAAGATATAGACCAAATTTAAAGTATTTACTGAATATTTGATTGTTTAAGAGTTTTGTTATCCTATAAAAATAACTGATATAATTATGTTTCCAAAATATCTATTATAATTATTTAGACTATCTAATAAACACTCTAATCAAAGTATACTATATCAATATTTCAACTGTTTTTCATTTTGAATTCAATTTGTTTATTAAGTTTAACTATGAAGACTAAAGTGATGTTTAGATTAGAAATTTAAAATTAATAGTTTCCTTTAAATTACTATTTTCTATAAATCCCAACACATTACTGCTTATTTAAAACACTATTTTCTTTGGCATTCAACATAAATCTCCTGATAAAAATGTGAAGAAGACTTAGAGGACTAATGAGAACATAAAGGATATCCATTATCATCATAACATTATTTATCCAATGATGGTATTTTATATTCCCAAATTGAATACCTTAAATATTCCATTCTTAAAAAAATTTTTCAAACCTTACTATATATTATTACATTACATTAGAATAATATCTCTCTTTGAAATTTAGCATTTCTTATAAACTAATATCTCCAAAACTTTCATTAGCTTATTTTTTTGAAGATCCACATCTACTATAACAGCATTTTTAAGTTGTAAAATACTTGAATAAGTTCCAGAGCTTATGTCCTAATTATTCATATCCATTTGTGTTTCAATCATCTCAAATAAGTTGACATTCCTCAGAAATATAATGAAATCTCAAGAAATACATATATTTTTTGCCATAATTATTAATGCATAATTTGTAACATGAACTTAATTATTCATTTAATTTAAATGCATCTATTCATAGAATTATTGATTAATTAGATGGTTGATGGTCTTATTAAACCATAAGAGAAGAATGGTTGTTAGTAATCTTTTGATAAAATTAATTGTTTGAATACTTCAACTTATTAATATAATACTTGATTTAAATATCACTTATTAGATTGATAATTATTCATGTTAAATATTGAATTTTCTTATTTTGGACAATGTGATTTATTTTTCAATTAAAAAGATTTAAATTTTCCTCTATAAAAAAATTCCAAATTTATTATAATATATTAATTAATCAAACTAATTTAAATGAGTATAAGATTTATTATGAATTAATATCATTTTTATGCATATATCAAAAAGATACAAATAAATTCATTTTGCTTCTTTGTAGCTCTTCTTGTTAAGCTGATGTAATGTACATTCTCTAACTATTTCCTTTCCAACTCTATTGATATAAAGATATATATTTACTTTCTGTCTTTGATTGCCATAATCCAGATCATTATCCTCCAAATCAACTGAATTATAGATGCATACAATAACAATGATCCTATTTCATAATCATCAATTGTTAATTTTAGTTTCTAGAATTTACGAATTTTCTTACCTCATCACCAATAATCATTTGTGTTTCCCAAATCAAAAAGAACCCTTCTCCAATTATGAAGAGAGTGCATAAAAATATTGAAAGAGCATAGTTTGAATATACTCCCATTAAAATTAGCATAATTGCCAATGTCGGAATAAATAGACAAATTGAGCCAACTTAAAATATATGGAATACATTATACCTCTATATGATAAACAGTTTTTAGTCTTAAATTAATAAACAGTCAAAGCCAAAACAAAGATAAAGGTGATTCCTATTGCCTACCACACTATTCCTACTCCAAATTCATATGCGATTAGGATACAAAGATTTGTTACCAAGAATCCAAAAAATAGAATATAAAGTCCTAAGATAATCAAGTTCCAAGGTCTCTAAATCTCAATACTAATATCATACCTTTCTAATTCTTTTACCTCCACAAAATACAGTGATGTGAAGTATTATAGAAACAGTTATGGAAACATAAAACAACCAAGTGGGATAATAATGACTAAAATATGTACATCCACATTATGCAAAATTGCCAAAAGCACAATAACAACTTTTTTACTATCCAGTAGTCACTAACCAATACTGCATATTTGTATATAATCCTAAGATCACCATAACAAAAGTAAATGTTAGTTCCATCGTTAGACAGATGTAAACTTTCATTATAAAGTCTGCCCTTATCTATTAATTGTAGAAATTTTCGTTTCTTAAAGGAGGTATTATCTTAATCTTATTCTAAATAATGTTTATAAATACTTTTTTTTTTGTTCTACTTTCTCTTTTTTGTGCTTGTTCAGATCCTACTGATTGTTATGTGGTTATATCCAGAGCAATATAATTATCATTTGATTGGGTTTCTTACATTATTGAAGAAAGATAATATTAATTTAATTTTGCTTTATATCTCACTATTTATAGTTGGTTATAAAATATTAATTGAATAAATATTGAATCATCATTCTGTATTGATTCAAATTTAACTTTAATAGATCCTAAAAGTAGGGTTCTCAATTTTTTATTTATTTTTGGAGAGTATTAAGATATATAAATATATATTAATATAAACGTTTATAAATGTTTAAAAAATATTATTATAAATTATCCCTTATTTCAAAAAGTAGAAATTACTGAAATATTTGAATATAATATCTTGTAAAAATCAATTAATAAAGTAAATTATATTCATTTAAATGTTTATAACTATTTTTGAGAAATAAATTTATAAATTAATAATCATAAATTTAATTTCATTAGAAATAGAGGTTCAATTAAAATTTATAAAATTACCAATTTAACTATTCCTTACTAAAACTCAAATATATTTTCACCATTATCATAAATAATTTAAATGATAAAAATTATTTATACAAAAATATCTTTAAAATTATTTATCAAAGTTTTTTCATTAATTTTGTTTTATTACCTTAAATAATTCAAAGTTTCTTGTATGTTTATGGTTAAGAAATACTGTTAAATCAAGCATATTATTTTAGTTTCTAAATTTATATGCTTACATATATCACTGGAGTTATCTTTAAATCATATAAAGAATTAAAGTGATTATTGCTACAATATATAATATTTTAAATTATCAATTCTATATACTCTGCTAAACCAAATATTAAGAATTAATAAACTACAAAATGTGGTGTATATCTATTCTTTATGAACTATAATTCAAAATATTTTGATTGATAAATTAATATTTCAATTTTATTTTTCAGTTAAAAAATTTGTGAACAAAGGGAAAGATTATAGTATTCGTTCTTTGAAAGACCATTATATTCAAGCAATTAATGAATTTAAGTTTATATAAATGATATAATTTTTTAATAAAATTCTTAAAATATGAAGGAAATTTAAATACCAAAGATAGACCCTAAGGCAATAATTAGAACCATAGTAAAACAAATAATATTAAAAGTAAAGTTAGTTAAGGCTAGAGTGAGAATGAAAATAGACTTAGACTTAAAATTTTGATTTTCTCATTTTTTGATCATGTACCATATATATATTAATAACGAACATTTCATTATTATAAGTTAAAACAATTAAAAATTTTATTTGATTTTTCTCAATTAAAAAATAAAAAATGATTAGCACAATAATTTGATTCAAATTTTTACTATATTTTTATCTAATTATTTATATGATTTTCTATCTTAATAATTTCAATTTATAATGGGAGATAAAAAGATCAATATATAATTTCTTAAGTAATTGAATTTTAAAAATAAGATGTTCAACATATTCTTGAATAAATTAGACATGATCATTTAGGATTTCCATAGTTAATTTTAATAATTTAAAAGTCTATCAGATGAAGTTATTTCATAAAAATGAAGTATTATGATATATAATTTCAGATATTCATCAAAAGCCTTAGTGTTTTCAGTAAAAAATTAATGTAATATTATGAGATTTTTAAATTAGTAGATATAATCTATTATATAATTAAATTATTTGATAATCAATCAAATACATTAAATTTAGAGATAAACTTTAGGATTTGTAAATAAGGTGTACTTTATTATTATTCTATTTGTATACATATGAATTACTAAATAGATTTAAAAATATGCTAAGAATAATGTTGTTAGCAGATTCTATTTCACAAAGTAGTTCCATAAAATTTATAGATTCTTGTATTTTGATTTCCATAATCACCATGAATATTCTTTAGAATCAGATAGACAGAAAATACTTAGTTTATTTATTTAATCCAAATTAAATTATTTTCAATTAATAATCTAAATGTAACTTGGATTTTTTCTTTTAGATAAATTAATAAGAAGGACTTCAGTTTACTAATTCATTCCTGCAAGGGTAGATTTTATTTATTTAATTACCCTGTTATAGAGTAAGTAGACTATAAAAAAATGTTTCCTCTTTAAATTTAAGAGATTAACATTTTGAGTTTAAAAATTGTGATTCAGAATTCAAACAAGAAAGCAATTAATTAAGTCATTTACTACAGTTAATTAATATCCTTTATCTTATTATAAGATTAATAAAGTTATGAATATCAAAAAGAGGTAAAAATTACAAAGATATTTTGGAATAAATTTTATTTATAATTTATTATAATAAGGTAATATTTAATATCATTTTTAATATTAATAAAACTATATAAATGTCATCTGATTTAGATAAAAAATTGTGTTAAAAACATAAATTAGAAATTTTAACAATAGATTTAAAGTAATCAACTGCTGATGAAGATAAATACCTTTGTATTAAGTGTTTAATGGAAAAAATTGATATTTAAAATATGGCATTGGTAGAAGAGACAAAAACAATGATTAAGTAAATGAAAAGTGAGTAATTGACCTTTAAAATCAAAGAGTATTAAAGAAGGATTGAAATATTTAAATAAATTCAATCATAAGTTAAAGAATTGAAATTGTCAATTAATAATACAATTGACAAAGTTTAATCCAATTTAGATTAAAAAATAACTCTAATGGAGAATGAACTAGATGAATCAGAATCAAAAACATTTGTTTCTACATTTGAAGAAGATATTCGAATTTTATCAAAAAATTACAAAGGATCATTCAGTTTTGAAGTTCCTAAAGAATTTGAGAAGTCTATAGATGATAATTCTTATATAGATTAAATATAGTAATAGCTATAATCTATAATTAATTGTCCTAAATTAATTTAAATCAAAGAATCTTTAGAAAAGACTAAAGCGGAAAATGGAAATTCAGAAGTTAAGTAAATCTAATTACTTAATAAATAGGAAGAAGATCCATAAGTAATTATTATCTAAATATTTAAATAGAAAACACCAAGTTTAAAGATTTAATGTAATAAACATGGAAAAGAAATTATCATGTTTAATTTGAATCCTGAAAAAACATAGTTTTCTAGATTGGCTTGTGTTGAATGTATATAATCAAATGATCCTATTAAATACACAACCTTAGAAGATGCTAATTTTAAATGGAATGAATATCGAGGATAAACAAGCGATTAGGTTAAACGATTTTAAAATTCAAGATATTTACAATCATCATAAATCATTGAAATCCTCCAAGACATTAAGGAAAAGTACAATTCTACGATTTCAGAAATTATCAATAAGATAAACACTTAATATTCAATGTTCTCATAAAATGAAACTAATGAGTTTAATGATAATATGATTTTTTTAATGAATACAGAGTAAATTAATGAACTAACTGAAATATTAAGTTAGAATGATAAATTTAAAGCTTTGGCTGAAAAACAATTTAATATTTAGAAAGAGGATTTTAATTAACTTGTATTAATATCAACTAATTTTGGATAATTGCTTTAAAATGATTTATTAGCAACTCAAAAAATAAATAAGATTTTTAAAGATTCAAGTCTTAATATATCTAATGTAAAAGATTAGACAGATGATATTGTATAAGATGATAATAATTCCATTTAAAATCTATAATAGATTAAATAACTTAATTAACAATTACAACACTTTAAATTATATTAGAATATCTTGGATGAAGCCTTAAATTAGTATGACTTAATTATGCAAACAATAAGTAGTTTATCCAATTAATTCAAAGATGTATAATAGTAACAAGTACAAATATATTTATATTACTAAGTTTAATCATTATGTTTCAAAGATTGAAAAGGATTTATCTCTTATGTAAAAATTCACTTAATTTGATCAAGTTGCAACTGAACATAAATTACTTAAGTAAGAGAAAGAATAATTATAAAATCAACTTATAGAAAGTGAAAAGTCAAATTTAGAGAATCAATTAGTGATAAATGACTTTAAGAAACATGATGCTGAATAAATAAAATAAATATCTGATTTAAGGAATCAAAATCAAGGTTTATTAGTTTAAATAAAAGAACTTGGATAATAAAGTAAATAATAAATCCTATTTAATTTATTATAGAAACTTAATGTGAACTTATACTTAAGGAGAAACAAGCAGAATTGCAAATTTGCTAACAGTCTAATCAGAAGAATGAGCAAATGATGAAATAATTATAACAAAATTTAGTATAATTAAAAGATATATTAGAAGCAGGAGTGGTAATTCTCTTAATTCCTTACATTCTCAACAACTTATAAACATAGTTCTTGTTCAGTAACTTAAAATGGAAAAGTTATTGAGAATAGCTCTGGTGGTTATTATTGCTATATGTGTGATTAAATGATTCCTAAGAATGGTGTGATCTAATTTGCTATTAAAATAATTGAAATCAATTCTATTATGATAGGAATTGGTTTTAGGGATATTGTGCAGAGTAAGGGTTACTAAAGTTGTTATTCTATTGGAGGAGGGTATGTTTATTATATTAATAGTCGATAAATAGAACATATAATATATATTCTTCTGGTTATTGTTATAATCATGATTAATAAGATAAAAATGATAAAAAAATAGCATTTGAATTTTAAAAAAATGATATTATAATTGTTGAAGTAGATATTCAAAAGAAGTATATTAAATGGACAAAGTAATCAACAAATGAATCATTTGTATCAATATCAAATTATTATTATTAGACTTTGACTATTGATACATCCAAAGATTTATATCCATGTGTAAAGGTGATCTTAAATAGATATTTTTCAATTTTAGAAATTATTCATCTAAGAAAAAATAAAAATAATAAAATACTCAGAAGATAACTCAAAAAATTGTTAAATTTTATTTACTTTTCGATCAGTCTTGAATATCATAAATCATTTAATTCTAAAATCTGTTAATTTTCATTCTTTCTGTGAATTTGTAATAGTTAAAATGAAAAATTAAAAAATGATATGTATATTTTTTTAAGTTTCAAGGAATATTATTAATCGTATTTAATAAGAATCTTGTAAGTTTGTATAGTTTTATTAGTATTAGGAGAGACTATGAAATTAAGTTAAAAATAAAACATTAAAAGGGAATTTTTTCAAAGTAAAAAAGGCTTAAAATTGGATTTAATTTATATCAATTTGAATAATAAAATTTTCTGATCTTGAATCTCGTATTCAGTTATTTACCTGAGAAACATAAAAGTTTTAAATAATTTTGGTAAATTCTGAATTCATTATCCTGAGCATATCCTTATATAAATTTTCTTTATAAAATTCTCATCATGAAAGAAGAATATTAATTCTTGTACAAATAAAGTCTGTTAACATAATAATTTGAAAAAGAAACGCCCAAAGATTGCATATTTTCATTTAATTAAATTCAAGATCAAATTTTTCAATTATAGTTATATAAATTGGCATAAATTCATTTTTAACATTTAGTAAATTTATGAAGATTAGGATTTATTTATAGAGTAAGAAATTCCATAACATTTCTTTTCAATAAAGGAATTTACTCTATTTAGTCTATCTAAAGGATTTTTTTTATGCTCTATTATTAGATGATTTTGTCCTCTATGTTAATGAATATTAATAAGGTAGATAAATATGATATATATATATTTAAATGACTGATCAAGATAATAAATCCAATTTTTATAATTAAAGATAATAGCATTACTATAATTTTTGAATAATTAATAAACTTTGTGGTTATTTTCTTATATAGCATTTGGTTTAATTGATAGACCATAATTATTTATGATTTACTTATATTTAGTTATTTATCAATAAATTTATTCAGTGTCACATGCTTATTAATATATTTTATAATGAAATTATAAGAATAAAAATGAGAATCAAGTCAAATTTATTCTAGATGGTTAATCTTAATTATTTATTTAAATAAAACCAATTTTAAATATATTAAGGTACTTAAAGTTTCTAATTATCAAAATAATATGAATATATTTTGGTTAATTAAAACAATTAACCAAAAAGATTTGTTAAACAAGAAATTTCAAATTTTTGAAACAAAACTATTGCATAAACTTTTAAAAGAATATTTTGTTTCAAATTGATATATCTAAAAGTCTAAAAACGACTATTCTTCTGTTTCCTTAAATAAATGCTACTCAGTTATCTTTTTATCCAGTAAAAAAAGGATGAAAAAAATCAAATTTTTATTTACAAGTCAAAGCTGTAGGTTTTTAATTTATAATCTTATTCAGTCAGTTTTTTAATTATCAAATAATTATTGATATTTTTGAATTTAATGATTTCACGAAAATCTGGATAATATAAATATGAAATCAAAGTTAACTTTTTAATAGAATACTAAATTAATAAAATCAAAATAGTAAAATAATATTTATTTGTTATTTTTTGGTGATATCATAAATAGAGTACTTCATTGATTCTTCTTCAGTCTCTTAAGTTAAAAGAGAGAGATTAGGTGTTGTTAACAAAGTCTTTCCCTTATTATACTTAGATTGAAATGAAATTCCCAAAAGGTAATTATGTCTCATAAATTAATAGTTCTCTAAAAAATCTTATATAAAAACATAAATATTAGTAATTTAATAAAGGTTTATCCTTTTTTAATTTATGCCTTACTTAATATTGTATGTCTTTGTCATAAAAATTATAAAACAAGTTGTGAATTATATAATATTCATATTTTTGTCACTATATAATAAGTCAAATAAAATAATAATATACCTCAATTTTTCTGATGCTCTTAATCCATCTGTATAATAGCATAAATTCCAAACAATTTCTTATTTAATAGATTGTACTTAACCTATTTAAAAAGAAGCTATATTTTGTTTTTTAAGCTCGCTATGTGTTAATTAATAATAATTACTTTTATTTTATCTGATAATCATTTCATTGAGGCAGTTAAAGTATGAACAAATTTAAATTTCACCAATTTTCTGACAATTAATAATTTTATAAATAATTGACAATATCAATGCTATTTTGCTAAAGATATTTGGACTTAGTGATTGTAGAAGGAGATGAATTATATATCAGTAAAGCAGGGTTTTTAGGTGATAAATAATGAATGTAATTAAAAACTAAGACTGACTAAAAACAAATCAAAAGTTAGGATATTTTCATTATATAATATTATTTCAAATTATTTTCAGGAATAGACAAATCAAATTTAATAATTATTTATGAAGAGGTTATCATCATCAAATTTTGCTTCTATTAAATACTGATAAAGGCTGTAAACTTTTAGCTAATACATAGTAGAATCAGATTGAATTGAATATAAAAAATTACTGAAATTAATAATTTATATATATGTTTATAAGTTTAACCTTAAAAGTCAATATATATATAGTTTTGCATTTTACAGTTTTATATTTTATTGGAATCAATTAAATTCATGTGGTACACATGGATATAAATCTTTGGATGTATCAATAGTCAAAGTCTAATAATAATAATTTGATATTGATACAAATGATTCATTTGTTGATTACTTTGTCCATTTAATATACTTCTTTTGAATATCTACTTCAACAATTATAATATCATTTTTTTAAAATTCAAATGCTATTTTTTTATCATTTTTATCTTATTAATCATGATTATAACAATAACCATTATAGAATATATTATTTTGGATAGAATGTAGTTAGTAAAGGTATTAATCTAACATTTTCTTTACGAATAGGAAAACTTTTGGCTCAATACAATTATAACAGTTTTCCTTAGATTATGAAGTATTGCTACCTTTAGTGCTTTAGTATAAATTATTAAAATTTTATGATATAAACTCAAAGTTATAATTTGGATCCTAATTTGCTAAGCATATTCTTTGAATAAATTTCTATACCAATAAGATCTCAAGACGCCCTCTATTATTAGATTTTGATGACTAAGAAACAAATACTTAATATTATGAAGTAGAAAAAGTGTTATCTAAAAATCATGTTATAAATTATTATTAGTTTTCCTATTTTTTTAAATTATTCACATACCACATCATCCAACTTAATTAACTTATGCCTAGACAGAAGAATATTAATTCTTTTTTTTATAATCTTTTCATACCAGAATATATTTAATAAATCACAGTGAGGATGAATTCATACATCAAATTAATAATATTTTAATAATCGATTAGAAATATCAGGATCACTAAAATAAACTTTAAGAAAAAGTTTACACTTTCATAACAACTTAGGTTTTTCATTTCTAATACAAATTGAAAACAATCCAAAATCAAGGTAATTACCATTTCCATTTAAAAGACTAAACACTAAAATTGAAATATATTTGATTCAATAACAATTAAATTACTTGATTCTATCTGGCTTCCTGATTGAATAAATTTATTATGAAAAGAATTTTATTATACTTATCAATAATTAATAATTATTTTGGTAATTAATAAATATTTTGGAATCTTATGCATTTTAAGACCTAAAATTAAAGCAATAAATAATCTCAAAACAAATTAATAAGTCTATATGGATTAATTCTACTTATAATAATAATTAAATACTATTGAAATTGACCAAATTGTTAATCCAAGTATGAACAAACCTAATAATATTAAATATTATATTATTCAATCCATTATGCTGATCTATTTGAATAAAGATCAATGACAATAGACTTCTCTGGAACAATTTGTTAAATATTATCCAATTATAATAATTAAGCTGTAAGCAAAATATTACTCAGACCTTATGATTTTTTAAAATTCTAAAATAAATATCAAAACTAAGCTATAAATTTAACTACAATATATAATAATAAGGACTTTTAAAATTTGATATTTATTGTTTATTTTTATAAATAATGAAGTTTCATATAATATTAAATTTACAAACATTTCTTTATAGATACAACTAGGATTAATTTAAATTGATTTTGTGTATGAAACCTCTTTTGATAATAAATATAATACTTCATCGATTGAATCTAGATGTTATTCAAAATAAAAAAAATTACTCTCTAAATATATTATTTAATATAATAATTATCAGTTGAGCATTATGATTTAATTAATAAAATATATTTGTATATTATTTGATAATTTATTTTTAATAATCATAAAATAATTTCAATGCATAATTAAACCTCTAAATATGAGGTAACTATATTACTTAGCATGAACAGTAGTCTTAAATTTAGTTGATTAAGTGAGCTAAATTCATCCAATTTAGATTTATATCGTTTCATTAGGTCTTATATTTTTAATTATTATAGATATTGAAAAATAACAATAATGGGATCTACCATTCTCATTCTAACTAAAAGGAGCAACATAGATAAATAAATACCTATTTAAATATTAATTGAATAAAATAAACAATCTATCCACTCTACTTATGATTTCCTAAATTGAAAAAAAAGATGTTAAAAAATCATTAATAAACAATATTGATTGTAATAATAAAAGAAGAGAAAAAGTGTTTAACCAAGCTCAAATTCTTTAGAATAATTTTTTTCTGAAAAATTCTGAGCCAAATAATTATTTATAAATGATATTTATTTTTTCATTGTAATAAAATAAATGTCATAAAAAAAACAAAGTAGATAAAATCAAATCAAATAGCCAATACAACAAATAAAAACCCAAATGACAGAAGCTGAAAATTCTATTTTAGTACAATAAGAAGGTAATATAAAGCCAGAAGAATTTGTAAATTGTATTTTAAATTATAGCCTTTAAATTCTACTAAGAAATAAGGCAATGAATCACATAAGGACAAAGAATAAAAAGCTTAATTTTCAATTTTTAAATATTTAAAACCAACTCCTGATCCTGCTTTAGTTTGGGAACCTCATTAAAATAAAAATTTGATTAGTGAACTATAAGAATTAATAGAAAATCGCTTTAACGAGGTTAAGAGAAGCTCAAGCATATATAAATATTATGCTAAAATAGGATTTCAAGTTTTTATATATCTATTAAATATACTTGAACTTATCTTTACATTAGTTTACGATTCATATAATGAATTATGGTCATATTTTAAGCTCTGTTATATTATTTCTATACTTTTTTGTGTTTTACTTCATTGTGGAGTCTGGATGTACACATATAAATTCAGGGAAGTTGAAAAACAAAACATTTGTATTGATATTTTGAACTATATATACTATTTGTTTATGGGAGCATTAAGTTATTTTAAATTAGCTCCTTTTATTTATTATTTCAAAAGAGATAAATCAATTAAATAGTTTTCATTTAGTGAAATTAATAAATACTTGTAATTAAGTGGAGAAGATAAATTTAGAAATCCATGTATGCTTTTTAAAAAAAGAACAAAACCTGTAAATATATTTAGGGATTTAATATTCCACAGAGTTGCTCTAGTCTCAATGATGATTACAATGACAATTTAAACTATTCCATAAATCTTTATATAAGGCTTTTATAACACAGTAGCAGAAAAATGGGATGGATTTAATGTGATTAGTTTTTTATTATTAATAAGTAATTTAATCTATTACTTTATGGAATTATAATTTATTGTATTCACTACAACCTATAGATAAATGCAAACAGAACTTTAATTTAAATTGAAGAAAATCAAATTAAAATTTATTTAAGAAACTAAATAACTATTAAAAGCTGATGTAAAATATATTGGATTTGTTTAATCTTTTTATTTTCATATTGATTCAAGTAAATTCAGTTCTTATTAAAAGAAAAGATGTATGATTTAAATAATAAGTTTCTTAATGAAGTAGAAAAAATATAAAAATATAGAATTTCATTTTATTGATTAATATGATGATGTTACATTGTAATATTTAGCTAATTGCTTTAAATTGATTAAAGTAGAAAAAATAAGTCTTTTATATCATGATGAAAATTGTGAAGCATTTTTGTAGAATACTTTTAAAAATATTCCAAATTTAACCCTTTCAATTTAAAATGAAGTAAATTTTGATTAATTATGGAATAATGATTTAATTGATCTGAATGCAACAGAGGAGAAAGTAACAAAAATATAATTTATTGAAAATCCAAAAATTACTACTGGTTACTAAGCATTACAATTAAACTAGTTTATGAAAAATAATTAAATATAAATTTCTCCAGAATTTTAAGCTCTAATGTCAATTTACTAAAGAGGATCAACCTTTAATAGAGGAATTAGTAATGGGGCTATCAATTAATCGTAGATAATTGATTATATTTCACAAGGTAACCTAGAAACATCTTAAGATATTATTGATGAAGCATAAACTCAAATTGCTAAAATAACTAAAAGAACTTTATTTGAAGAATCTTTTGGAAGTATTTAATTATTGATGATTTTATACGATTATTATGAAGCCTGGAACAAATTGAATTCATTTTAAGCAACTATTCAATCTATTTGGTCATTTTTTAATGGATTCTTATAAATTATTTCTCTTGTCTATTTAAATAATGGAGATGATATATTTATATATGCATTAATAGTTTTAACAATTGTTAATCCAGTATTGTAAATGGTATCATTTGCAGTATTTTAACAACGTGTATTTAAAGATTTTTCAACTTTAAAATAAATATCTTTTATTCTATTATTTGCAATATTTAACTTTTTTAAGATTTGGGATATTGTAATGATTTGTTTATATTTATGTGTATAGGAATTTACTGATGTCGTAAAAAGAGATTTTAGTTCTGTTGGATACATAAAGTTCAAAAGTTATGCTTCAAAATTTTAAGGCAGTTTAGCTACTTAAGTATTTAATTATGAAACTGTTTAAATTGATTCCAAGAAAATTTTTTAAATTAAGAGTTAGCCATTTTATGAGGCTGTAATGTGGAGAACAAATGTTGAAGAAGCTTTAAATAAAATTCCTTAGTTTTTTGTATATATATTATCTCTATTTATGAACTAATTGAATATAATATGGGTTATGTCTTTCATTCAATAGCTAAAAGAAAGTATAGAGGCAATAAAAAATATACTAGAAGTTGTTATTAAAGACTATTTGATTCCAGCTTTAATTTTAGGATCAGTTTCAATTGATTCATTTTTTTAATCTATGTTGTATTTGAGCTCAATATCAAATTAAATATTATTGGAATATCCTAAATCTTTCTAGATTATTTCAAAAGTATAAGAATAATATTTAAGAGAAAAATTAACTTTTAAAATTAATTTGAAAACTTTAAATTTTTCTAATTATAAAGAATTAAAAAAGCAAAAAATGTTAGCTTAATTTAGGTATGTGCTTGCAAAAATTCAAAATATTTTAGAAATTGATTAAGCTTAAAGTCTTTTTTCTATGGGATCTGAATTAAATGATTTAATAAGATGTTTAAAAGTCAGTCAAATATTTTAATTAAAATTGAATTTCTATTTTGACGAAATAGTTCCTGCCATAATTCCTTATGTTAATACATTTATTAATAATTGCCCAAAATAATTACAATTCTTATAAATTTAAGTAGAAGCTACTAATGTATAATAAATGAAAATTGTTGTTGAAAGAAAAGATGTTTTAACAGCCTTTTCTTATTCATTTTTCTAAATTCTATAATAATACAAAGATAATTCTAGAGTATTTGAATAATAAAATTTGAATATTGATAAGGTTTTTTTAAATTTAGATCGTTACAATTTTGATTAATTTTATTTTGAAGTTTCTGGTCTTATATTAAAAAATTGTCATTAACTATTTGAATAATTCACTTAATTGAAAGTTTTCAAAGCATCTATTCTAAATAATACAGCCATATAGACTTTTGAATTTTCTAGTAATTTAAAAAGTAAACAATTAGAGATTCTGGATATTACTTTTGAAAATATTTTATTAGATTTTTAAGAATTCCCTTTTAATAATCTCAATTGTTTAATTGTTTAATTGTTTAATAAGTATAACATCCTTCTAAAAAAAATAGCTTAATCTTCTTCATTGTTTTCTTTATTTATAAAAATTTTACTTAAGGGGTATGCAATTAGGATTCAGCATCAGCTCAACTAATAAAATTTTCTAATTTTTATAGTTGAGCTGATGTTGAATATATAATATATAAATGGATTTATCACATTAGCAAATAATATTTTATGGTGAGTGTGGTGATGAATTTCTAAGTTTTGGTTTAGAATTTATTTATAAATTATTTTGAATATGAAAATGCCAAACTGTAAATCTTTAAAGGATATCAATAAGTATCATAACTTTATAAATGAATATATTAATTTGGGTGTCTGGAATGCGAAATTTTATTTGATAAAGCATTTTGATGGAATTAAAAATGGACAACATTCAAAAGCCTCTTTTTGATTGTATTTGGATATAAAATTTGTTAAATAGATTTGCAAATAAATTAAATTTTGAAGTTAATCATCAATAAGCTAATGATTAATGCAATAAATAAGGAATTATTTGTATTTAAATATAAAAATCAATCTTGTAAATAGAATCTAAATAAATTGATTGATCAAACTTTCACATCTTTTCTTCTAGATTTAATTGAAACCCAATTCTTAATTTTTATGATAAAATAAAAGACCTGCAGCTCTAAAACATTTTAATCTTTTATTTTCATATTGAATATTTTAGATAAACTTATCAAAATAAATCTGAAATAATCATTAGGGAATAATAATTAAAATTTTTAGATATTTTCAAATCAAGACATTAGAAAATGATAGAAAAAAATTTGTTGGAGTCTAAACATTATGAATTAAAAATATAGATATTTTCTATGCATAAGCAAAAATTTGTTAAAAATAAATAAATGTTGTTAGAAAATCAATTTTTCATGATCAGTCCTGATATTTGGTTCCAAATAATTGATTCTCATTATTTAATCTATGAAACAATATGTTAAAATTACTACTAAAATAGAAAATATATATAAACGTCATAATTCTAGTTCCGAAAAGTTCCTTAATTCATACCACAACCAACTATGTTTATAGGGTTTTCAGATCTCTGGGATGCTGATTGCTAAATTTCCCTCCAAAATTTGCTCGCCTTTCCCAATTTATGACCATCTTGTAAAATTTCTATTAATTAAATTTGGGATTTGTGATATGAATTCGAAATTTAGTAAGTTTACTAAAAGCCTGAATATTTATAGTTTGAAAAATAATCCTTCTTTTATTTAAATCTTTATTATTAACTATTGTTTGATATTATTATAACCTTATAGTCTTTTTATTTAATTAAATATCATCTCAGTAATCTCAATAGTAATTCTTCATATCGTAAAATACACATTTCGATAATTAAGATATTTAAACATTTTTATAATAATTATATATTTTTTTCAAATTCCAATTTCAAAACAAAAAAATACTTTTTAATAACTTCAAAATTATGTTCATCATTTTAAAATAAATAATTGAATATGATGTAATAGCTCTCTTTTATATAAAGATTAGAGCTTTATTTACTAATAAATATCTGAAATGTGAATGAATTAATTAATTTAATTTTGGATATGATTTCATCTTTAGAAATTGATTAGATCTAACTTTAAAAGATTTTTTGCTTTTCACCTTTATCAAATGTCTAAAAAATCTCTCATATAAAAGCAAGTATTTCGAAATATCTCGTAATCGTACGTTCTAATAGTCTCCTAAAACGCTTATATATGAATAAACACCTAAGATTTATTTAATTTTGTATCGGCATCCTATTAAGTTTTTTATCTAATGCTAATTTCAATCCCATTAAATCTATATTTTTAGTTCACCTTTTCTTTTATCATTTTACTATTTTAATGAATTGTTTAAGGGGAATTATCTTCTGAATATTCAATTTATCTAGAACTTCTTTAAATTCCTAGAAGAGGATGATAGCTCTTGGCTGTGGTAGAACCATCCAAAATGAATTGCGAGCCATTATAGGTAAGCCTCTAATTATTTAATTCGATATCAATTACCTAGATTAAAAATAATTATTCATCAGATATTATTCAAACATAGATTTACTAATTTATTTGAAAAAGAAATTAAAAAATTAGAATCTTTTGATTAAAAAAGATTATGAAAGAACTCAAGGAGTTTATGAGGATATTCTCAAAATTTTAAATTAAATATGATAGCTTTTAGTTTGAGGCAAGGGAAAAAGTGAAGAGGTACTTTTTGTAAAAATTGCATCCACATTTTTGTTGAAATGAAAAGTGATATAAACTTAAATTTCAGACAATTAAAAAATTGCAAAGCATCTTTTAACTTACCAAATAAAAATTAACATCTCCAAACTATATTCTCATAACTTCTGAGTGCAAATTAGCATTAAATAAATTTGTTATGATTTAAGAAACTTCATTAGCCCATTAAAGTGGGTAAAAAAATGCTAGAATTGAAAGAAAGATAAAAGTTTATTATAGTTGAAATTAAGTATACGAAACTAGGAATTTTAGGCAATAGGATAAGAAAACTTTTTAGCTTATCTAATTATCTGAAGAAATGTGAACTCGAGTCTCTATGGCCATAATCTTTTAGAATTGATTAAGAACTAAAAACAATATCATTATGATTAAAAATAAATTCAAATAATTGAGTTATATATATTGTAATTCATAATTCATAACCTTGAGAAAGAGAATAAAGAATAATTTATATACTTAAATTTAAACTTAAACTTAAATGAATTTTAATATATTTATTCTAATAATCATAACACATCTTAAAGTTAAATATTAAATATTTTCATAAAGACTAATAAATTTGCTTGCTCAAATACAAAATAAATAAATAAATGATATTATTTTACTAAGCATTTTATAGCTATACAAAAAATGATAATTATTTTTAAACAAATTGAATCTATTTATTATATGAATTGTAAATAAAATTTTAGATCTTTAGGTTGTCAAATTTCAATTATTCCTAATATTTACTTGAAATTATTTCTTTGTTTGATCATTTTCTACTTTTTTTGTATAACACCAAGCACAAATGTTCAATATTTTTTTTGAGTTGTATCTTCTTCGAATTTATACTGATTTTTGAAATAAATTTCTAAGATTTTTATATAGTTCTCTTAGATTACTCCTTAAATTTTTGAAGAGTTAAATTGTTCATTTGTAAGGGAGAATTTATCATTTAAAACTTTATTTTCAATTATACTTTCCATTTTATAATGGCTACCATATTTTTATTCTTCAAAATAACAATTATTAAATTGAATTAATTATTGATAGGTTAGAAATTAAACAAATGTTTATCATTCTACTAATAAAATTAATATATTAATAATAGTATTTCTATTAAATATAATTGAATGATTTCAGATTATGAGTATTGTTAAGAGCATCCAAATAGTAAAATTGGAGGCATATATATGGTAAAGCATAGAAGCAACATTCAGAGAAAAGTTTGTATGGAATGTATTTTAACACATAAAATACCATCAGAATAAATATTATCTAAATAAGATTTCATTAAAAAAATACAAGAAAAGTCCACTTTGTTAAACATCAAAAATCTACTAGAGTAGAGTTAGTCAAAATCAATATTGAAAAAAGCTTTGCAGCAATTTGATTATATTTAAGAAGAACTTACTTTGATTTTAATCAACATCAAGAATTCCATCAAAAATATTTCTGAATAATAGGTAGCTAGAGATGATCAATTTTTAAAACTCATTTTTTAAAATTTAGATCCTGCTGAGCGTTCTTAATCAGAGTTAGATTTCCTAGTAGATTTTATAGAAGGAAATATTTTTGAGAAATGGATTTAAAAAAAACAATAAGTTTCTTCATAACTCTAGAAAGCGTAAGAAGTTTTTGAAAGACATGTTTAGAATGGATATAAGACAACTTAATTAATTGATGAAATTCAAAATAATTTTTAAAGTAATATTTTTATTTTAAGTTCAAATGAAAAAATTGAAGATAAAACTATTGACATGGAAGGATTAGAGAAAGTCAACAATAAATTAGTCAAAACAACTTTTTAGCTCACTACATAAAAAAATGGAGATAAAGTCTATAAAAAAAATAGATAGATTCTTAGAATGTATACAATATTGTAAAAATGGTTAGAGAAAAGAAAATTTTAGGATAAAAAAATGATGAGGCATTACTTAATTTAGAGCAGATGAAATATTTAGAATTTAAAGGATCATATGGCATAAAGGGTTATAAAATTAAATAATGGAATTATTTTTGGAAAGGATAAAATGTTGGAGGAGGTAATTTCAATCTAAAGGGATAAAAAGAAGGAAAGTGGTTTGATTTATGTTAAAATTATTGGGAGTATTGAATAAATATAAATAAATTAATTAGCAAGAGGAATATAATTGAATAAGGTTGTTATGAATCGGATAAAAGAAGTGGTGATTGGAGTATAAATTGGAATAATTAAAGAATGTAATAATATTATGAAAAAAAATAATTAGAGGAGGAGGATCATATGACAAACAAGGAGAAGGTAATAAAATTGGGAACTGGATAGAGCTAAGCGAAGATTATAGCGAAAATTTTTAAGTAATGTATCATGGTGAATATGTGAATGGTAAAAAAATTGGTAGATGGGACATTTATTATTAGAAAGATAGGATGTAAAAATATATAATATTATCGAAAAACAATTAATTTTAGTGGTGGAGGATTATATGATGAAACAGGGAATGGATTAAAATTAGGTAATTGGGTTGAAATAATGGATAATTTTAAATTGAATTCATAAGTAATATTTAGTGGTGAATATAAAAATGGTAAAAAAGTTGGAAGATGGGATTTTAAGTATAAGAAAGACAATAAACCTTTCTTTAAAATGTAAAAATATTTAAAATGGTGATATAGTGGTGGAGGATCATATGACGATTCAGGCGATGAAATTAAATTGGGTAATTGGGTTGAAATTATTGGTAATTTCAGGGACTACTCTTAAGTAACCTACAGAGGTGAATATAAAAATGGAAAAAAAGTTGGTATATGGAAGGAAATGAAGAGAGATAATTTGAGTATTAAGGAAGAATTTATAATAGTTTAAGAGATTAAATATGATAATTGAAATTAAATAAAATACACATAAATAAAAATAATTAAAATTTTAAGCTGACTTTGATTTATAAATGTTTCATTTTGATTTAGTTGATAAAAATACTTCATTTTAATCTCGACAAGTAATTTGACAATAAAATAATAGGATAAGTAATTGAATCTAATAGAAATTCTTTGAAAAAATCTAAGAAAATAATATAAAAAAATGGAAATCAGAAAACTGGAAAATATTAGTGGATGGTGCTAAACATTATCAAATAATATTTTATCATTATGATCTAATTAAGTTTCCTCAAACCTAATGATTGATTTGAAAATGAAATGGATGTCATGGAGACTCATATTAATAGATTTTTAACAATTTTTTTCGGATTAAGTTGTAGCACACTTATTAGAAAAATTGATGGATTAATAAATTTTTAAGATCTGGAGAATTAAATTTAATAAGGTTTTTAAAAGTTAAATTGTAAGAATAAACTTAATTCGTAATACATTATTTTGATTCTTTAACTTATAATTAATTATACAGGAAATAAAAGTATTTAATAATAATATTTGAGATAATAAAAATTATTATCACTTTTATTCAAAAATTGTTAATACTAGAGATTATAATGTCATGATTCACTGAAATAAATTCATAATTATTTTGACTCTTATCTCCAAGATGATTTAAAAGAAATACCTATTTGATTTATAATTCACAAAATGACTTCATAATTGAAATTTATACATTCAAAATAGTTTTATGATGCTCAAATTGGATCGATCTTCATAATACATTTGACAATATATATTTTTATTGTTGATTACTTCTCTCAATTACAAATCTAAGGAAGAATAATAATTCATTTTAGACACTCTAATTAGATAATTAAAATCTAAATTAAAAAATAATCATCAGATCAATATACTTATTATAATCTAGAAAATGATTCAAATATTAAAGATATTAAGAATTTTATAATCATTACTTTTTGTTTTATTTAAGTTTTAAATAATTATTATTAATTATTAAATGAGAGATCAAAATTAGAATAAATACGAATTTAATTTAGAAAAATATTTATTTAGTTTACTTAAAGCAGATTAATTATTAGATTAAATGTAATGAAAGCAAATAATAATGAGTTATGATTATAATACTGAGAATTAATTACTCTTAACATTAATTTTGTGAATATTACTTAGCCGAACTTTTACCTCAGATATTAAATAGGCTTTGAAAATAAGAGATAGTTAGTTAGTGCTTGCTGGTTTTCGAATAAATAAAACTTGAATGAGAACTGAATTAATTTATAAATCTAATTAAAATGATGCAAAAAACAAATTAACTTAAAGTTTTATTTTTCTTCACCATACTAAAGACGAGAAAGATAAGGTATAAATAAATTTGAAAATAATTATGATTAATAATATCAAGTTTACAATCTTATTTGGTATAGAGATCATTAATAAATAATACTAAAAGGATGATATAATCCATTTAAAATATTCTCTCAAAAGAAATCAAAATATATTAGATAGATAATCTTTAATATAGTTTTTATAAATTAAAAGTCTTATGAAATTGGTTAAGAAGGTAAATAATATTTGCTAAATGATATAAGATTTTTTTTTAGTCATCACATATTACTTTATTGTTTAGAGATTAATTAGGATTACCTTATATACATATTCAACTCTTTATCAAGCTTTAGATTATCATATTTAGAGATATGATAGAATTTTTGAACTATATATGTCAACTTATAATTCATTAGAATTTAAAGTTAGCTTCAACTTTTAGCACATGTAATTCCTTATTGTAAGCATAATTTTTATTATTTACTTATTGATATTGCTGTCATCATTATTTATTCTAAATGATTCAACTAATTAGTTTTGAAATTTAATTGTAACTACACTACATGATAAACTACTTTCATAAATTATGTTTCTGTGTTTTAGAATTTGATATACACTTTTATTATATAAACCTATAATCTATATCCCATAACCAAAATTTAAAGTATTTAATTCATATTTTTGTTTCAAATCTACTTACATCGACTATCCTTTAAAGCATATTTGGTAACCAAATCCTCCAAATATTTTATAAATTGAATCTCTTAAAAACCAATGATTTGCTGAAAAATATTACTTATTCTTTTCTGAGATTAAATTTCCATTCTTTTAATTTAATACATTTTGACAATTTCCTCTTACAATTTATTTAATTCTATAACAACTGTTCAAGCATGATTAATTAGTTATTTAAATATCACTAATAAACAAGATAAGAATGATCGAAACCAGTTCTCTAAACATTAATTATTTAATTTACATTTTAATTATTAAATCATACTATTTATTCAAATAAAAATGAGGATGAATAATTCAGAATTTAGAGAGTTTCTAAAAATTTAGAAATTTTAGCAGTGTGTCTAAGCTATGATACTCTAATTGTTTAAAATTGGATGAGAATATATTAACTTATTAATATAATTAAATAGAATTAAATGTACACTTAATATTTAGAATATTGTATTACTTCATAAATCTTAACCATTAAACAAGAAAAATAGAATGATAATTTTATTCGTTGCTATATTAATTCTTGAAAGGAATCAATTGATGACAATTAATATTAATATTTTTGTGATTATTAAATTGTCTCTCATTATATTTTTCATACTTTCAATTTATAAATAGAATAGAAAAACTTGATGATAAATTCACTTTCTATTAGATATCAAAAATAAGTCTAAAGGTAGAATTATTTCATTTGACATATCAGGTCTAATTATTTTATTTGGAATATTTAAGCAAAGTTAAAATATTAATGATGAATTAAAAGAAAACTTCTTTGCTTTGCTTTGCTTTTCTTTGATTTAATTTGATTTGATTTGATTTGATTATGTTATTAATTGATATCATTTTTATGAATATAACTGTTAGAGTTCTAATGAATACTGTATTATTGAAATATATTTTAATTTAAAATTATATCATCCATTAACAACAATCTTAATTGAAACTTTGATAGGAAAAGAAAAAGTAGATAATTTATAAATATGCAATTTGCTAGAATAATTATATGTATTAAGTGAACTGTATAATGTGAATTTTGCTTGTGATATTAATTGCTAAATAGTTTTTTTAGGCTTTTTAAATTTACAATAATAACTTTTTTTTGATTCACTTTTAAATATCATATTTGAGATATTTTTATTTTAAAATACTAGATTACTCTCTTTGATTTCAAATTTGAATATAATTAGAGTTGGTAACTTTTGCTTATAATTTGATGATTGTTCTAATTTTGACAACATAAATTTATCTATTTTATGATTAAGGCTCTGAAAATGTCTCTATGATAGTTGTATTTAAAGTTAAAAAGGGTATAATTATGAAAATGAATTGTAATTCATTTCTCATTTTAGAGATGGAGTACTTACTGAAAATAAATAATGTGAAGTGGATGATTACATTGTTTTAAGTTGCGAATTATAAAGGTATTAATATTGTTTAAAGAAAAAACAATAAAGCCTTCTTTTGTTCACTTAGTTATGAGCAAATCAATTCTGCTTATAGAACTTTATTAAAAAAATAAAGCTGAATTATAAGTAGGATGACTTATGTTTAGATTCAAAATATATTATATTTTAAAATATATGTACAACACATAAAAATCTATTGTCTTTCTAAAAAAGTTAAAATTGATTTGGATTAGATGAATGTAAGATCCATGAAAACACGCCTTTTTAGATTCATGTGAAATTGAAGGAAGGTTAGAAATATAAATTGAAATTTATCTTATTGATACTTCCTATCTATTGCCTTATAGATATAAAATAATTTTTTTAATTCTTATAAGGTTCTTATCAATGAAATATAAAAATCTTATAATTTTACAATAATTTTAAATTGTATCATTTTTTTTGTAAATCCATAAAGGATCCTCATTCATGAAATTCTTGGGCTTTATCAAGCTTCTCTAAATTCAATAATGCATTAGCTAAAAATTTTAGGAATCGATACCTTTATTTTCTAATATTTCATGATTTATTGAATTTAGAAGAGCCAAGTCATAAGATTTTATAGCTTATTCAAATTATTTAAGATTATGTAAAGCTAATCCTAAAATTCTTAATACATTAATAATAACCTCTACTATTAAAGTAATGTTAATTATTAGACTTGATATTGATTGCTTTATCATATGATTCTACAGCTTCAAAATGACGTCCAAGCTAATCTAAGGCTCTTCCTAAAATTTTCATAATAATATTAATTTGATTACCTTTATTGTAGTATGCCTCATCATTATTAACATTGATTTCTATTGCCCTATCATAACATTCTATAGCTTCTTCAAGACGTTTCAATTAATTTAGAGCATAACCTTAATTTTAAGATCAATTAATTACCTTTATATATATATATTTCATCAATTTGTGAAGTTATATTTAAAGCTTTGTTATAATTTATGAGTGCATCTTTAAAATTTGATAATTTTTATAGAGCGATTCCTTAAATAAACATATCCAATACCTTTATTAAAGTAAGCAAATGCATGATCTTTTGGTATATTAATAACTTTATTATAATAATCAATAGCTTCCTTATAATTCTACATCTAATATAAAGCATTAGCTTAATTATTTTAATTATTACCTTAATTAAAATACTGTGATTGGCTGATACTGAAATACCTGTCTCTTTCCTTAGTGTCATCATAACTAAATAACTAAATTATCTTACTAATCCATATGTATTAGAAATAAAATGCATACTCCAATCATAAAGATGTAAATATACATAAGAAACAATAATATATTAGCAAACATCATGGCATATGAACTTCCTTTAGAAAGACATTTGATAATCATACCTATAATAAATATAGTTAAGAATACTTGAAAATTTCTTTTTTTAGTTTGCTAAGAAATCCTTTTTTAAAAGTTCTAAAGATTTAATTTATTGTTCAATTTAATTTAGCTGATTTACTAAATATATTATTAAAAATTACAATCCTCTATTTAAGTTTCTAAGGAGATTTAATTTTTTAAAATATTGATTTATTAAATTGACACAGTATTATATTATTTAGTTACAAACTTTTTTTACATATTTCTTATATCATCTATTTACTTTTCATAAGAATTAATTTAATATTAACTTAATTCATTTAATTGAAGGTATTTTTCTTTGAGTTTCTTTAAATGATCCTGTTTTTCTCTTATGGAATTAAATAAATCTGTTTTTATTTACTCAAACTCTTTGCAGCTATCTAAGTGATCTGTATGATTCTCTTCTAAACATTTTTAACAATAGATAGAATTTGAAGTGCATTTATTTGAAACACAGAATCCTAAACAAATTTAAGATTTGTGAACCGAACAAAATTAAACTTTTGATGACCTAAACATTGAATTATAGAATAAATATAGAATTTTTCATTCTTATATACTAAAATTTAACATATACGTGTAAACAAATTATAAAGTCAATTTTAATTAACAAAAAAAAACATTAAACCATATAAAATTTCAAACTAAATAATTTATGTTTTTGAAGTTTATGGATTTAATCATAATTTTACTACAACATTAATTAATGTAGTCAGTTTCTAATATATTGTTGTTTTAAAAATTGATATTCATACATTTTAAACTTCAAAAAGAATCCCCATTTAATTTATTGTGTTCAATTTTATTTTAACTTTAGAGATTTTACTTTTTACTTATAAACTCAAAAAATCTAAAATAAATATCGAAATTTATAATTTGGAAATAATAAGTTTTTAAAAAGTATTAAATAAATCTTTCTTTTTTATAAATTTGAGAATAAAAACTCATAGGCATAAATGATCAATATATTAGAAATTAATAAATATATACTAAATAAATTAGTTTTATTTTGTGTTCCTCATATTCATGATAAGAATTATTTTATTTTATGATTAAAAAAAAATATGATTAAATAAATTATGTATTAATTACATAATTTATCTTATCTATTAATTATTTAAAATAATAAAATGAATTTCTTTAATTACAAACATGAATATCTAAATTTTGCAGCTTGGAAATCTAATTTTTCTATTGGATCTATGTAAAAATGTATCAATAAATTAAGTTATATAATTTCACTTCTTCAATAAATTTTGAAACCCTTTTTTTCAATTAACCTTTTAAAACTTATCTCCTCCTAACTTTAACAAATTTCCTCAATATTATTTAAGCCTCACATAGCATTATCTAATATACGTATACCAAAATCTAACATTATTTAATTTATGTTTCCAAACTCACTATTTCTAAAATTCTATCTGATAATCAATTTAAAAAAAATAAGTTGATTATTACATTTCTATTCTATTTTTTAGCATAATTAGTTACTATCTCATCCAAATATTTTTGTATCTACTCCTTCTATCCAATCCATCTTTAAAATTTAAACTTATTTATCCAAGTTCTCTCTTTTTCTATTGATTATTTCTGATTATTATTTACACTTTAAATATATTATCCACATTGACATCTTTCTCTCAATTCTAATATTTTCATTAAATTTTCTCTAGTTAGTTACAACTACCCTCCTATTTCTAATCCTATTGATAAAAGAAATCAAAATATTCCAATATAACAATATTCAACCGAACATGATATCATATTCTTCTTATCCACCAATTCTTTGTTGATCACTTCATTCCATATAAATTATTTTCTTTAAATTCTTAAAAATTAATCATATTATCATTTTTTTTTTAGTAAATGTTATTTTGAAATAGAACTCTTAAATTCTGGTTAATTTTTCCTCCCTAAATTTTTATTATTGTTAATATGAAAAAGAAATACGATAAGACATTCTAAACTTCTTTAATTTTTACCATTTATTAAATTGGTAGATATATTTTATGTTTTATCATGTAATTAAGATAGAATTTTGAATATGAAAAATATTTATATAAGAAATACAACTATTTTTGATTTAATTTTACTTCTTTATGAAGAATCATGATAAAATTTAACATTTTTCATTACTGAATATTGTGTATTGAGTTTGTATGAAATGATCATCGATTAAAAATATATTATCATTATTTTCTAATATAATGAAATTTATCTTAGTGGTTGAGATATTAATATGTATTTATTGTTTTTTTTTATTTATTTTAACTCAATTAATATTTCATAAATGTTAAAATCTTTGTAGAATTTCTTTTAAATAATATAATAACAAATTATTTATGTCATGAATATTTATAATAAGCTACAGCTTTTATGATATGTAAACCCAGATTGATTGTATTTCCTCCTACATTCAATACTTAAAATTCTTCAACAAACTAATCAGAAAATTCTATTGTTATTATGCAATTAGCGTATTTGCTTTCATAAATCTTTGTTTTTTTGTTATTTAATATGGCATAAATGATAATATCATAATTTCTGAATTACTGTTAGAAAAGATAGTCATATTCCCACAGCCAAATTTTTAATTTGTTCAATAAATATTTTTACATTAATGCTATCGAAATATATGAGCCTATATGACAATAATTGAAATCTACTCCATTTGTCATTATTGTATACGGATTATCTTTGAAAATAGAACCATTATTCCCAAAATTTAAAATATTTATTTTTTTTGATGATAGCAATGATCCTTGTTATAATTATAGTACATTTTTGTGATTACCCTTCAATATTGTTTGTTATTATTTGAATTATCTTATGCAATTCTATTCGGTATATTAAATTATGAAGAAAAAAATGATAATATAAGCTAATCCTTTCTTCATCTATAAAAATTAGTTATTAATTATTATATAAATTATAAAATATTTTCAAAACTCCCATCAATTATATCCTGAAATTCTTTAGTTAACAAAGTACTGTGTAATAGCAAATTTACATGCTAATATTATAAACTTGATGTTTAAAATAAAAATTATTATATAAGAATCCTTCTTTAAACAAATTAGGACATTAATTTTTTAAATTTGAATAATATTTTGATTAATACACATAAATTTTGACATTTAGAATATTTTATGTGCCATTTTATTTTATAATTATACTCACTAGAATAGTAAAATCATTAAGCTAAATTAGATTTTAATTTTTTAATACTATGTATGATTAACCGATTAAATTTTTATCATTTGTTGAACAAGTAAAATTTATAATAACAATTCAATTTATAAATATGATATGATTCAGTAAATATCTAAACATCATTGCTTATATAAATTAATAAAAGAATGAGAGTGATGGGAGTAGCTAATTTAAATTCAAATTCAAAATTAATAGAGAGAATTGCATCTTATAATCATCATAATAGGAAAGTGCAACTTCAAGAAAGTAGAATGAAAATTTATTATTTTTATGGGAGGGGACAATATAATTAATTATTATTAAAATCATCTCTTAAATTAGAGCAATTTCTATTTCTTTATAAATAGATCTCTTTCTTTAATTTTATAGTAGAATATTAATAAAGTTAGAAGAATTAGTTAGCTCATTTTCAAATTCATCAAAAATATTCTTAGAAATCTACTAAAATTAAAAAGTTTAATAGCAGAAGCTATTGGTATTTTCCAATAACATCAAAGATTACAATTTTCCTTCTCTATGAGATTATACTGATTAAATTAAACTGTTTTTTTTCTTAGCAAAGCATGTTTTGTATTTATTCTGACAACCAGCAAAACACATCTTCTCATATAAAAATTCTTTAATGCATAATTAGTTATAATCCATACAAAATTATTAAATAATTTTAGTTCTCAGTTAACTTAAGCCAAAGTCTAGTATCAAGTCCTGTACCGTAATCTATCTTTATTTTGTTATTAGCGCATAGACTAGATCTTTATTAATCTTTGATCCTTCAATCTTATGGTCAAAAATATCCTCTAACCAAGATATTCTTATTATAGATTTAAAGTCCGAAGTTCTCTTAGTAAGGGTTTCTCTAAAGAAGTCCATACTTCTTAATCAAATTAACAAAAGAAGAAAAAACATATGAACTTTGATTTCTTAAATATCAACTACTAGAACCTCTAATGCAGCTTTCTTCTTGGAGAGGATTTAAATTTATTAAAATATTTTTAATTAATAATCAAGAGTTATTAATGCTTGTGAATAAATTTAATTTCTACAATAAATTATTATGTTTAGCTCCTTTTGATCATGTTTATTGGAATTTTATCAGATGCTCATTAATAATTACTTATTTTACAAAGAAGATTTAATTCAGAATACCAGTTAATAAATTAAATAAACTTTTTTCTTCAAATTCCAATTTAATTTTAACTTTTTAGATTGTTGAGGAATCTTTTTAGATTGTTGAAGAATCTTTTTAATTTTGAAGTTTTGCTTAATAAAATGAATTCTAATCCTATTTAAAATATTTATTCTATTTGTTAATTTATTGAATCAAATGAATTTCAAATTATCGTAATTCTTCGTTTACTTAATTTTCCTGATACTAATTTATAATTAACAATTATTTTTTTTTGATTTTTTTTTTGAGTTTAAGAGAATTTCTATTCTTTATGAATCATATTCAAAGTTATTAATTATCAATAATTGTTAATTTAATTTTTAATTAGCCCCCTTATTTTCCTTTAAAAATTAGTGGAGACTCATTATAAACAATAACTATTTTATAATACTAGAATTAAGTAATAATGTTACTAATGACAAATGAAAGGGAAATCTGAAGACCTTTTGTATTAATAGAGAATAATGAATGGAAATGAAATTATTTTTAAATATATGATATTCTTATTTTGTCTATGATAAGAATTTTTAATTGTTTAAATTATTCTTGATTTTTTACAAAATACTTAAAAAATTGATTAATTTTATTCATTTACAATTCAAATGATCCTTATAAATGATATAAATTAAACTATACTTGTATATTTTTTCATTTTTAATCTTTATAATTTAAAATCTCTTATCATAAACAAAATAATAAATGAATAAATAATATTAATATTTTTAATAATATTTCATTCTTCTTCATTTCTATTAATATTTTCTTATTTATATTTCCTTTGAATTGTAATCCCAAGTCATCAAATACTCTCCATCTTCACTCATATATCCATATATATAATTATGTCCAAATTCAATAGATTATTGTGTTATAAAATCACCATTTAGGTTCCTTATTAGATTAACATTTTTTCCATTCTTATTCACAACTAAACATTTCTACTTTATATATTATTAAGGAAACAAACAATTACAATCCCTAGAATTACTTTTAACAGCAATTTCTTTTGTTTTTGAGTATTATTTATTAGTATTACTCATCTCATAAACATGCAT